ACTAAGCACAACAAATTTCCTCCTGAGGCATTATCACAAATGGGTTTTGCATAGAAAAGTGGTTGAATGTTCCACAACAAGTTCTGGAAATATCTCAGGTATTGTGAATATGGCCAGATAGGTTTGTCAAGAGAGAAAGATCAGATGTTTCCAATTTTATTATTCGAGGGCTCTTGGCAGCTTTTGAGCAATCAGCCTGAAACATCGTTATTAAAACTGCAATAAAATGGTTCTGGTTTATTACAACTGTCTGCATTTGTTTGATCTGCTGTTCTTCATGAAGGTTCAGTATACAGTTTAACATGCACACAGCACTATGAAATAACCCTTTCAGCTTAAGAATGCAGCTGAAGAAGAAAATGAGATTGGTTTAGCATGGATATGTGTGTAGTTCAAATGCAGCATATGCTAAAAAGCTTTATATTTTCATTGTACTGATGGATTCAAAATTGTCTTTTTAGGCATCCAGTTTGGAATCATTAAGTTCTATTATCCCAAACCAGTTGGGTAGCCATATGCATCTCTTGGCACGGGGAAAAAGATGTTTGACTGGTTTCTCTATATTCTTGAAATAAAATAAAATGGAGAAGGAATAATAAAAATATTTGATAGGGCATTTACACCAGGATAAATTATATGAAAAGTATATTCAATTTGCTCTCTTAACCCTAGGTCATTAGTCATACATATCATTTATACTCTGAGAATCTATTTTACTTCATCACTCAACACCATGGTTTGTTGGAAAACGTCTTAATGGAAAACAGCTAGCCAGGTAAATCCTATCCCTTCCAAGAGAAAGAGAGGTCTTTTTTCACATTCTCTTCCAGGATTTGCATTAAAGTGACTAGAAGCTGGAGGCGCCACTACGAACAGACCTTGCAAGCCCAGCCCACAAAGAGGAATGCCCATTTACTTGCCTAGTCTTGGGACTCCAGTCATTTGCCACACTAAGCGCTGTGCCCACCCCATCCTTCAAAAAGAAGGTTATGGAGACATGCCACATGTTAGGTCAATGTCTTAGCTTGTGTTTGTTGTTGTTGTTTAGTCGTTTAGTCGTGTCCGACTCTTTGTGACCCCATGGACCAGAGCACGCCAGGCACTTCTGTCTTCCACTGCCTCCCGCAGTTTGGTCAAACTCATGCTGGTAGCTTCGAGAACACTATCCAACCATCTCGTCCTCTGTCATCCCCTTCTCCTTGTGCCCTCCATCTTTCCCAACTTTCCCATCTTTCTTGCGTTTAGCTTCTTGTATACCTGCTGTATCCTGTAGCAGTACCTTGCTTATGTACCATTCTTATTTAAGCATTTAAGTTTTTTGATAGTCATCAAACTGGGAGTTCAAGTACTTCAATGAGGCCTGGCACAGTTGTGCACCCAATTATATCATTGGTGTCTGATTTGACTCATGACTGGGCTTAGAATAAACTACTAAACTACTATAAACTACTGGATAGTAAAGATCGAACCTGGGAACATTCATGTTCTGTTACTGAGCTACTGCTTTCCCACCATACTGGAAAATACTTTATTCTGCCAAATTGGTTACAAATTAAAAAGAGGGAACTGTGATTTTCATCACTAATTTGATACTACTCTGATCTTATTTTGAAGAGTCATGGGAACTGTGATTTGCCGAATGAAAGTAATGACCAATTTCACAGTGCAATTCATTTTCATATTTATTTATTTTAACATTGATATCACACCTTTCTGCTAAGGAGCTCAAGTTGCCATACATGGTTCTTCCATACATGGTAAGCCTATACACACCAATCATATACACACTTCCTTGGGAATGTTCCAAGGAACTCATTTGTGCTTAGTAGCCTTAGTAGAAATCCGCAGGATTGTACTGCGCAGTTAGCAGACCTCTTCAGGCACTAACAATGACGGCAAAATTGCCACATGAAGGGAGGCTGCATGATGGGAACAAGCTCACTAGCTCCAGTCCTCTGTTACCATGCTTGCCACTTGTCATGAGTTGGAATAATAATAATAATAATAATAATAATAATAATAATTTATTAAATGTACCCCACCCATCTGACTGGGTTGCCCCGGCCACTCGGGGCAGCATTTAACATACATTTATACATAATAAAACATTAACTATTAAAAAGCTTCCCTGTACAAGGCTGTTTTCAGATTTCTTCTAAAGGTCATATATTTACTCATCTCCTTGACATCTCATTCCGTATTTCCTATCATAAGATCAATGTGATCTTGATTTCTGCACCAAAAGCAAACAATGCTTGCAATCCAAAGATCCATTATTGCCATCAGCCTACAAGTCATGCCCATGTACAATGTGAGAAGGTTAGAAAGAATATAGTTAGAAGCAAGAGGGAGAACCAACCTAATAGTAATCCAAGGTTCTGTAGCAGAAACATCAACCAGGGCCTCTGTGTCTGGATGTGAGTCATTTCAGGAAGCTAAAAAAAGAATGAGGCAGCAGTAAGAGAGCCAAATATATTAATATCTGGGACTGTGGGTGGGGCAGGCTGAGTCTTATGGGAAACATGACAAACTTCATTAGTAAAGACTTTTAAACCCAAGGTTTCTAAATATAAGATTCAAATCTGTAGTAAGCTTGGAACATATTTTCAACTTCATCAAATGAGAAATACAGTTCCGAGATTTCAGCTGTTACACCATCACTATAAAGAATTACTGGAAGTTTACATGCATAGAGTTTTGAAAGGAATCCTTCCAAGAAAAGAATGTTTGATGAACGCTTTCCTAAAAGCAGAAAGTCCTATTTTGGTTGGAAGTGGGTTTGGTACACAAGAGCTGCAAATCAACTTTAATTGTGCAACCTACATTTGCTGTTACATAATTGAATCCTACCCGAAATTAGCAGTAGTCCAGAAGCATCCAGAGACTTGATCCAGTAGTACAGCGCCATATTTATGAGCTAAGCTATCCAACTGTTGGACGCTGACAGAAAGTCAGTGTGGTGTAGTAATTAATGCAAGGATCTTTTGATATTGAAAGGCCAATGTAAAGTCTTATGAAAGCAGTTAGAGCACTTAAGAAGTTCATTAAAATGGCAATCTTTGAAGAAAGACCTGTACTTAACAGTACTGCAAAATCTCCTAAGGAGAGGAAGAGAGACATAAAACATTAATTAGCCCATAAAAGGCTGGTACTGTTTCACAGTAGTGGCTACAATTAAGATGGACCTTTCTGTGCAAAATGTTACAGCATTTCTATATATGACATTGAAATCACCTTTCCCTAAAATTCTTTATGTGAATGCCTGAGAATTGGGGGGAAGCAAGGGTATGTTCTGGCCAAAGAAGGTTTTATATTTGCATAACAGCGCAAACCTAAATGCACTTACTAAGGAGTATGTCCTCTTGTTACTTCTGAGTAAACGTGCATGTAATGTACTGTAATTTGTTCTTAAAGGGTAAAGGTAAAGGGACCCTTGACCGTTAGGTCCAGTTGCGGATGACTCTGGGGTTGGGACGCTCATCTCACTTTCCTGGCCGAGGGAGCTGGCATTTGTCCACAGACAGCTTCTGGGTCATGTGGCTAGCATGACAAAGCCGCTTCTGGCAAACCAGAGCAGCGCATGGAAACACCGTTTACTTTCCCGCCGGAGCAGTACCTATTTATCTACTTGCACTTTGACGTGTTTTCAAACTGCTAGGTTGGCAGGAGCAGGGACTGAGCAACGGGAGCTCACCCCATTGCGAGGATTTGAACCGCCGACCTTCTGATCGGCAAGCCCTAGGCTCTGTGGTTTAGACCACAGCACCACCCACATCCCATTTTGTTTTTAAATAACTACATAGGGATCTCAGTTCCTAGCGTTCCAGCCTGGCTCGCTGACAAAAGTTATTGTACGTGCTTTCCCTCTGAATTCCCAATCTTTCTCACTTGGAAATGTGATGCAGAACCATATTACTACATCCCACATGATCTACAGGTCCTTGGTAAGAAGTGATTCATGTTCGGAATTAGAAGCTTAGGACCCAGTTCTGATCTTGCACATTGGTTTTTAAAGGTCATCTGAAAGATCACCTATAGCAGGCATGGGGAACTGGATCTTGCCAGTGGGGCAAATCTTATCTCCCTCACTTTCTAGGGTTCAACATTGATTAGCTGGATCTATCAATCACACAAGTAACAGGTAACAAGTCTCTAACTCACCAGGGGTTTTAGACCCACCCATTGACTATCCTCACCTGGTTCAGAACCTACCCCCCCTAGCTTTCTGGTAGTTCTTCACGCTTGGTAATATTGGCAGGCTTCCTAGATTTCTTTGCCAACTTACAGAATAAACCTAGATGTCAACTTGTATATCCATTTAAAAATCATGAAAAGCACATTAGAGCATAGAACAATAGTACCACGAAAATAAAAGATTCTCTTTACCACTTTAAGTTTGAAAATGGCTATGCACATTAGCTAGGTTAAAATCTTAGCATGCCACATCTGAGACTGTTCTATTGAGATAGATTCTGTATATGTATATGTATATGTATATGTATATGTATATGTATATGTATATGTAATGGCTGTAGTAAAAGACAGAACTAAATGGCCTTAACATTTTGTACTTTGGCATGCAGGGGTTATGGGGCTGCTGAGCACCATAATAAGCCCAGACTAGATGGAAAACAATTTGTTTTCCATGACTTTACTGTATTTGCTAAAGATAGACCATGGAGAAACAGGCAGAAATCACTGTTACCATTGACCAGTACTGCAATATTAAGCAAAAGCCATTCAGCTGATGGTACTCTATTCCATATACAGTGGTACCTCTGGTTAAGTACTTAATTCGTTCCGGAGGTCCGTTCTTAACCTGAAACTGTTCTTAACCTGAAGCACCACTTTGGCTAATGGGGCCTCCTGCTGCCGCCGCGCCATCGGAGCACGATTTCTGTTCTCATCCTGAAGCAAAGTTCTTAACCTGAAGCACTATTTCTGGGTTAGCGGAGTCTGTAACCTGAAGTGTATGTAACCTGAAGCGTATGTAACCCGAGGTACCACTGTACATACTTACTATGGGTAGCTGCTAATAATAGAAAATAGTAAAATAAGTGCTTATGGAAGTAACCTGTATATAGATGGCTACTGCTTGTAGTCAGTTTCTTAAGCTGGAAAAAGTGACAGTATGCAAAGTCTGCTTAATGCATGTCCCAAATTAAAATGGGGAATCAAGTGGTTGTTGCTTTACATGGAAACCAAATACAAAATAATAAGAACAAAATAAGGACATTGGAGAAGAAGAGGTAGCAAAGAGACTGAGAAGAAAAAGATATATAAGGATAGAAAACTGAGCTTTTTTAAAGCTGATTTATATGTATAGTTGCAAATTTAGATCCATTTCAGAAGAAATCCACACAATAAGTAATTTTTTTTAAGGAGATGGAGGGTTAGGGCTTAGGTAAAATATTCAGTGCTTGGACCTGTAACAATCCATTGGGGGATTTATATCTCACTCCTGGCTGCCGGAAAGGAGGTTCTAGTGTAAAAATCCACATTTGAATAAGAAAAATGGTGTTACACAAGTCCTTAAAGGAACCAGTTGTTGCACAGTCTTGAGATGCGCCACTTGTGCAACCACTCTACTTCTAATGCAATAACTCTTGGGTCACTTCTAGATGACCTGTTTATTGAGCTTTTGTTTATGGAGAGATAAGATAATGTTGACTGTTTATTGAGCATTCATTCTGATTTGTTAGCAGGGAGCTTAGCTAATGCTTCAACGCAATCTCAAGCTTTCCAGTACATTTTCCTGTCACTTTCTTTTTTGCAAAACAGTCCTATTTGGGGGCTTGGGCAGGTTTGTTGAGGTTGACCTAATCAACTATAAATGTGCAGTCTAAATTTAAAACTTAAAAATAGCCATTGTTTGGAAGCACCCTTAGAAGTTGTAGCTATGTATGCTCTGTCAACCTTAAACTGGGCCATAGCATTGCTCTTCAGCTACTAGAAATGCAGAAGTTGGAAGCCTTTCCTGTCAAAACTGCAAAAAAAGCAAAAAACTCACATATCTATTTCTTTGATGCAGAGAGAGATGATGAGATAAAGGAGGACACTTTCTTAGAATTATCCCCAATGCAGGCACAATTAGATTGAAGCAAATTACTGTTCTGTTACCTAATATATGTTTTATGTTATTAGAGTATGATGATTGAACAGCACAGAAACAGCCAAAGATGGATTAAGATAATAGCATGGAAACTAGCCCTGAAGAAAAGACAGCATTATGCCATCCCTGAAATGGATAGCAAGTCCTATATGCCAGGAGACTGCTAAGGATCATACCAGAGCATTTAGGGGTCATGTTTTGAAATTTCCTAGATTAAAGGAAACTGAAATGTATCATTACGAGATGCAGTTATATACCTATTTGTTTCCATCTGGGCTAAATGAAGTTAGACATAGGGATGGGTGAATCTGTCAATTTCAGTTTCTTATTTTTCCAGTGTCTTAATTTCTCCAAATTTCCACATCAGTTTATGATTTTTAAAAATATATCCTTTTGAAAATTCATCAGGTTCTTTGTGTAAATTTCTCCTAATGTACACATTTTTACAACATAGTTTTCCCTAATATAATTCATTTTTGTATATTATCTTCAATAATATGTGTATATTTTGGTACACATTACTTGGCTGAAGAACTGAATTGCAAAATTCAGAGAATTACTAAAGGATGGTTCTGTTTTGGTTCACATAGTGTTTTTGAAAGTATGAAAGTATGAATTAGATCCCTTTAAGTGGGAACTGAATCAAATTTCTCTTCCATCCCTAGTTATACATTAATTCATCCTGCTCCATTAGTTCAAAGACTTTCAGAGGAGCTCAGAGTTTTAAAATGACTCTAAGAACAAAACGTAAAGCACAATAAATAGGTAAAAGCAGTTGCAGTGGTACAATCAATAAAAATACATATACCTCTATGGATAAAAATACTGAAAAATATGACGTGTATCTGGCTCCTTCTGCAAGGTTCAAGGTATTACATGACAGAGATATGTTGTGTGTGTGGCAGGGGGAGGTTCTCTTAACCCAAATTTTAAGCATCCTTCATTAAGATTGCAATCCAATCCATGCATACATTTGTGCTGTAAGATGGCAATCCTGAATCTCTAGGATTCATTTTTACCTCTGAATCAAAATATAGCTTTGATTCCTGGATCAAAATTTTGTAATGAGAATTAAGAGTTGTGAAATTAAATTATTTTTTCTTTTTAAATGGTCAAAATTTAAGTCCTTAAGGTTTCACAAAAAAGCTTATGGCATCAAGACATCGCAGGGTGGGATGAAAAATGGCAGTTGGTTTTTTTAAGTGACAAAATATTGGTGGGCAGATATGCTCTATAAGCTGTGTTTAGCCACCCCTAATACCCATAATTTAAGGGAAAATGTCATTTTATAGCCATGATGGGTGGCATAGAATGTGATTATGTAGTATGGAAAGAGAACTGAACCCCTGGATTGTTAAGTCCAGTCAAAGGCTACTATGGGGTTGCGGTGCTCATATCGCTTTCAGGCCAAGGGAGCTGACGTTTGTCCACAGACAAACATGCTGGTCATGTGGCCAGCATGACTAAACTGCTTCTAGCACAGCAGAACACCGTGATAGAAACCAGAGCAAACGGAAACGCTGTTTACCTTCCCACCACATTGGTACCTATTCATCTGCTTGAACTGGCGTGCTTTCAAACTGCTAACCCCAGAACCCCAAACCACATAAATCACTGGCCCCCTCTCCTGAATCAGCCTCCAGTTCCCCTGCCTTCGTCACACGCTCGTCAGAGCCCTGCCAGTCCCTGACAGCAATAGTTTGGTTGATCATGGGCCCTGTCCACATGGTTACATGTGTATTTGAAACTGCTTGTGTCTCCATCTAATTAGCAGCATTCATATCAGGCTGGTGGGTGGGCAGGTGGGTATCCAAGGCTTGCGAAGGAACAGCAGCCCAGGCCAGTCAGTGAGCAGCCAGGCAGTTGGGTAGCCCAGGCTACGAAGTGGAGGTTTTAATAGAACTAAGGGGAGGGGAGAGGTGGTAGTTTTGGCAAGGTTTAAAGGAAGGAAGGTAGCTTTGAAGAAGGAGTACAGGGATGGGGGTGTCTTTGTCAAGGAGTAAGGAGATTGGGGATGCCTGTGGCAAGGTATGAAGGAAGGAGTGGGTGGCTTTGGTGAGAAGGTTAAGTGGAGTTAGCAAATAAAGCAAGCAGGGATGCAGCCCCCAGTTCTTGATAAAGTTTTACACATATTAATATATTAATGGTAGTTTATTTTACTAAATTTGTTTGAAATCATTAGGGTTGCAATCGTGTACACAAAAGCTTGGGATTAAGCCTCACTGAAGTCAGAAGGACTTACTTCCATGTAGACCAGGCTTCCTCAACCTCAGCCCTCCAGATGTTTTGAGACTACAGTTCCCATCATCTCTGACCACTGGTCCTGCTAGGTAGAGATCATGGGAGTTGTAGGCCAAAAACATCTGGAGGGTCGAGGTTGAGGAAGCCCGATGTAGATATACATATACTAATTGCACTGTAGGCCAGTTTAGTTTGTGATCATTGTCCTCATGGTGTGCTTTAGAAGATTTGGCAGAGAGAAATCATTTTTCTTTGCACATTTTCCTTTTGGTGTATTTCCAATTGTTGAAGATAAAACTATGTCCTAGTTCATCATCAACAATCCATTTAATACATGGGGCAGGTTTTATCTCTTGGTCCTCCTTGCCTCTAAGGAATATACTTGCATTGTTACATTGCAGAATTCTTGGAGGCACTCGCTAATTACAGGAAATGTTTTAATGTCAACATATTCTGATTCTATATTTAAAAAATTAAGGGCAATGTTTAAAAATAACTTAAGGGAATTGCAATCCTTAAACATCCTGGTTGAGTTAATAAATATTAAGTATGGGTTGTAGTGACTGATGTACCTACACTTTGTCTTAACTTGTGGTGATGTTACCATCAATACATAGAGGTAGAAGATTGCATTATTGTGTAAGAAAAATGATAAATATAGGTAGTGTGATATAAACAAGTGAGGTATAACAAGTGGGAAGCTCACATGTACCCCTCACATGTTTTGAAACAATGGGATAGCCTCACGCACCATGTCTACACTTCCTGCCACCTATAGCAGCAATGCTTCCCTGTCATTCAACTATTTGGATGGCGTAGAGAAAGGCTTTCAACCCATGCTGATTTATGTGGAGATTTCCTCCACATGGGGAGGGACTCTGGATCAATTAATGGTGGAGGTAGGACAATTCCACATTTCTGTATAGTTCTTTTCACATCCATTTATTTCATATATTTGTATACTGCTTAATACTTAAAATCATCTCTAAATAGTTTTAGAAAACAAAAAAATACAACATAACAATGAAACTGAGAAATAAAAATACAATATTAAACAAAAGTGTGATACAATGTAATAAAGCAATAACATCCCAAAAACAAAAACCTACCAGTCAGGGGCCCCCTCTCTCTTGAGTCTCCCTCTTACCTGACTTACAAAATACTCAAATTCTGCCTTGCATCTAGGCAAATCATAAAATACTGAAGTTTAGTGCATGTGTAGAATGTGTTCATTTGGGGAAGGAATCAGCAGTTTTATTTTTTTTTTTTTTTAAAATCATATTTATTAAAGTTTCCAAAAGAATAAAAATACAAAGAAAAAAGACAAAAGAAAGAAGATATTTAAAAACCTTACTTTCATTCCCTACTTTCTGGGACTCCCCTCCCCCAATTGTATTCCCTTTCCTTAATTTGGTTCTACAAGCTCTCACTCCCAATTTAAAGCTTAATTTGTTTAACCCACTATCCAGATTGAATTGTACAAATCTTACCACCGTCCCACATCATTAACAGAAAAGAAAGAAGATTTTCCCCAAGATCCACCCCAGTTCCTTCCACAAATTCCTTTTTTTAAACACGTCCGATCAAAGTAAAATAACATGCGTAAGTTATGTAAAGAAATAGAAAATAAGAGATATAGAAAAATTCAAAAATGGTTACACAGCCTTTGGATTTCAAATCTCCTCCCCTTCCCCGGTTTGAATTCCCCATGTCCATCAGTCTATACATTATCAGCTTGGAAGTCTCATTTCATGACCAGATTTCTCCTGATTCCATCTTGCCGGTTTTCTTTTAGTTCATTAATTTAAATAATATTTGACTTCAAATGTCCAATCTAATAAAGGCCTTTAATTTCCTTGATCTTTACCACTCCTCCCGTTGTTCTTTCCGTGTCGTAATCAGTCCTTTATTCTTCTTATTCCTCACTTTCTCAGGTTTCTTGTCCTGTTCAGCTGCTAAAACTTTCTAATTCAGAAGTCTAGTGTCTCTGCAGGGGTTTGTTATTCAGGAACAAAAACTTACGTCCAGTCCCTTTCTTTCTTCAATAAAAAATTCCATTGTCTTCCTCTGTAGACAAAATATTCTTTCAGTTTTGCAGCTTTCCCAGAAGATAACAAATCCTGTGCGAATCCCAGGGTATTTTTCCACTTACGACCGTTCTTGTAGTATCCCGAACCCCTCTAGGGGGATTGTAATAACTTTGTATCCTCTAATCCAAAAGTCAAATTGTTGCTTATTTTCCAACAGTTTATATCCATATTATAGCAAATTGTAACAAAATTAGCCAGCAAGGTCCTCATAAAGTCCTCTTTATATTCTCCAGCTTTGACAGCCACTTTGACAGCTGTCAAAGTCTCCGTCTCTTCACCAGGCTCCACGAATCGCCCGGTTCCCAGGGGGGCTGCATTTTCTTCTCACCCTCCACTCTTCTCCTCCAGCACATTTCTTATAATTTCCCATCGTGAAATTAATGATTTTTATCAGAGACATACTTCCCTTTGGACCTTGGTTACCCAGTCCTTGTTTTGGAATGCTTACAATAGGGGGATTGACTTCCTTTTAAATCGCCCCGCTCGTGCCAAATCTAAAATTTTGAACCCGGTTTCCTAATTACTCACGGGTTGTTGTTAATAGTCCAAATTTTCAATAGAAGAAGTCAGCGCTCCGTCGAATGGCATGCGGCTGCGCTCGGCAGGGAAAGCAGTGGACTCAGCACCACGCCACTCCCCGGCACCCGATCCGAGCCTTTAAAAGGCTCCTTCACGAGTCGGGAGGGCGCTAATGGTGCAAGCCGAGTCACCCATGTCCACGGACTCCGTGCCCGTGGTTTTTAAGGGTCCCCGCGTCGCCGGCGCGGTAGGACCCAGCCCCTGCCGAGCAGACTCCCTCCGGAGCTCGGAGGGAGTCCGCCATTCGGCGATGGCGCTAACCCGGAAGCCGGAATCAGCAGTTTTAATGTGCAAGAACTGAACCTTAAGGAAATACAAATATTACCTGTGGAATAAGATGTAGTAGGACATCTCCAGAAAGAGTTCCTACAGCTAACCCCACAAATAGCTGTAAAATGAGGGTATAACATTCTTGACAGGAGTTAAATAGAATGAGAGTTGTGCCAAACATAGATCCAATTGTCATAAGTAAAACTGCAAGAGTGCTATAGCCATATTCTATAGAAGAAAAGATGAAAGCAATGCTAAAAATAATTCTTGCATTTCTGTTGTTAAATTAACTTGAAAGCTCAGATTTTAAAATCCAATTGTCAAATAAAGAAAAGGGCAAAGAAGCACTTCATAAGGTGAAAGTAAGTTCCATGAATTTCAACAGCATTTCCATTAAACAGGATTTTTGCCTGACTCAGGGTACAAACCATAGGTCAGAGCTCATATATACTGGGAGGATTAGGCAAGACTGTGATGTAAGGCAGATGAAACAAAGCACAGCACAGCACAACACAACACAACACAGCACAGCACAGCACAGCACAGCACAACAAGTAGAGAGAAGGTGATAAAACCAGTACTTTTGTTATCCTGATGCTCATTCAAAACATTAAAAAATAGTATATGCAATCATTGTGCTGTTAAATAGTGAGAAATGAGACAAGGTGGAGAATGGATTAAAAGTCATACCACTTTTTTATTCCTGAAAAATAACATATTGTATCAAAATAAATAAATAAAAAATTTAAAATTGTCCAGTAGCACCTTAGAGACCAACTAAGTTTGTTCTGGGTATAAGTTTTCATGTGCATGCACACTTCTTCAGACACCTGACTTTTCATGCAAACTTAGTTGGTCTCTAATGGCTTTTACTTTATCAACTATTTTCTTGAAAATTGATGGCCTAATTGTATGGCATTTTATCTGAAGGAAGAAAATTTTGTTTCTTAAATTAATTAGCAGTAGCAAAAACTGCTACCATCTGTTACTAGTGACAAATAATGTTTTTTATGTAAGTGTGAAAAACAGAAGATAAAATTTAGTAACAGCATGAAATATATCACTCTTAGCAATTACTTTCTCAAAGGAAGATGCTCATGTCATTAATGAGGCAATTAAGAGAAACAAGAATAAAGTGTGTTTTGAAAAAATGGCTCTCTCTAAAGATGCTTTCAGAATTACTAGTCAAGCTAGAAACCATGTAAATCTTGTTTTTTGTCTTATTCCTGCCAATTTAATCCCATAGATAAGCCAGTTTGATTTCACCCTGACTACAGTTTACCTGGTTTGAGGGTATGATTCTATGAGGGTTAAACTATAGTACAGAGAGGAGGCTCTCCAGATAATAGACTCCAGTTCTCATCAGCCCCAGCCAAAGATATGAAAGCAAAGATATATTTGGAAATCTACCTGTTATATGGAGTTCATTAATACTGTTTGAAGAATGGAAAATACATTGCATAAAGAATTATGGTGAAGGTAAACATGTTTTAGTCAGGCAGATTCCATGCAGGGCCAACCTGAGAATGGCAGCACCCTGCTGGGGAATGGTACTTTCATCAGCACCACTAATGTTCAGAAAAGCAGCTTTCCTTTCCAGAACACTTATGTGTACACACTGAAAACAGAAGAAAATTGGATGAATATTTTTAATGTATTATTTATCAAGAGATTCCTTTACCACCATTCACCAAAATGGTCATAGGATGTTAAAAAGAAGAAGTAAATATACAAACATACGGTAACATTTAATTAACTTAATCACACTGTAGTACAAATGATGATATTCAAAAGACACATGAGAGCATTTTCATAGATGGGGCTTAAAGTTGTCTCCTGACTGAGAGTATTTTGCAAGAAGCATTCAAGTTGAACAATTAAAATGGATTAAAGTGCTGTGCTGCCCTAGCACAACAAATCTAGTTGTGCTTTTTTTAAAAAAACAAAAACAAACCAGACTTATTGCTGTTAGCAAAATGACAAAGAAATGCACTTAGAAGTGTGGGGTGAATGAATGATTAGTGGAAAGGTATATAAACACCATTCAAGGAAATCAGGATGAATTCTTAATAAAGACCAGATAGTCTAATTTCTACGTAAGCTTTGTGCAAGAAAACCAAAATGAATGCGCAATAAGTGGGTCATCTGTAGGAGTGTCAGTCTACAATGCAAAAGTACAAACTATGTGTGTTAGAAGTAGTGATGAACACAGAGTTTAGAATTCAGAAGTACAGGAGTACAAATTCTTGCAGGTACAAATGAGTGTGGCCTCTCTACTGTTGAAACTATCTGTTACCATTTCAGGATGGCTACAATGAGAAAGCTTGCTAGCTGCTGCAACATCTATTAAATAGTATCATTGTGGGCACCCAGACATTGGGGAAACTACATTTTTCTGGTGTTGGGGGGAGAATGAGGCTTGTGGCTGTTGTTCAACAGCAACATATATTAATTCTAACAGCCAGTTTAATAATCCTGCTTCTTGTTTTGTGATGATCACATGCAGTCTAAAGGAACCTGCAAATTGGCCTTTAAATTGAATGTTTAATCAAGGAGAATTTTCTTATATAAAAGAAAGCTATTTTACTCACTTTAGATACTGAGCAATTCACAAACCTTTTAGCAGTCAGATATAAAACAGATTAACTAGCAGAGAGTTGATCCATAGAACTCCAGCCTCAGGAAAAGATATTTTGAATACATTTCCAACTACAGTATTGCTGTGGCGATTTTGCCCCATCCTGACAGAAATAAAATGGATGAGGTTCTTCTGGAAAATAATGCAAGGTTTGGCCAGCATTCTAAATTTCCAGTTCATGCCCACTTTTGCCACTGCTTTTCATCTACAGTACATACAGTTGAAAAGCTCATTGATAAAGCTGATAAGCAAATTTCATTTTCTATGAACTTCATTGCTTTGTGTTGATTTCATGTTTCACCATATCCTTGAAGTTTGGGCAGCACTGCCCATCAAATGTGTTTAGTGATTTTAATTAATAAAAAGTGATGGTGTAAAAAAAAAAAAAAGGTAATACCCTTTGTAGCTGCCATTGTATTTTAGGCATGAGTGCGTACCAGCTAGCTACAGTACAATAATCTGCTCATCATTTTACCTGTGCATTCCTTCAATTTACTTTTACCTGGTATTCAGATATTTTTTAATGTTTCCTTATTGATTCCACTACATCTTCAGTTTCATTCCAAGAGAAAAGTTTCTATTGCTTCTTCAATTAACCATACTAGTTAGGTAAAATTTATAATCCTGGTTCCTCTGACTAAACACTGATGGACAGATATCTCTTTGATGAGTAATATAATAAAGAAGAAATTTTCTGGAAGACTTCTTCACTAAAATAGACTTCTAAATCTCCTCCTGCAACTAATATCAAAGTGTCTGGTTCAAGGCACTATGAATAAGAAAAAAACCCACATAAAATTTAAAACACGGCTCAGCAGCAAATCTCAATTAATATTAGAAAGGGTACACATTACTGCCTCAGGTCTTGAATGTTACCCGCAAGTTTGGCTGCAAAACAAGCAGGCGAGTCTGGATGAGCCAACAGAGGTATACTCCAAAAGAAAGACTCCAAGTTTTCTAATTTGTTAGCACACTCTTCATCAGTGGTTGGTGTCCATTGGGACTTATAAGAGCTGAGGGCAAGGAGACCAACAGTAGGTGGAGCCAAAGTCAATGACTAATTCTAGTTTTGTCACCATCATGCTCCCTGCTGAGTTCTACAGGGACAAAGCTGAGGCTGAGGAAGATGGCAGCAACTAATCATAAATAAGAAGGCAGGTTGGCTGAAGGCAGAACTACGTTGCTGGAGCAGGTTGTAGGGCTGCGATATATCCAGATTTTTCCAGACATTATGGGGATTTCAAAGGTGAAATTAATTTCTGGGGAGGAATTTCTTAGACAAGTCAACATCTTTTTAGGTGTCCTGGTTTTTACTTTTTGAAATATGGCAATCCTATCCATTTGCCCTTATGGATCAGCCTCCACTGCTCCTCATCAGAACCCTTTGCTGTGCCTAAAAAGAAAAACTCTTTAAAAGAAGTTGCCTTTTATCAAGTCCTTCTAAACTCAGGATTGCCCACTCTGGCTTAAAGTAGCTCTTCACGGACTCAGGCACCATTTTCTCATACCGCCTGCTCCTTGATCTTTAAATGAAAAACAAACACATAAAATTGGAACCAGGGACTTACCACATGCAAAGTATGTGCAAATGCAATTATGATTCATCGCTTCTTCATTTTCTCCCTTCCCAGAAGGGAACAATTGGTTATTACCTCTGATGAAGAATATACCACACTCAAAATGCATTTAGCAGTTTGGAGAGGTTCTGTAAACAGAAGCAATTTGTTCAAGCACCTTTAAGTTTATCCCTGTTTGTTGGGCTGAAAATTGGTGCTGACCTCCTTCCTTTCCTCTCCTTAGACTTCACCCCAATTACTCTTGTACCTGCTTTTTTCACCACAGCTACCACTTCCTGGCTACTACCGTTTTAGGAGCCATGGTGTTAGGTTATGATGCAGGGTTCTGGAAGTGGCATCAGTAGTGAGGTAGAAAAACTGTGTGATGAGGTCTTTCTTTATTGTTGCATTTTGGGAGTTAATATCTAATGCTTAAGCAGCAGAAGAAGAATTTGCTGAAAGCTATCTGGTAAACTTCATAGCTGTGTTGGAATTTGAACCTGTGTTTCCCACCTGCTCCTCAGCCACACCCAATGGTGCCCCCTTGAATAAAATAGGAGGGGTAAGCCCCACCCTGCATAATCAATCACATGATGCGGCACATGCACCCTATTTGAATGGCAATACCCATCAACTTTGGGGGGGACCCAGGCCCCTCAAATATTTTATTGGGGGAGCGAAGACCCCTTGGCCCCTAGGAGTTAGCTTCTATGGCCACACCCCTTACCATGTCTAAATGCTCTATACCAGCAGTGGGGAACCTTAGTTCTGGGGACCAAATGCAGCCCTTCAGAACTCTTGGGACCCTTGGGACTCTCCTTAGATCATGCCCCTTCTCAGCCACATATTTAATGCCCCCTTGCTCTAAACACTGTCTTACATTGGTTTTTAAAAAGTCTAAGAACAGGTGTTATACCCTCCAAAATCTGACAGACAGAAAGGACATGCTTGTAATAGGCAGTATACTCTAAGGGCCCAACTAGATGAGATCCTATTCATCCAAATACCATTTATTTGAATGACATTCTAAAAGACTGTTAATCTGAATCACTGGCACATTACCAACACTTTGAACTTGAGGCTTGCAGGAAATGGCAAATGGATCTAAGTTAATTTTGGTTATATATTTAGCTCTGCAAAATAAAATAGCTTAGGAAGTTCCAGAGAACCATTTTAGTGTTTGTGAATCCCTTTCTAGTGTCTATGTAAGTGTTACAGTTGAAGCAGAAAAAAACTAAATGGTAACAAATAAATGTACACATGTACCTGAAGAATATAGTACATCTGTTGAAAACAACCTATAAAATGAATAAATAAATAAATATATAAATAGCAACACAATCCTTCTTTGCTGAGATGAGAAGTGAATCACATGAAAATGCTGTGCTTACTAAGTTATCCATACAATTTTCCATTTACCACTTGACTCACTGACCAGATTACAGTCCTCTTGCACCCCCCCAATCCTTTGGGGACATAAAGTTCTCTCCAGTATTTTCTTGATAATTTCTCCTCTTTGGTTCTGGTGGTGTTCACTATAGTTGTTAACTGACATGATACCTAAATCAACTTTCAGATACCTGTGGTGAGAGGCAGAGCTGTTGTCTTCCTTCAGTTCTTTATCAGGATGCATTCCTTCAGTATTTGGTCCAAATATAAAAGTCAAAGATGCTATCCAAAGAATGAGACAGGTAGTCAGGAAACATATTTCCTCCCGTAGTCTGTGTTTGCGTTGGTGGTGTTGAATTCTGGTTTGCAGTTCACAGCTTTAAACTTGAAACCTGAAGAATTTATACAATAAAGGGGGGAACCCTCAATTAGAGTGGCTGCAATATGTTTGGAAGGATTTATATGGTTGGCTAAGCTGATTTGCAGCAACAAGCTGTTTCTGAACAATGTGGGGGTCTTCAGGGAAACAGCAGGAAGCTAAGTCGACTGTGGGTAGAATGGTTCAGTAGCATTACAAAGTAAAAGGGTGACTCAAATGGATCATTCCTCTCCCCCATCCCCAACAACAATAATAAAATCCTTGTAGTAAATTGCTCCATTCTTCATTAACCAATTTGATAATGGTAGGCTTCTGTGATAAGTTTATGAAAAGGTTTTATGTTTCCCTTTCACTGCATAATGTCAGGAGGACTAGGAAAATTCAATGAAGATTGCATATTAGTATAAGAGCTCTGCAAGTGTACATACGTACCAGTTTCCAGTTACTTCCAGTCACAACAAAGAGCTTGAACCTATGAGCCTCTGAACTAATAGAAAACAGCAGGTTCTATTTTACCTGTGTTGAAGCATCTCTGCTTTGGTCTACATTTATGGAAGAATGAGGTGGTATTCTGCACTACACAGCTTCAAACTGTAGGTGTGTATTCTGGATTTGAATGTTTCTAAATGAGAGAAGGTGAAGAACACTATTCCAGCACTTTGTTGTGCTGGTTTTCTATTCGCAAAGGCATAGGACTGTATTAAAAATGTGATCACCCACCCACAGACTGAGTGGTACAGTCCAGAACACCACCTCATCATAACTTCTCAGTCACTGCAGTTCTAGTGCTCTGCCCTTCCCACAAACACACATAATACTGCAACATCCAGTTTCTTTATGTATTACATTTATGTCTCACCTTTCCTTCAAGTAGCTCAAGGCAGCATACATGAAAGTGCATCCCAGTTTATCTTCACAACTATCCTTAGCTTAGGCTGTGAGAAAGTTATATGCCCTAGATCATCCAATGAGCTTCATGACTGAGTGGGGATTTGAATTTGATTCTCCTTGTCATACACACTGTCAGGGGCTGGACTGAGGTGGAATGGTGGGAACCGTGCCCCCCATTCCAGCACCTTCCCAAGAAGAGGAGGATAGTATTGATTTAGAACAGTGGTTTGCAGAAGGTTCAGAGGCTACAGAGGGGAGAAGCTGGGAAATATTGGGGAATAGCAGGAAGAAGAAGCACCAGGGGAGAGACAGCTAACAGACTCAGTGTCTCTTGAAAGCATTCCTGACCCCTACTCTCCCAGAACAAGGTGTGCCTTTAGGGTGGTAGAACAGAAAACTCAAAGGCAGAAAGCACAGGTCAGTCAGCGCAGGGGTGACGTAGAATAGGGGAAACTGATGTGGTGGAACTTTACTTGGAGCAATGCCATTTACTAAGAGAGACCGCATTCCTTAGTCTCTCTCTTTGAATATTGAATAAACTACCTGGTAAGAACTCTTTTTGTTTTTCCACTTCTTAGCATCCCACCGTAAAAGGGATAGGATTCCCTGAAGCCTTGACACTAACCACTACAACACACACTGGATTCACATTGGACTTAAGATTATCTTTATTGGCCTCAGAACCAAAGACAAAGTGAAGACAGTTGTCATGTTGTTTTCATCAAAATAGAACCTGTACAAACACTTGTACAACACTTATTTAAGATAGTATGTCATTGCACGTTTGTAGAATGTCATTGCCTCCTCATTTTTTTAAAAAACAGTTAGTCTCTACACATCTATAGACAGAAGATGAGTTTCCATGTAAGAGGACCAACAAGTATGATTTTCAGACGAGGTTGACTCCACACTTCTTGTTTAGCAGTTAAGCCATAGAGCATGACATCATTTTTAAAATTCATTTATTGTTTGTACCTACACACCCACTGCCAAAAACAGACACAAATATTTTTAAAATGTGAGGAAACACCTGCTTCTAGTTGCATGCAGTTTTCCTCCCTGCAGAAAAAAATCACACCAGTGAACTTTTCATTATCCAAAACCATCCTTTCTCTAAATTTAAAGAACAAAGAATTCTGTGGCACGTAACAGACTAACAAATTTATTAAGACGTAAGCTTTTAAGGGCCACAATCCATTTCATCAGATGCCTGAAGTGTAATCCTGAATTAGCAAGCTTGCATACACATGGTGGTGGTAGTGAAGAATGTAAAACAGTGAGATTAGAGGGAAATGAAATGTAAAAAAAAAAAAAGCAGACTAACATCACATTTTGCTTAAAGTTATTAATGTTCTCATCATGCTGAAAAGAACCTTGCAAATATGTAATTTTATCAAAACATGATTAGAAATGTATGAAGATTCGCTTGTGCCCATGCCAGGAAACTCCTATAGACATACAATTTATTCTATATCTAATTCCAGATACTGCAAAGGACATTGCTTTTTTCTGGGAGGACGCAGGGGGAAGCATACCCCTAAGTTTGGCCTCATTGGGGGGCAGTATTTAAATATGAGTAGGAAAATGACAGTACCCCTAAACATTTTTTTAGAAAAAAAAGCACTGGCAAAGGACATCGCTCATAAAATGTCCTTCATCCCAATACAATATACCTTCTGTATCAAAAGACAAACTTTTGCTTTGAAATAGGAAGTTTGGCCTACTGTAGCCAATACTAATAATAATAATTTATTATTTATACCCTGCCCATCTGGCTGGGTTTCCCCAGCCACTCTAGGTGGCTTCCAGCAAAAAATTAAACATTAAAAGCTTCCCTAAACAAACACATCAATGTATGCATGCATCCCTTTACTGGAAGCATCCTCCATACAGCATTCATGCCTATTATACACAACATCAGACCTGATTTACTGTAAAAGAATGTAGGTTTCATTGCGAAATAAAGCAGTGCTAAGAAGCTATAAAAGTAGAAGCAGCTAATAATGCCTGCCAAAACAGTGCCTGGCGTACAGTCAGATGGCAAATTAACAACTGTGTGGATGTTGAAAAAGGGCTTTTGATGATTAAAAATAGTTTTAGTTTTAGGGTGGCACCAGGAAAGGATTTAAAACTGAAAAAATGTTAGCAGGAAACCCCCATCTTGAATTCTCTCCTCTTACCTTTGCTCTGGGGGATAAAAGGGAGGACTGTGTATCTTTAGCTTTGTGGCCTTTTGAATCCCTCAAAGTATTAAGCTGCTGGGAAGCCCAGTGTTTTTTAAATTCCTTGGCTCTGCTCTGCAAGCCAGAGAGGATTAGTTTATTCCTGCTTTGAAAAGTTTCTGGTTGCTATGGAGAGAGTTGTACTTAAGGTAACAAGGGAGGTGGATAGACATTTTGTACAAGTTCTTCCTGGCAGGTTTCAGAAAGTACATTGTAAAATATAGCTAACTATTTTAAGTGTATATCTTATGCAACTATATCCTAGTTAGATACATATCTGCAGAACAATTTATCCATTAAAAATTATAAAGTAATCAAGAAGCACTTCTATCTTTTAAATGATATTTTCCTGCAAAAGAAAAAAAAGTATTGAAAATGTAAATGCTTTCTATTTCATTCACAGAATATCTAGATTCCAGGCCCTCCTCCACTCCTTAAAGTAAGAATAACTTAAGAAAGAAACCTCTATATCCATTTTTATTATTTGGGCTCCTTCCAGGCAACCCATTTACCGGTAGCAAACATTCATCCTGATTTGTTTGCAGGGAGAGTAGATGACATTGGCTATTTATCAAACATTCGTTCTGATTTGCTTGCAGGGAGGTTAGATGATGTTGGGTCAATGCCAATGTTATCCCACTCTTCCCAGTACATTTCCCCCCCAAAAAATTCCTTCTTGCAAAAAGTCTCCCATCTTTTTGGGGAAGTGGGTTGTTCTGCAATACGTTCAAATCAATATCTCCTGCCTGAGTGGTTCTACTTTCTGTTATCCTGTGTGTTTTGCTTCTGTAACTGGATACAGTCTTATGAGCTGAAGTTTTTGAACCTTACTGGGGATCCAGAAAGATCCTGTGCACTTTTGAACCTCAGTAAACTATTACTGAAGAATTCTACTGCCTGAGTGTATATATTTTATTTTGAACTTTGCACGGGAGTTGAATCCGACACATCTGCTACTCTGCTACCTTCTGCCCACGTTCTGGAGTTGCTGTATTTAGGCATGGAGACAGGGGGGGTGCTGGATTCTAAATGGAAGCATTGCAGACAAGGGCATGCTCTGTGGCCCACTTGGATTCTTATTCTCTGCTCACTGCTGGAGATAGAGCCAAATAATGGCTAACTTGTATATTTTTTTTAAAAAGGGGGTACAACCATTCATGTTTCTATGTCCCAGCAGCCCTTGATGCAGTCTGAAATCTATTTTGCACCCTACCACAATATACTGTAATTTAATTCAGTCTACATAAAACATCCCACATTCCACCTCAAGATAGTTAGATTATGTGGAATTCCAGGCATTTCCATAATTTCCCTTCTCCCCTCCATTAATGGTATGGTTTTGCTTTACATGTAACATGACTTTGTGACATATTAGTCAGCCCTAATAAAGGCTGCTGGATTCCCCCCCCCCCCATTGGACCAATCACATGGTTGCCTGAAATTTTTCTAAGCATGAATGCATGGTTTAGTCAAGACAGCCAGTGCTATGTAATGCATAATAATTCCCTAAATGCAAATATAATCAGAGGGATGCACTCCATTAAAGTCATGCATACAACTGTTAGCCAGCATTTAGATCACTGAATCCACAGGTAAGGGCATCTATCTCTCATTAGCTCACGACAAGGATTACCTTTGCCAGGGAATGGATGGTGGGAGTGCAACCCTATTGATTTTCCTGGACATTTCAGCAGCTTTTAATACCAGCTGACAAGTTCTTCTGGATCAGCTGTCTGAATTGGGACTGAGGCGGGGGAGCACAGTGTTATGGTGGCTCTAGTCCTTCCTGGAGAATCATTTTCAGAAGGTGCCGTTGGCGGATTTCTGTTCCATGTCTATGAACTGCCTCAGGGTTCTATTCTGCCTCCTATTCTTCTGGAGATCTGAAGTATCAGCAGTGTGAAGATGACCTCTGTCTATGTCTGCTGGTCCCAAAGAGGCTGCTGAACTTCTGAATTGATGTCTGGAGGCTGTACTGGGTAAACAACCTGAAACGTAATTCCACACATCATATTTTGACTCCCTCCCCCCCTTGAATTTTAAAGGTGTGGCTTATTTGCAGGTGCGGCTTATATTCGGGCTAATACAGTAAACACCATGAGCTAGATTTAGATTTGCTGTGATTCAGTTGATGCTCTCACTGGAGCAAGAGTGAAGGTGATCTTCACAAATACTTCCTTAGCTCTACATGGGAAAACAGGAATTGGGGGAACTCAGGTGAAGTCTGAAGTCTAAATGGAAGCATAAACAATGTTGCTTCTTCCACCATTCCACACACTGTTGGCAGAACATTGCTATGAACAAGGGCCCCAGATTTCTGTATTGCACAGTTATTTCCATCACTGTCAGCAGCTGAACAACATGGGGATGTTAATAAGCTTTATCATACTCACTTCTTGGCTAATAGCAGAAACAACTCTATATGTGCCAGCAGTTCAGCATAAGAGTTTAGTTTTATTTACACAGCAGTGTGGGACATTATATTTTAATGATGCCCCCTTGGTAATGTGCAGCTTTCTGGTAGAGGACCACAATTTACTGAGCAACAGCCACTACTGAACCAGTGAACTACTTATCTTGACGAACTTAGTAAATGAGCTTTGAGCTGCCTTACAATTGCACAGCAATTGTGAGGAATAAAGGATGAAACCTGCACACTTCAGATTTCCCCTATGCTATCAGTGTGCTGTGTGCATATTTTCTGTAATTAGATCCATGGGGTGCATTTTTTATGAAAGAATCTTACTCGCTGCACAAAATGAAGTGGTGGAGGAGTATATGTGGCAAGTCTGCCGATGCAGAAATAATGACATGAATAATACCCACATTTCAGAGTAATAAGAGAAGTAACATGTGCCAGTGTAAATGTGTAGAACTAGATCAGACAATACTTCTCTCCCCTAACCTAAGCCATCAGGTGGTCTTCCCATGGAGACATATTGAATTTGATGGATTCCTGACTGTTCTGGGGAATTTTACAGGATATGGTCAGTTAAAAAATAATAATAAATATTTCCACTGTTGTGCTGTAGAGATCCTGACAGGTAAAAGCATCCATATCAAAATTTCCTTTTGGTGAAATGTCGTCATATAATCTGTCCGCATATTTAGTAGGATAACTGAGGAGAAATGTGAATGTGTGTTTTAATAATTTCCTATATCTCTTGATGAATTTCATTCCAGAATAAACCATTTTCACCTGAGAGAGGGGAAAAATCCATCACCTTTCCCAGCAGTTTGTTGCTGTGTTGTAATAATATTTGAATGAGTGTGTGATGCTACCAGTGTAGAATTTTTAAGGAACACGTTGCAGATACTGATTTGTATGGCTTACATTTTTATTTAGTTAGTTAGTTAGATTTGTATATCATCTTTCACCCAAAGATCACAGAGGGGTTCACAACTTAAAAATACAAAATGAGAGCACAAAATAGTTAATATAACAAAACCAAAAACAAACAAACCCCCACAACACATTTAAAAGGCCCTAGAATGTTAATCAGTCAAAGTCCGGGTTGAAGCGAAATGTTTTTGCCCAATGCCTAAAGATATGTAATGAAGTGTCAATACAGAAGAAAAATAATAATAAAAAAGAAAAAACATTAGACCTCCTCCTCCTCCCTTCCTTTGTATTCTAGTTATATTTTTGATAAAAATATTTATCATATTTTTATTTTTATTTTTGTATCTTTTTCTTTTTTTGTGTAAGTTTTGTTTTTTGTGTAACTTTTGTATTTTTTGAAATCTCAATAAATATCATTAAAAAAAAAAAAAAAGATATGTAATGAAGTGTCGTTGGGCCAGGATTGGTGTAATATGCTCAAACCATCTTGCCTTGGTGAACAGCCTGGCTGCCGAATTCTGTACCAGCTGAAGTTTCCAAGCTGTCTTCAGAAGCAACCCCACATATAACATGTGACAATAATCTAACATAGAGGTTACCAGAGCATAGCCAACAGAATTTAGGCTAACTGTCAAGATAGGAGAATAGCTGGGCCACTGAGGTCGCCACTGCAATTTTCAATGGAAACAACAACAAAACCCCGATTTTAAAAACACACAACTTTAAAAGCAGTTAAAAACAATTTAAAACATTTTAGACGATTGGGGCAATAATAATACCAACAAAACCTGCTAAACGATACCCTAACCCAAAGACATGCCCTCTAACAAGACACTCTATAGGCAGAAACAGTCTTAGGTAAGAAAATGCATTTACAGCTAGGTGCTATGTATGCAGTTACTCTTTCTTACTTAGCACCTGGGCTGCACATATGGAAGCCTATTTTCATACTGATGATTGGCACTTCTGGAGGAGAAGTGCAAGGGTGGACACAAAGAAACATTTCACTATCATATCTAAGAAAACAAATAAAAGCATGCCATTTTAAGCCATAAGCAGAAATGCCACCAAACAAGCAAAGGCTAGACATACAATGCAATCAGAAATAGGCCTATCTGTGGATACAAAATTAGGTATTGAATCAGAACCTGGGCTGCACATATTGAATCCTTTAAAAAGAACAAAAAGCATCTTCATTATTATCTTTTTTGGAAGAGTGGAAGAGAGTGAGCTACACCCCTTGCTCTTTCTACAACACCGGACAAGTGGGTTTTTTTTCCATGCATGGCAAAAATATTGTGCAGTACCTTAGTTGCCAGAGGATATCAATGACACAACCCTTAATTTTTCAAGTCAAGTAATATTTAATTTTAACATATTTCGTGAATATGTTTTCACTAAATAATAATTATGCATTCAGAGCATTCCACATAATAAGCATGATCATAGAAAGTACCCTTGCATATTAAGGCTTGGGACAAACCATTCCCAACAATGGTTACTTCTCGGAAATGAATGAATAAACAGTGCAATCCTATACCTGTCAATTCAGAAGTAACTCCTATTGAGCTCTCTGGGACTTACTCACATGTAAGTGCATATAGCATTACATTCCTTTGTCCTCCACGTATACTTCTGACTCATTATTCTGAATAAGAATCCTATTGTCATGATACAAGGCGTTGTCAAAGCTACCAGTAGTTTGTTGTTGTTGAAGTCTTCTTCTGTAGACAATATAAAGTGCAATGCCTGCACCAATGAGGATGAGGATGAACACTGGGAAAACCACCTTTATAACTCTGCCACGTTCTGATGCAGAACTATCTTCTTGCTCTGCCAATGGGGAAAAATGTAATATATATTAAAAATATAATAGACAACACTGAATACTATATACTATGGCAAACCAGTGACAACCCCCTTGTAAGAACAGGAGGGATGTCTGGGTGGTATTTTCTGCACATAAGCATAGTGTGCTGAAAACCTACCAGCCAATGAAATGGTCACCTGACTGCAAGGAGGGAAGGGGACGCAGAAGCAAAAAAGATGCACTGGAGTAGCTCAGATTCCTCTTAAAATAGGAGTACATCCCTTTTTTAAAAAAGAAAATAGCTTTGGCAGGCTGTGAAGGAATCCAGCCCCAAAGAAGTTTGGATGTTGCAATGCAACTGAAAAAACCCCAAAATGTCAAGGCAATAGTATACCTTCCCCCAGTTGTCTTTGCACTACTTCTTAAACAGGATACTATTATTCTGTGCATCTGCAGATAAAAGATGATTTGCCTTTTGCGCTTCCATCTTACATGTGAAACACTATAGAATACTCCATTACAACGAGATCTCTCACCCACTCCTCAACTGTCCTGCTTCATAGTAGCAGTTTTTTCAGAAGAAAGGAGAGTTGCCATCATTTTTCCCCAGTAGGGAAATGTATTAGTGCCTACATAAACTGAAGAGCTTATGGTAGAAGAGGGTTCAGTTGTTGATTTCTGCCTGCCTGGATGTGGTAGGAACATGGGGAAAATTTGATTTCACATATAAAGGTGAACCTACCAAATACACTTTCTAGAACAACACACAAACTGAAACACAGCTATCCTTTGGAATTCACATCTATCTGAATATTGTGATGCAGTTCTCTAATCAAACAACGTTTACAAAAATGCATATAGCAGAGCAGAGGCAGTTTGAGAGTACTTAGAAATACATATTATGCACATGGCTTAGAAATTCTGAATATTAAACAGTATATAGAAACAAAATAAAAAAATTCCTTCCAGTAGCACCTTAGAGATCAACTAAGTTTGTTATTGGTATGAGCTTTTGTGTGCATGCACACTTCTTCAGTATGTAGTATATAGTATATAGTATACAGTATATAGATACCTGAAAAAATAAACAAACAAATACTGGAGACATTACTTCACTGGGAGTTGGGGATCCCTCAAAGCAAAATGACCACCTTAGAATAGTGGAACAATTCAGAAGAGGAAGGAACAGACCGCTATGCTGAAAGATGCTGAGTTGAGGGTTTGTTATGGTCCCAGTTATTGCATCAATCCCACTCCTAGAAATTTGAGTCAGAAGTTCTTTTTGGAGAATGTTTGGCTCAATGTTCTGGATAGCACAGATGCTTGTAATTTTACCTGAGGTTTTTTTAAAAAAACCCAGTCTTACCTGTAGTTTTTGTAGGTGACTTAGTTGTCTCTTCAATAACTGTAAAACAAAAGAAATGTTTAAGATGTGTGTGATTGTTGTGTGTATCTATTTATCATCTATCTATCTACAGTAATAGCAAACTACAGAAGCAAATGTTTTCAACATAGTAGGGAAGACAGGTATGCAAGACAATATTATTAACCTTTTTTCTTTCTTTTTTAGTTCAGAGCTTTGATTAGCAATAAAGTGAGCCAGACTAAGGTGGAAGAGTAAAAGGAAAGTTAGTCTGCTTGCCAGCAAATTCAGCCAGCATTATCTATTTTTAAAAAATGTAGGAATGGTCAATTGACCATTCAAATATTGTCAGATAATGGATTCTACCACGAGTAGCTTTTAAAAATTGAAATGAATGTTAAGTTCTCACAAGTTAGAAAAGGGTTTAAAATGTGAATGGTTCACTGAACGATTCTTCTCTTTAGCTTTTGTTCTGGAATACCAGGATCAGGTTACAGAAATAACTTTCAAAAAATAAATGTGAGCTTTTAAAATCAGTTGTGTTAAGTAAGAAGCAGCAAGCCATTTCAAGCATCATTTGACAATGAAGAAATAGGTGGTCAGGTGACATTATCAAATTGACTGGAGTACCTAGAAACAAACTACAGTGGTACCTCGGGTTACATTCGCTTCAGGTTACATACGCTTCAGGTTACAGACTCCGCTAACCCATAAATAGTACCTCAGGTTAAGAACTTTGCTTCAGGATGAGAACAGAAATCATGGTCCGGCGGCGCAGCAGCAGCAGGAGGCCCCATTAGCTAAAGTGGTGCTTCAGGTTAAGAACAGTTTCAGGTTAAGAATGGACCTCCGGAACGAATTAAGTTCTTAACCCGAGGTACCACTGTACATGGAATGGATTTAATGGGGAATCTGGGGGGTAGGGAGAGGGAGTTTATTGAAAGGATTGCATTCAAGTAGATTGGGCCCTTGGACCTCCTAATTATTCCTCTTCTTGGTATACTTATATCCTGCACTTCTTCCTAAGAGATTAGGGCAGTTTACATATGGCTTGGGGTAGTATCATATCCAGGTAACTTTCAGACCTGCTTAGCTTTAGTATAACTGCTTCTTATGCTTTCAAATTGGTCCCTTTCCATTTCTCCCTCAGCTGATTTCATTGTTCTTGTTACGAAAAGTGCTGCAGTAAAAGTAATTTATTTGGAAACAAGTCCTGCTGGTTTCATTGGCATGGAATTCTGAATAAATGTGGCACACTTGTAACTCTCTGCCAAGAACCGATCCCCTGTAGACTAAAATACAGTGGTGCCTCGCAAGACGAAATTAATCCGTTCCGCGAGAGTCTTCGTCTAGCGGTTTTTTCGTCTTGCGAAGCAACCCTATTAGCGGCTTAACGGATTAGCGCTATTAGCGGTTTAGCGGCTATTAAAGGCTTAAAGGCTTAGGGGATTAGCTGCTAAAGGCTATTAAAGGCTATTAAAGGCTTAGCAGATTAGATAAAGGGGGGGGAAAGCGAAAAAAAAATCTCTAGACTCGCAAGACATTTTCGTCTTGCGAAGCAAGCCCATAGGGGAATTCGTCCTGCGAAGCGCATTGAAAACGGAAAACCCTTTCGTCTAGCGGGTTTTCCGTCTTGCGAGGCATTCGTCTTGCGGGGCACCACTGTATATACCTTTTGGAACGAATGTCTCAATAAGCTAACCTTCTGCTTTTCCATCCAATGTAATCAATTGCTACCTACAAGTCTTATCTGAGGTTTTGTTACAACCAAGCAATATAGAAATCTTGTGAAATAAATACACAATTATTATCCATTTACCACATTTGTATTTCAACTTTTCCAGAAATAGCTTAGTGTGCTGCACATTTTTTACCATTCTATTTAATACTCAGAGGAGAAACTAGAGCAAAACTGATTCTTGATGGGACATTCCTGGGTAAACAAGGACTCTGTCAGTTCCTTTGTCTCTAGCCTAGTGTAAACATTGAATTCTGGAGATATGGCAAGGTCTGGGAGTTTAGGATGGGGACTGCCAGTCTATCTGCCATGTATGCATTGGGCCGTGCACACATCTCTCAGTAGGTCTGCACTCCTGCTTCTCAAGATCCTTCCTTGGAGGTAATGGACAAAAAAGAAAAGAGGACTACTACAGTCACCAAATCTGTTTCTTTAAGTAAAATTGCCCTGGAGAGTCTTAAGTCACTTTTTTGCAACTGAAGAGTACAGATGACTGGAGAAGGTCTTATCACTTGGAGATTGGTGTGAGTGTAATAATATTACAGGGAAAGCATGAATATGCACCTCAGATATGCTTCCAGATGTGCTTCTTTCAATTAAAAAATATGTAGTAAAATTTAAAAATGGGGACCAAGTTTTGAATTTGAAATGTTCGGTCTGTTCACTCAATCCACTCAAATGCTTAGCAAGATCAGTCAGGCATGGTGACCTGAGCCTTAAAACTGTCAAAGTGGAATCTATTAAGAAGAAGAAGAAGAGTTTGGATTTGATATCCCGCCTTTCACTCCCTTTAAGGGGTCTCAAAGCGGCTAACATTCTCCTTTCCCTTCCTCCCCCACAACAAACACTCTGTGAGGTGAGTGGGGCTGAGAGACTTCAAAGAAGTGTGACTGGCCCAAGGTCACCCAGCAGCTGCATGTGGAGGAGCGGAGACACGAACCCGGTTCCCCAGATTACGAGACTACCGCTCTTAACCACTACACCACACTGGCTCTCTTAAATGATTTTTCCTTTTGAATAAAAGGAACGATTTATTAAAATGTTGAATATACCCATTCTGAAGACTGTAAATAATAGTGGGAACCTTTGCTATTATATATTTATCAAATGTTCATAACATTATTAAATATAGAAGTAGTGAAAATGATTATTCTCTAGCTTTGGCTCTATCTTTTACCATTTGTTGTTAGAGAGTCAATGACTGGAAGCTCCAGTAAGGTCTGCCAGAAGTTGGAAAGAGAATGGGAAGTAACAAAGAGTATGGAGGACACACACAAAAAAAGAGGACCAATTTGATGGAATGTGCAAGAAAAAGAAAGGCAGTTGGGAAAGACTGCATCCCCCCCAAAAAAAACCCCACTGAGAACTTGCTAGTAAGGATAGAACAAGGCAGAATATTATAAACATGCAGAGACAGGAAACAGTCCCTCTCTGGGCAGTAGTCTCACAGAAACACCTTTGTTACACAACTTTAAGAGGAGGGCAGATAAAGAGATGACATGGATAAACTTATAGTAATATGAATCTAGCCAGAAAACAATTACACAAGACTATCCTAAGACATTCACTGTAGTTCTATACAACTCACCTCAACAATTAAATACTGTTTTGAATAAGAATTATTGCTAATAAATAAGAAAATGTCTTACTTTTGTGTCTTTTACAAATAAATCCATTAGATCTTATGCAGCGTTCCTTGTACCACTCCCCATTATCTGCCTTCATGTAAGCACAGATGCCACTATAGTAAGAGGAAAAATCTTCAGGCTCGAATGTGGGCTCATTTGCTTTCCAGTTGACAAAATCTACTTCAGTCTTATCTTCCCATAACCATTCTCCTATTATTAAAATCAAATCCTATTATTAAAATCAATAGATATTGTAATGACTAAAAAGGGAAGGAGCAGCACAAACATTGCAATGTGTTCTATATGGAAACACAATTTAAAAATACACTCACCATTTTTAGTTTGGAAAATATGCAAGCAACCAGCAATATTATATCAGAACACTGAATACACTAACAGTATGGGGAAGGTGTCTGATTTCTGGCTACAGTGGCCCCTCCCCCCCACATTCCCCCAGACCATATTGAGCTCTATTTTGGACAGCTGCCTGGCTCTCAGGAGCAGCTTTTTTTTATAGACAACATAGAAGTGTCATGGGAACAGGGACTGCTCACACTGCTCGGGATCAAAACCAGATTAGATGTAGTATTTCTTTTTAAAACGACTAGTAGATACATCTCTTTTTCTCTTTTCTCTAAACTAGGAATTACAGGCAGGTCCCTGTTTCCATGGGAGTTACATTCCAAGGCACCACATGTGTTGATGAAATCGTGTATAATTGAAACCCATTGAAAAAAGCCTGCAAAAACCCCATCCCAATCCCGTTCTGCCCTTTTAGTGATGTTTCAGTGCTGTCTTTATGACGTTTCCAGGTCACTTCTGCATTTGGTGTGATGTGCGTATACATGGTCACACACATACTGAATGCGCATAAATGGGGGGGGGGGCGCCTGTACATATTTTTCATACCTTAAAACTCTTTTTCTAGATCAGTACCCAAAACTCCCACAACTATTTTGGAAAAATGGTTGGCTCTGCTTTTTCATAAAGTGAACTTTAACATATAGATGCCATTTCCTAATGTAGACTGTTATTCTTCTAATCTGAAGCTATAGCTTCAAGCACACTTACCTCAAGCTCACTGGGAACAACACACTTATTTTTTTAGTTTGCGAGGCTAAATACAAATATTCTGGTTTCCAACATCCCTTTTGGGGCAAGGCTCTGGAGCATATGGTGGCATCTCAGCTCCATTGGTTTCTGGAGGAGACGAATTATCTGGATCCATTTTAATCTGCTTTCAGGCCTGACTATGGGACAGAGATGGCTCTGGTAGCCTTGGTGGATGACTTGTGACAGGAACTGGGGAGTGTGTCCCAGTTGGTTCTGCAGGCCCTCTCAGTGGCTTACAATACCATTGACCATGGTATCCTTCTGGGCCACCTTGCTGGGATTGGACTTGGAGGCACTGTTTTACAGTGGCTCTATTCCTTCCTGGAGGACTCCTGGGGGGTACTGGGGGACTCCTGCTTGATGCCTTGGCCATTGGCCTGTGGGGTCTCTCGTGGTTCTGTTCTGTTGCCTATGCTATTTAACATTTACATGAAACCACTGGGAGAGGTTGTCCAGAGTTTTGAGGTGCTGTGCCACCAGTTTGCTGATGACACCCAGCTCTATTTCTCCTTTCCACCTAAATCCAAGGAAACTGTCTCATTTCTAAACTGGTGTCTATCTCCAGTAATTCTAGCAAGGCTGTTTGCCAAACTGTGTTATAACATTAGTCTATTTCTAGCAAATTTTAAGTTTTCCAATTACTACCTATGGCTGTATGTGCTGCCATTAGAAGATGTGTTACAAATTATATGCTTTTTAACTGTTCAATTTCTTCCATATATTAGCTAATGCAAAAATAAATAAATGGAAAACTCTGAGATGCAATTAAAGAAATTCCCTGGACAACATTTTCCTAAAACAACTTCACCTTTGAACATTCCCACCACATATGCCTTTACATTCTTATGCTGGTGTGACCCCTCAAGCACATGGAAGAACTGTTGGGCTTGATGTACGAAGGTTTTCTGGGAGTTAGGTATCATCTGAGCTCTTTCACTTCCAAAAATGTTTATAGTTTTAACCAATTTATACCTTCTTGTATAGCATTTCTTGTAAACCACATAGAGAATATTGTAAATAAATTGTTTTAATAAATAACTATATTAGAAATAAGTATTATAAATGTTATTATAGTATAAACATTGACTGTAAAACAGTTACCTTCAATATTTCTAATTAATCCTATCCAATAATTCCAACGTGTGTTTTGCTGTGTGTGCTCCACTAAAAATTTCAGTTCAGCTAAATCTTCTATAGAAGCCAAGGTGCTACCTAGGAAACATCAGATGAGTTAAATTCTTAATTCATTAAGAATTTGTCATACCACCTTTAATTTATTTAAATAATTACAATTTTCATACTCCATACTTTTATCATTGTAAATTGCTCTGGGACCTTAGGGGCAGGTACGACGAAACAGAAGCAACAACGTATTTAATAGATACACACCGGCAAAACTGACCATTGGTTTCAAATTACAAGGAAGGAGATTCCAACTAAACATCAGGAAGAACTTTCTGACTTTCTGATTGTTCAACAGTGGAAAAGACTCCCATGAGAGGTGGTGGACTCCCCTTTCTTGGAAGTTTCTAAGCAGAAGTTAGATGCCCATCTGTTATGTATGATCATAAGTCAGCTTAGAAGGAAAGCACTGTTGCTGGCACACACAATTTTGGTTTCCCCACAGTGCTTCTCTGGCCCCAGCGGAGCAACATTCTATCTGGGCTCAGAGGTACTGCGGAGGAAATAAAATGGAAAGTTAATAATTGTGTGTGTGCCTATGGCATGTGGCTTTTTACCACCCCACCAATTAACTTTTATTCAGTAAGATTCATACATAAATCTCTTGGTTGGACAAATGAGGATGATAAGTAGTAGAACAGCACAACCCACCTCACACAGAAGCACCCAACAATAGAAAGATTTATTATTAGGGATCAGCACAGTCAGGCATTTGCTGATGACCTGAGTGCTCTGAAGGACAAACCACCTGTTCTTCCAATCTTCCCTCAACTTGGCCTCTCCCAAAGTAGGTGTGGGCAGCATTGTCAGCCAGAAACCCCACTTGCTGTGCCTTGCCATTCTACAGTACCTCCAAGGACTACAGGGTCAATTTCAGGCTTCCTTCCTTTCTGCATTATCATTATAGCAACCCAGTAAGACATATTAAGCTGAAAGGTGGGGGATTGGCCCAAGGCATCCAGTGAGGTTTGTGGGTGAGCAAGAAATTGAACCTCTGTCTCTCTGGTCAAAGTCCAAGGCTAAAATCCTGTACCCACTTACTTAGCTATAGGCCCCACTGAACTTGATGGGGCATATTTCTTGATAGACATGCATAGGATAGGACTTCCCTGCAACACCATCCACTTACCACATTGGTTTTACATACTAACTAGGAGTTTCCTAGCATGGAAAATTTATGTCATGATCTAATTCAAAACGATACCCACCTAACTGAGAACATTTGAAGTGTGCTGTTGGGCGATCAAACCAACCAGTGAAGAATTTATAGCAATGTGCCCGAAAAGGAATCCAAGATATCTGGTTCTGTTTTGATTCAGGGCATTTTCCTGGTGCCTGTGGAGGTTCAGTTGGGATTTTGCCTATTATGAAACAAGTATTTTATTTTATTTATTTTAAATAAATATATTAGAAACCTATAAATACTAAGGATGTGCAAACAAATCCCAAATCATGAGATGAAGCAGAATATCAAGGTGGCATCTTGGGCTAGTGGCATCTTGGGCTAGTGAAATGAGATGTCTGCAACTTTGCACATGTCAAAACAGGGCCCTCAGAAGAGCTTCATGGTGCCAATCCAGGCATTAAAAAACTGTTGCAGACGAGTTTCCAGAACATAAACATGAAATGATGGGGGAAGGAGAGCAAATATGAGACTGGGCGGGGCAAGGAGGGAAAGCTGTGCTGTAATTGACAGGTTAAGCATATAATCAGAGGCAATAATTTTACACAGAAAGTGAATAATTTAATTCTTTTCCTCTGCAGAATTAATTTTAAAGGTGCCTAGCAAAATAACTCCCCGACTGATAGCAGGTTTCTTACCTACAAACTATCATGTCTGTATTTTTCAGATCAATTTGTTGACAAAATGCTAGGGGATATCAAGTGATTATTATTTTTTTACCCATCCAAAAACTGTTACAGCTGCGCCAGGAGTGCCAACTTGAATAAAATATGGGGGGGAGGTAAGCCTTGCCCACATAATCAATGACACTCATGCCATTTGAATGGCAATGCCAATCAACTTGGGGGGCAGTACCCTGAAATATTTTATTGGAAAATATTTAAATTTATCTCATTTGAGTCATAGCCAAAACCATTGTCAGTACATGGCATCCTTGGGCACAGTGGCAGGGCCCACCAGTAACACCTGCTTTGCCTTCCCACCCATTGGGCTAGAGTTCTATGAAATTTGCCAAAGGAGGGAGTCAGGCTGTGCCCTGGCCAAAGGCCTGGTGGAACAGCTCTGTCTTGCAGGTCCTGCGGAAAGATGTCAAGTCCCGCAGGGCCCTAGTCTCTTGTGACAGAGCATTCCACCAGATCGGAGCTACAGCCGAAAAAGCCCTGGCTCTAGTTGAGGCCAGCCTAACCTCTCTGTGGCCTGGGACCTTCAAGATGTTTTTGTTTGAAGACCATAAGTTCCTCTGTGGGACATATCAGGAGAGGACATGGGCTTTCGGCAGATGCTACATTAGGAGCATTATGAGAAATTGTAAGGAAGACTGGGGGATGCTTGGTGCTCATCAGAGCATTCTTGCCACCATCTGATAAGCCCAGCAGGACGACACCCCAGCATAGGGTGCTTTGCCCATCAGCTGGTGCTTTGGCAGAAATCTCAAATTTAGAGCTGGCATTGTTCCCAACTATTTGTAATATTACAAGTCATTGCTCTCTGAGAAATCAGTGCCCTGAATGGACATAAAATGGCCACCAAAAGAAAGAAAAAAGAATCCTTTTAATGAAACGTGAGCTATTTTAAATCCTATTGACTTCAATGGTAGGTTAACAGTGCAACCCTATGAGAGTTTACTCAAAGTAATGTTCACAGAGTTGCATGGAGCTTACTCCTGTGTTAATATATATAGGGTTGCTGCCTTAAAAACACTTGCCCAAGTCTCTTCAATTGAAATCAATGGGTACTAAATGTGGTTACCAAATCCTAGATTACTTATTGTAACTCCATCATATTTTTGTTTGCCTGATAGTTATGGCCTGATGGTTCGAACTGTAACAGTTCTTTCCATATGAAAGAGGCAGAAGTTTCAAGAGCACATTTCTCAGCTCTATCTTCAAATGGAGTAGGCAAAGTCCCATATTTAAAAAGATACCGTATTTTTTGCTCTATAAGACTCATTTTTTCCCTCCTAAAAAGTAAGGGGAAATGTGTGTGCGTCTTATGGAGCGAATGCAGGCTGTGCAGGTATCCCAGAAGCCAGAACAGCAAGAGGGATTGCTGCTTTCACTGCACAGCGATCCCTCTTGCTGTTCTGGCTTCTGAGATTCAGAATATTTTTTTTCTTGTTTTCCTCCTCCAAAAACTAGGTGCGTCTTGTGGTCTGGTGCGTCTTATAGAGCGAAAAATACGGTACATTCCTTTGCTTACCATGATGCCGCTCACAGACAGTGAAGAATGTTTCCTTGCAATTTCCTGTTTTCCAGTGACCATCAGGGTGTAAGTAGACACATGCTATTTTCTGCTTTGGCTCTTCAGGACCCCAATCAGTATATACTAGTCTCTGGTTGCTTATCCACTTGTAACGCTCACCAGTCTAAAATTCAAATGCACATGGGAACATCACATGCTGGCTTAGAAAAAAACTTTGACATTTGCATCCCATAACATGAACTCCACATTATTTACTTTTTCTCCTTTTCATTTTATTTACACACACCATCATCTTTCAGGGGGTTAACTTAGAGTACTACTATATGGGTGACATCAGATTTAATACCTATACTATTTAACATCTAATTGAAATAGGGGAGGTGTTATCCAGGAATATGGAGCATGGTGTCATCAGAATGCTGACTGCACACAGCTCTGTTTCTCCTTTCCATATGAATCAGGAGAGGCTAGGAAGGTGTTGAACTGGTATCTGGAAGCAGTAATGGTTCAATAGAAGGGCTGAATCCTGATAAGTTGTAGGTGTTGTAGGTGGACAGTTCCTATGTCAAAGAATTTGGTTGACAACCTTCTCTGGGAGGAGGTTCCTTGTGAAGGAACAGATTCACAGTTTGGGAATACTGCTGGATTCCAACTTATCACTGGAGTCTCAAATGGCTTCTGTGGCTAGGACTGCTTATGTCCAGGTTGGGCTAAGCTGCTAGCGACAGCCGTTCCTGGACCACAGTAGTAGGGTCTCAGTTGTCCATGCTCTGGTGATCTCCCACATGGACTTATTTAATGTGCCTGCTCTTGAATATGACCTAGAGGCCACAGCTAGTGCAGAATGTGGTAGATTGGTGGCAGCGTGATGGGATTATATGTCACCACATAGCATCACTCTGCACTGGCTGCCAGTAACCCACCTGGCAGAGTTTGTCGTGCACCCAGACCAAGCAGAATCACCTCCCATCACATCAGCCAATGTGCATACATATGTATGTGGTCCTGCTTACTGTTGGATTCTTATGACTGGGTTTCAGCCTGAAATGGGAGCACTGGAGCTGCCTTAAAGCATTTTGCAAAAGTGCTGTTTGAAGCAGTTTGAACTTTTCTTTAAAGTGAGTGGGTGGGCAGTGGCCATGGTAGCAAGTTGGGTGGCATAGAGGACTCTCCTCCACCGCACTACCCCTACGTGCTCATAGGTAACCCACAGGTTAGATCCAAAGCTGTTTGTGGGAATTAATGCTGAGGGTATTTTCAATGAAGTCAGCTATTAAAAGTTCTGTTCTTTCTAACTATGCCCTCAATACAAGCCCTTGGTGTGGATAAGCAGGTTTATGTTCATGTATATCATATGTTCTTACCATATTGCTGTTTAAGCCAATCCACACTGGCTCCTTGTATTTTAACACATGTAGCAATAAGAACGATTGGATGTATGGATTCACAATGCTGGCAAGCTCTGACTGTATAGAATGACATTTTTTCCTGGCTGCTTCCCATGTCATTTTGGTGCCAATGAGAGAGTAACTGCTGTTCCCAAAAACAGTATAGCCAGAGGCTGAAATTGTCGTTTCAGGGTGTGATAATGCAGGGTCTACAGGAAAGTAATAAAGAGAAAAGGCAGAGATCAGTTTAGACTGTACACCATCCTAAAATTTGATTTCACTTGATACTGAAATTTCAGAATGCCATTATCTCCTAAGTTTTAACATCTCAAAGTACTAAAAATCTGAAGTGAAACATTTAAAAACCTTGGAAATCAACATTTTAAAAGTTAACAATTACAGGAAAGTTCTAGTTTGAGATTATATGGATGTGGCCTCAGAATATATTTTCTTTACAGTTACAAAAAAGTCAAATTCTTAACATGTAATCAACAGGACCTTTTGAAACATATCTTCATTTCTTTCCAGAGAAGTCAAGAGATTTCAATTAATTTCCTATCTGCCATTCTTCTCAGATGATAAAACTTTAGTTCAGTCATTCAAAGTGGACTTTCTTCTTATATTCAAATGAATTTGCATAGGTCATAGGAGAAGCCTATCACTTTGAACAGGGCTAGATACAACAACATTAAACTGAAAAATCCTGTGCCAGCATCCTCCTCCTGCATGTCCTAGAGATGATGTGTAAAAAATGAGGCATATAATTGTGGCAACTCTTTGGCATTAGAGTTCACCTCTTTGCATCTATAAAAACAGGTTCTCGTGACTGCTGCTCCCCTAACCCCTGCCAGCTGATTTATACTGGTGAGTGTGGAATCTCTTATGCATTAAGAGCTTTCAATGTTGTTTTCTTTTTGACCAATATGGCATGGAAAACTGGCTTTGGATTCCATCAGGCAATCTGAATTTTTTAAAAAAATTATGTTACTTCTGTTTGAAAAACATACCAGTGTTTCTTTGGCAAATGTAGGATTTTTTAGCAGAACATGGTCCATCCTTCCAGTTTCCTGCCTGCTTTTCAGGCTCCTTCATCATAAAAACACAGTCTTCCTAAGGAATAAAAATATAACAAAGGAACAAGTAACACAAGAGCCACCTATAACATGTAGGGTTTGATTATTTTGTAACATATTATGCTTTTCTACTACTTAAACTAGATGAAAATATTAATCTATACTTTTTTGAGCCAAGTTTGTAGATTATCATTTCTCACTTCTTATAATGTCCTGTTGAACCCAGCCCAGAAACAAGCTCTACCACTTAATGACTCCGCAATCACCTCTGTGATTCCAGGTCAGCGATGGTGTGAGGTTCACACCAAAACCTGACTAAACAGACAGTGCAAGTTTGACAGCAACAGGTATCCTATCTCTGAACCCTACTTCTGAGAAGGAATCTGTAACTGATGCATGCTGATGTTTTCAGGAAGTGGGGTAGGGTAGCAGGGCCAGCTATAAAACTGCTTAGGTGAAACCTAGCTGTTGCTGGTGCAACACCTTTTCAGACTGGCTCCTTGACTTGAGACACCTATGCTTCTTATCTGAATGAACAACTCTCCTTGTTTTCTCATCAGCTCTGCTCTACTAGCAACTCCTCTGACTCACCAGGAAACAGGGAGTCTTTCAGTTTCAGTGTTGGCAGGAATAGTACACAATGAGTACCCCAACCAGTAAGATACATTTCCACACAAGCGGTATAATCAGTTAGTGCTAAGGTGAATGTTCCATCAGCACAAGTATTTCTTCTTGTGCAATAGAACCTTCTACCCGTCTCCTTCCTCCATGTGCTTCCTACATCAGTTGATGGGGTTCCCCAGTGCTCTGGAGTAGATTTGGGGATGGCATAGTGAGATGAGATGGGGGAAATCCTCATTTTTTTGCTAGAACTGATCCTTGCCAGCCAAAATGTAGTTGAATATTGTGCTATGACGATGAATCAGAGATAATGTGAATTACTATATGTCTAAGAGTAAGGTGCCCAGAAGGGCACTGCCTGAAAACTGGTCTGTAAAAAGAGTAGTAGTAATTGTAGAGTTTTTAAGTAGTGGTAGGGAACTGGACCTGGTCAGCAGACACTTTGAAGCCCTGACAATCAGCTGATGATTACAACTTCAAAGTGCTGCTTGGGACTCTTTGCAAGCCCTTAGCAAATAAAATAAGAACTATTCATTCTCTGTGCACAACATGTACATTTATAACCAATTCTGAGGAAAGTCTATGGCTGGCACTAAAAATGAACAAACTAGGAGCCAGATGAAGATTTGATGGGAGAGTGGTACATAAAATGGGTTTTCTGAATAAGTAGTCTCACTGCAGGATGCAGTACAGAAGACTTTTTTTATTTTGGGGGTGGGGGAACCTTTGCAGGCAGTACTTACACTCCAAAAAAGTGGAAAACCTTTGGCCCAGTTTAAATAGTGGACTCCACTTCCATCTGTCCACAGAAATGTGTGCGCCGAATGAATATCATTCAGTCCAATCCAAGCATCAGTTGAAGCACTTTTTAAATGTATCGTGAGGAATGCTGAATAAAAACAAAAGACAGGTTTCACCGTAAAAGATTTGACAAACACATCCCCTTAACCTATAAGTGAACCAAGATTCCAAGTTGTTCACATCTATTCTGGCCATGTAATTAAAGCATTTTATGACCAAGTATATTGCTGAGAGGTGTATGGGGTGTTACAGGGTGGATAGTACCTCTGGTGGGGGGCATGTCGTGCTCCATCTGGGATAGTTTGTCCCACCTTTGGTCCCCACCCTGCCCTCAGCTCTCACCTGTGGCTCCTGGAAGCTTTCAGCATGCAACAGCAGCCACACCCTGGCAATGGCCAGGTGAGGGTAACTGATGAATCTCAAACCCTCAATGAATTAGGCCATTGGTTGTCAACCTGTGTGCCATGGCATGCTGGGGAGACTTGAGGATCATCCAAGGGAGCTGCAGGGGGCCCATCCTTTAATTAACTTGCAGCTGCATCTCTCTCTCTCTCTCCTCTGTGGCCATCCTTCCTTGAGTCCTCCTCCTCCTGGATGCCTCCCAGTCATTTCCCAGATTCCTAGTTTCTGTGCACTCCCCCCCCCCCCCGGTTCTCCATTTCTGGCGTGCCAATTTGGTGCAAGGAGGAGATTCCCTGGTGGCTGCCTTTGTCTATTGCTAAAATGCAGGCAACTGGGGGGGGGGGTTATACTACAGTGACGTTGGAGGGGAAGGTTTTACTCAGGAATAAATCTGCACTTTGGAGAGCCTGTCCAAGTGCATGAAGGGGCTGCCAATGTGGGAGGAGGGATGGCGGTTGAGATCTCTCCAGCAAGGGAGGCAAGAAGGCAGTGAAAAGTAGCTTGCATGCCTGTGTCATCAGGCAGTGTAGGCAGCAGCCTATAGGCCCCACACCTTTTAGGGGCCTCATGACAACAAATCAAAATAATATTGATTTGATCTTGAAAGAAAATTACAATCAAGCTTTCTTAGTTTAATGTTATCCCACTATATCACGCACATGAGGGCCCCCCTGAGATTTTGACTGCCTAGGGGCCTCCACTGGGTTTAACGTGGGACTGTGTGCCATTTGCAAAAACGGGGTTGTTTCCATCCAAGCTCGCAAGTAAATCCCAAAAGAGTTCAATGGGGCTTCCTCCCAAGTAAAATGTTCATGAATTGGGGACCCGAATGGCTAAAGTCATATGTGTATGTAAGGAAGGAGGGAACTCTGTGCACTGCAGCAACACTGCCCTGGTTTCCAGCTCCTCCAAGTCACAAGCAGTTAGTCAAGTTACCTGAGTGGCAAGGGCAGGAGCCACATTGTAGCAGTTCCTCTGGCATGAGGAGAAGTTGAGCAGGAGGTCTTGGACTTCTAAAACTTTAAGTCCATAAGAGCAATATGTTTTAAAAGAACTGACCTTGAAAAGCTTTGCTTGTTATAGAAGCCAAGTTTCCTCCTTGTTTTTTACAAGCAGTTCGTGCATCAGACCAATTTTTTCTGTCTTCCTCATTAAACCCAAACAGTTGGAAGCACTGGGGGAAAGAATACAAACTCAAAACTCTCATCAATCATGATATGGTTAATGAAATCAACAATCATGAAATGGTACTGGAGTAGCAGACATGGATTATTTAATGACTTCAGAGAGGAATCAGAAATCTGAGATTTGTTGACTAGGGTTATCATAGAGTGGAGGATGGAGCAGAGGTGCCTACCTGCTGCAGGTTGGGGGAGAGACTCCCTGGCAACTACAGCTATATCTGCTGATAGCTCTACAAGTGTAGTTTTACCGCTGATAGGAGTTTACAAAGGAGTGATTGAATAACATATTCTTTTACTTTTTAATTGTATGCTTTTTGTAATATACAGCCCACTCACAACTTGCGCTGGGGTTACGTTCTGAGGTTTGTGCAAACCCCACAATTGTGTATAGTCAGAATATTTTGGAACAGCCCACACACCTTTTGGAAGCTTTGCACTGAATGGGCCTTGCCCCCTTTGCAGGGCAAGGAGCTTTTAATCTTTCCACCTTATGTATTTAATTTCTCTGATCGCAGCTGACCAGCCACCAAATGTGTGAGGCTGCCATCATGCAAGTTGACTGTAATATTCATTGTAAGCTCTGTAAAGAGCCCTTGCATAGAACTGTGGACACAGAGAGCAATCTCTGCATTGTCATAAGCTCATTGTATGCACTATAATAACTGAGAAGGGACAATATACCAGTTATATTTGCAGTCACTTTCTTAGTTACCTTGTTATTAAAAAAAAGCCAGCCATCAGCACAGCCCCCAACAGGTACAGGCATTGTGGGAGCAACAGTTGAATGGACAGAACTGTTATGCCTTTCACAGATGAATTTATTAGCAGTACCACAATTTGTATCATACCATAAACCTGAAAGAGGAATGATGTCTTGATCAGTAATATTAAATCACTCCCAAGTGAAAAAGCACACAGAGACCTTCAAGTATATATTGCAAATGAAAGATTGGTAACAACAAAGAGCAGCCACCACTTTTCTGAAAATAGAGCTTGTGAGAGACACCATACTGTTCCTACATTCTGTGGTATATGTCAATCATTCCAATCTGCGGTCTGCAAGCACATGATACAGAAGCCATGCTGAAATTATGTGGGTTAAGCCTCAAAGAGAGCCTGTCCATGAACTCTGTGTTGTTTTAAGTTCCATATTGGATGGAAGGGGGATTATGTATACAGGATGTCCTTGTTTTGCACAGGGGTTACATTCCGGGCCCCTGCAGGTGTTTGTGGAATGTGCATAAGCCTGCTCTGTCCCATTCCCCCTCTTTTCATGACATCTTTAGGACATTTTGGGGCTACTTCTGGGTGCAGTGCTGTGCATGCGTGCATAATTGCACGTCATTCAGACACGCCTAAAACGGTTGTCGCCTGTAAATGTAATACGCGATTATCAGTGTTTTTTTTCTGGCACTCAATGGTACGCAGTACTGGCACCGCCCCCCCCAATCTAGCGTGGTCTCCAGCCACGAGGCCCAGTCAGCATCTCTCTTACACAGCATTTTCCTTTCTGTCTCAAAAAACCTTGTGCTTCTTGCTGCTGCTGGTCTCCAGCCTTGGAGTCCATGGGACTGCAGTCTCATAGTCTAGTCAGGAGGGTTGTGGGCATTTCCTGGGACTCTTCGCCACTGAGGTGGTAGCAAAAGCAGCTGCTCAGGGCCGAGGCTGGTGTGAAAGGAACAATGAGGATGCCGAGCAGCCATGGCAACTGTCACTAATGCAGGAGGGCAAAGCTTGGGAGCGGAGGAGGCCCAAAGCCTGCAGGGCCAGTGAGTGGGTGCATCGCTGTGTCATACAGTGGCTGAAGCATCCCATTCCCTCTTATGTAATGGCAATGACTATCCCCAGCTAGGAGCTCCCACTGCTCCACCTACCCTGAGGCTATTTCCTCCCTTTGTGAGTCATCCCTGTCTTCTCTGCATTGGCTCTGTCTCCGCATTAGGTGACAGGAGAGAGGGAGGCTTCAGGTGTGTTAGTAACACTGAGAGGTTTCTTTATCCTTCAGCATACAGTGGTGCCCCGCAAGACGAATGCCTCGCAAGACGGAAAACCCGCTAGACGAAAGGGTTTTCCGTTTTTGAGTTGCTTCGCAGGACGAATTTCCCTATGGGCTTGCTTCGCAAGACGAAAATGTCTTGCGAGTCTAGAGATTTTTTTCCCGCTTTCCCCCCCCTTTATCTAATCTGCTAAGCCTTTAATAGCCTTTAATAGCCTTTTAGCAGCTAATCCCCTAAGCCTTTAAGCCTTTAATAGCCGCTAAACCGCTAATAGCGCTAATCCGTTAAGCCGCTAATAGGGTTGCTTCGCAAGACGAAAAAACCGCTAGACGAAGACTCTCGCGGAACGGATTAATTTCGTCTTGCGAGGCACCACTGTAATCTCTTTCAGCTCTCTGGCCCAAGAAGGGTACTTCATGGTGAGTACCAGCACCTTTTTTTCTAGAAAAAAGGCACTGGCAATTATCCAGAATATAAACTGCTTAAAGTCCCAGAGTTAGTAAAGTAGCATATATAAAAGTCCACGTGGCAGTTCCCAAAATCTCTCTTACTGTATAAACTTGTCCACATGATAAATATATAGTGTCTTTTAAAATATTTTAATATCCTGTCATATTCAAAAGAAGACAATTAAAGAGCTGTAAAACAATTGATTTCTACTCCCATTTAATGTATATTTATGGATGGAATAGTCACTGTAACTACAGATTCAATATGTGATAGGTATTTATTGTCAAGTTTGCAGATTCTTATGACCCCCCCCAAATGATAAACTTTTATTTTACTTGCCTGTGATAGCCTTCATAGCAACACATGTTTCATCATCATTTCCAGAGTTGGGTTCACCAGGTGCCCAGGACGCATAGGTCACTGGAGTTTGATCCAACCAGCTATAGAAAATAGTAAGAGAAAACGGGACAGAATAATGTAATTTGCCCTTCATTTACATTGTATACTTTTACAAAAGAAATATTGGGGGGCAGGGTTGTGGGGAGTTAGCAAAGGGAACACCAGGCTGATAAACTATTTAGCAAAACCGAGCATTTAACAATATTAATTTACAATGATAAAGAATATTATTTACACTGTTATTTCATTCTTATTTGTACTGTTTTATTGTTGTTAGCTGCCCTGAGCCCAGCTTCGGCTGGGGAGGGCGGGATATAAATAAAAATTATTATTATTATTTATTATTATCACCACCAGGCTTTGCATCTCTTGGTGGCACTGTATATATCTAGCATTACTTTTTCTCCTTTTACCTTTAGAGGGACTTTCTTTAAAATGCAGGGTCTCATGATTTGCAGCCATAGCAATTTCTAAGGCTAAATATGGAAACACAAGAACCTGCTCACTGAGCTCCTTTGTCTTCTTGTCTTCTTAAGAGTGGTCATGTGCCCCATTTTAAAGTGAACATTCCTTTATCTGACAGGCTTTTAGGGGACAATCTTTTATTTGAAGATCTGTCCACTATAAAGCTGGTTTAAAGAACCCCAGGTCTCCTGGTCATTCTCTTCCCTCAGCATGGTGAGATGTATTGAAAATATAATGAAATTATAGCAATTATTTATAAATTCATACATACAATTATAAAACATCCCAAACAGGACTTATGCAAATCAGTGCCTTCTTTTGTTCCCTGCCCCTGCTTTTTGGTAATGCAGTTCCTCTTTTCTTTATGATGTCTAAGTGGCCTCTCTATGTCTTTCCAGGATTGCACCTTTCTCACTCACTCTGACCTCAGCCATGGCCTAGCCCTATAAAAATAAAAATAAAATACCTATGACTGGCAGGTAGAAGTAAGGGGCCTGTCAGTTACTGGGGCCATTTATTTTAATTAGAGGAAAATCATATGCCTGTATTTTATAGGTAGAATGTAATATTTATATTTGAAAAATGATTAAATTGGTTCTTCTTTTACATAAAAGCCTCCTTTCGTGGCTGTAATCTTCAAGCCTGAGGGGAGGCAGTAGTGAGGAAGATCTGAAAAAAGCTTGTTGGTGGGGGAGCAAGGGGCAGCTTGCCTTTGCACTGCTTCTTTGCCAACTCAAATGGAATGGGGGGGAGTATACCAGGTGTGGAGAAGTATGACAACAATGAACTCTCAGCTCTCTCCATGAGGCAAGGTGATGCCATTTGCCTCAGGTGGCAGATCTGACCCATGTCCCACTCCCATCATTATGCAGCTGCCAGCCCCACTGGGGCTTCACCTGTGCCACTGCCACCACAGCACTGTTGCTCATGCTGCTGCCACTGCACCCTCTCTGCCGCTCTTGCATTATAATGCAGATGCAGGCAAGGGTGCAGCTGCTGTGTCAGGACTGGCAGCAGCATGGGCACAACAGCAGGGGCAGGGAGGGTGTGGGAAGGGAGCTTAGATCTGTGGGGAGTGCTATCGTGGGGGTGGTGTTGGGGTGTTTTGCCTACAATGACAGAATATCTTGGGCTGGGCCTGGTTCTCAGTCTCTTGCACTGGAGTCATAAAAGGCCATCAGTATTAGAGGGAGGATGTCATGGGAGAGGGAGAGTATCAGTGCTGCAATGTTCAGAGCATGGCTAGGAGCAGAGCAGAAGGGAGCAATTAACTAGGAACACGCCACATCCAAGCTACATACAATAGCCATAGAAGTCAGGCAGATAGAGTGGTGCCCTCTTCCTCAACACATGAAGAAAGAGGGTGGTGCCCCCAAAAGCTTTGGAGGAAACGGCATAATAAGTGAGAAGTTCCATGCAAATGAAAGAGACAAGGGTGTGATGCCAGCCTGGTGAATTGTAACATTGTAGTTTCAGATTGTTGTAACCTATCCTGTGACCTTATGGTTAAGGATGGGTAAAACACGTTAATAATAATAACAAGGCCAACAAGAACTAGAATGCATAATTCTGGGTCTGATAGAGCCAGGGGCAAGTCAGAGTAGAACAGTGGAAGGAATAGAGGGAAATACAACTTGCAAAGCTAAGAAAGGTAGGTCAAGTGATTAGAATGGCTACTGTGATCTTTGAGCAAAGGACCCACCAGTTAAGAATTAGCCTGTGGCTCTGTAGACCCTTTGTAAAGTCTACTTTAACAGAGCTAAAATAGTGAAACAACTAAATTGGCTGAACTACAATATCCAAATCCCTGTTGGGCTCTCACTGACATAGCAGAAGGAAAGGTGGTATAGGACTTTTATTCTCTATCCTTTTCCGGCTACTCCCCAAACTATTTCACTTTTATTGGAGACATAAGTTTTACTACCTTGTGGGGGCATGCTGGGGGCTAAGTGCTGGATCCTTAGGATCAAAGCCTTCCCCTGGTATGTCCCTTGCATGTATGCATTCATTCTAACACTGGGCTTTGATGTCAACAGAGCAAGGGCTGTGAAAGTTTCTGAGGTAGCACAGAGGAGGTAACTGACAGTCAGTTTTCCTCTCCAAGGTCAGTCTTCCCTATCCACCATCCCTAGACACCATTACAGGAACCATAGGACTGCAGAGTCAATCTATATATCTGGGAGATTAATTGAATCAGTTTAGAGAAAAATGGTGAATATAACATCCTTCTATCCAGATTATTTAACATTAACCTAGATATTATCTAAGAAACTTAGTATGATTTACATTTTTTAAAAAAGTTGTTGACTTACCCAAACTCTCCATCAAGACCCACAGTTAAACCAATGTAAAGGTCACCAGAGTGAGTTCCATAATAGTTGTTCTATAACATACAAAGGAAAAATGGGGAGTAAATGTAACAATAAAGTAATCAGATATATTTACAAATCAGCCAATACAAAAAGAGACTTGTAATTATAAACATAACATGTTTGTACTTTATTAAAACACAAATAAAGCTTTCAGTTAAAAGAAATTAAAGCCTGTCAGCTAAAATTAGAGAAAACAAGGAAGTTATTTATTATGGATTAATAAACTGATGTACCCGTAATAAGACCATTGGTACTTAACGTGAAAAGGATTTTTGGGTCAATGTAAGAATGGGCATTTAGCTCCCTCTAGCAGTCGCAGGCAAACTGCAAACTGGAAAAAAATATTCAAATTCCTCCCTCAGTTTGTGAGAGGCAATAGACAACTTGGGAGGAAGATTTCTTAAGTGCTGAACTAGGAACTGAGAAATCAAGGTCCAAATCTCCACAGTCATGAAGTTACCTGGGTGACCTTGGGACAGCCACTGCCCAAGTTGTTGTGGGGATTAAATGTAGAATCCAAGAGTCTACCTTTTGCTCCTTGGAAAAAACCCCAGAGGAAAAGCAGTCTGACTTTGTTTTCTTTTGTTTGGTTGCTTCCTTTAATAAAGAAGGGAGAGGGAGAAAACTGATCTGCCTTTCCTCTGCTGTGGGAGAGGGACAATGAAGGGAGGGGGGAAAGAGTGGTGCTTCAACTGGCTCCGGAGTCCCTCATAAAAACCAGACAGAAGCCAAGCTGTCATAGAGAGATAAAACATAACAGAAGAGTGTAGTGGGGCTGTTGCAGGTTGCAAGTTGGGGGAATGTATGTGAGGGAATATATGTACGTATATATAAAATAAAAAATCTTTAACAACAAGGGAAAGCAACACACTACAGTAACACAAACAAGGAGATACAGAAATAATACAAGCCTATAGTGAAGATGTAGAGAGTCAAGAACAGACTGCTTTCCTGAGGCAAAATTGAAGAAAAAAACCAATCTGGATTGTGCTCTAACCTATCTTGTATATACGTTTTTTTGTCTGATGGCGAAGAGTCTCTCTGTTTTCTTTTGCTGTCATGTGTCTGGCTTCTCTTTCCCTTCTTTGGCTTGTCTCAATATAAAACTGGCTTTCAATGAGGGAACAGTTTGGATTACGGTACTTCTTTCCAGCTTGCAATTTTGACTGCAACTGCTAGAGGGACCTAAATACCCATCCTTGACATCAGCTCAAGAGAACAGATGGTTTACTGAAGATTTTTAATTATATGTGGTATAAATTACAGTGCAGCTTATGCCACCTGCTTTCATGTCATAATGCTGCCCATTTCACTTCACTCTTCCACTTAGTGAGTTGCACTTCTTTGTCTTCTAAATGAAGAGATGGGGAAGGAAAATTAAACAATCAATGAAAAAGAACTAGAAGAGGGAAAGGATAAGATGGATCCATAAAGAGGGTTTCATAATGGATCTAGACAGAGCTTTTTTTCAGCTGGAACTCACCGGAACTCAGTTCCGGCACCTCTCAGGTGGGCACCATTGCCATTATAAGAGAACAAGGGAGGCGTTCATGGTGAGCTCCATTCCTGTTTTTCTAGAAAAATAGTGCTGGATGTAGAGAAAAGCAGGGAGGGAGGTTGGGGAGGTGAAGGCAGAGGGTGAAACCCTGAGTGATAAGCCCACTATGCTTTCATTATAGGCCCCTGATAATCTGTAGAGAAGCTCCTCTTCCCAAACATTTTGTTCGTGTATTTCCATCATGTTTCTTTGAAAATTGTATATTGCTGGATAGAATATTGAACTTTGCTGGCATGAAAATTAAATGCTTAGGCACAAAAATACATTTTGACCTATTGCTCTGCATCAGGCCTAGATCTGTGATGATTATTTGGGTGAATGGATCCCCCCCCCCCAATTCTCACTTCTTTGTCAGTGTCTTACACTTCAACTGAAGTACATGACCACATGTATAAGATTAAGGTTCTGGTGACCCTATCCAGAAGAAAATGTTTAGCAGGCATCAAAATAGCCACAACCCATCATTCATCTGGTTCTTTTTTAAAAAAAAAACCAAGCTGTACTTCATTAGGAAAACATATGTTCCAAATATTTCTTACGTATTTCCACAAAAACTTTCTTTCAGTTTCACTTTCAATGACAGTAAGATCTCCACCATGCTTCTTGCACAATGCTCGTGCTCTTTCTGCAGATGCACTTGTATTACTGACATAGTACTCATGTTCCTCATACAAAATCCAGCCATTATCAATTATTTTGAATGAATAGTCTGCAAAAGAAGACCTATTTTTATTTATCTTATTTAAAGCAGTTCTTAAATACCCTTCACCAAATGATTCCAGAGAGTTATACAAAAATATGCATAACGATAATTCACGCAATCAGTGCTATAACTAAGAAACTTTAATGATATTAATGGGGATCTCCCCTCCTCTACATTAGACAATCATGCACATCAGTTCAGTTTGAAACACACAATCAACACCACCCATGCATTTCTTATTGCTGGTTCACACTGTAAAATTAATTTAAAAACAAAGCAGTTTAGTTACCATGATACTATATTTTATATATAAAATGAGCACCTATTTATTTATTTTATTTTTATTTATTGAATTTATATATTTCCCCAAACCCACAGGTCTCAGGGCAGTTCACAAAATAAAATCAGAATATAAAACCACAAAACATATAATCAAAATGAAAACAACAACCCAATAACACACACCCCCAAACACATTTTAGAAGGGCATAGGATGTCAATCACATCAACCAAAGGCCTGGTTAAAAATGAATGTTTTTGCCTGGTGCCTAAAGATATATAATGAAGGAGCCAAGCAAACTTCCCTGGGGAGAGCATTCCACAGAAGGGGAGCCACTGCAGAGAAGGCCCGTTCTTGTGTTGCCACCCTCTGGACCTCTCGAGGAGGAGGCACACAAAGAAGGGGCTCACAATTTGATCTCAGGGCTCGAGTAGGTTCATATGGAAAGAGGCAGTCCTTGAGGAATTGTGGTCCTGAGCCGTTTAAGCTTTTATAGGTTAAAACCAGCACTTGGAATTGGGCCCAGTAACAAATTGGTAGCCCGTGCTTTGGGGGGCAGGGTGCTTGAGAGTTTGGTGGTAATTCATCTGCAGTCTTGAAGGAACTGGTTAACAGGACCTATTTCTGTCTGGATTCAGGTCTAGATCTGGAACAGCCATAGTTTCCCTGACAGCCCCCTGACAGATGACCTTATTTGGGAGAGGAACAGAGAGAGTGTGACCCCATTAGTCTTGCATTGAAGGTGCAACAAACCTTCAGGCAAGCAGCCAGCTAGAGAGCCTCTCTTGAGGCCCCCCAAAAGTCTGCTGGAGTGTGCTGGCAAGTGGCTAATCAGCGTACCTCAAGCTTTCAAAGTCACAGTGGAGGAATGGTGAGAAGAAAGGGGGTGGGGTGATCCTGCATTCCAAAACTGCAGTGTTTCTACTCTAGACAATTCGGGTGACAAAGGGACATGAACTAAGCAGATTATGGCGGAGGAGAAGCAGGAAGGGAAGTTATAAGGATATAAGGTACAGCAGTCAAGGAAACCTTACGCTTAGGAGCATAGGAAGCTACTTTATACCTCCAGCTAGCTCAGTTTTGTCGACACTGGCTAGGAGACTTTGTAAGGAATCTTTTCCAATCCAACCTGGAGATGCTGATGGTTACTTCAACACTGAAAGGATGTGCTTTACCGATGAGCTAAAAAGCATCCCTTCTAGAGGTGAATCTTAACAAGTTCAGCAAGCCCATACCAAGGAGAATTTACTGACAGAACTTTCAATGACTGAAGAAAACAGCTGGAACAATCCTGCCACCACCTTCCCCAACACTACTTAGGACCTACGTGTCCCAAGAGAAGGCAGAAATTTGGGTGCCCAGACTATGGAGCACACTTCTCTTTCGCTCCTGAGAGAATCATCCTTGGCCTGAGAGAGCTGTTAAGGCAGACCCACCCCCACCTTCTATGGTGCAGCTTTAAAAAGACCAATGTGACCTGAGGGAAGGCAGAATCACCCAACATACCAAAATCATTGCTTGGTTCAGGTTTCAACGGTACGCCTGAAAAACCAAAGACAAATTAATTATAATGGATTATAGTATCATTTGTATCATATGTTATTTCATATAGCAAGCAGGAGTTCATAAAAATGAACGTAAAGTTTTATTTATAGCATTCCACATTTCTACATCTCTGTGGAAACACAGGTAAAACCTAATGTGAAAGAACAATCAATAGCTCTGTACTCACAATAGCCTCAATGGCCTAATTTCTTGTTCTTATTGAAATGGAATAGAGGCGACTCAGAACTTATGCTGGGGTTATGTTCCGGGGATAGCACCTAGAGCCCAAACCATGTATGGTCAAAACATATTGGGTTCAATGGCAGGGGCAAGACGGGGCTTGCCAAAGTATTTTTTTCTAGCCATCCACCCCCTTTTGCAAAGCAGATAGATTAAATGTGGATAATTTGTGAGTGACCTGTGCTTCACATCTCAGACTGTCATAATCTGAACTCTGCAACATTCATAGCAAAGGTTGAATGCATTTCTCGTTATTTTCCCCTCCTCTCAAAAAGGCATGCATCTTAAAAAGCCAGGCTTCAGCAGTGCAGCAAATGAAGGCCTTGTTGGCTTTGTTTAATGGACCGGTAGTAAATGAAAAGGAATCTTACCTCTTTTAATTTGGCAAACCCAACTGAGAAAACTGTCACAGTGGAAAGGGATCCAACGATTCCAATTCTGTCCTATTCCTCCACATTTTGCATCTGGTTTATAGAAAAACCAAGGGCTCCTCATTTCAAAGTTTAGCTGCAGTAGAAACAAACTTTTCTTATTCTTATTTTTTTTTTTAAATTCGTCCGTGGCAACATACCAAAAAGGAGACAGACTTACAATAGCAGTTTTAGAATGATTTGTACCCATGTGTACATCTACATATATAGAAAGAAATGGGTTGCCATTTCCTTATTAATACTGTGTGGGTGCAGGCTAACATTACTCTTATACCTAAAGAGGGACAAGAGTTGACCTTAATAAAAAATTATTGACCAATCTCATTACTGAATAATGACTATAAATTATTTCAAATGATTTTGTTAGGAAATTAAAAAAAAATTCTATAAGACTTAATATACACCATGACCAAAGCAGATTTTTACCTATCAGACAATTAAGAGACAATGTCAGAAATGTGTTGGAGTATTTGAGCTGTCATAATGAGAAGCAAGCTGCACTGATTTTTCTGCATGCAGAATTTTTACGTGAAAGAGTAACTGAACTGGAGGATTTGAAGATGGAAAAAATATTGTTTTTAGAGAAGATAGAATTGTTAGATTTTAAGGAATGAATACTATATTTAGCTGCAAGATAGAGATCCAGAAGTCCTTTTATTCTTTTTTATCTTTCTCTGAACATTTCTCTCTCTTTCTCCTCTCTTGCTTTCTGTTTCTTTAGGTTTTCCCTTTTTTGTCTTTTCTTCATTCTGCCTATGTTCTTTTTTAGATTAAGTGGCTGTTTTATATCAGTAAATTATAAAATGATACTTTGTAATGGGCATGTATTTTTGTATATCAATAAGTAATTTCAAGCAAATCTTGTAGATTGCATACAAGTAATATGTTTAAAGACTTCATTGCTGGATATTTCAATTACTAAAGGTTTTAAAACGCTGCTATGTGATCTGTCCAATGTAAATATGAGAACAAGAGGGTGTGTACGCCAAGCTTAAAGACATTTTTTGTAAAACTAATAATAACTTTGCTATCAATACATCAGCATTACCCTTTTACTTACATTAGATCCATCACTCCAAGTAAATCCTTTATCAGGATCCACATTATTCAAACCAATCCAATAATTGTCATTGGAACACCTAAAATATATAAAAAAATAGTGAAACAGAGTCTAGAAAAATTCAACAAAGGAATGGATTTCATAAATCTGATACTCTGGTTTCTCTTCAGATCGTATAAATCTTTTGCCTAAGGATTTCAAACATCTGAGTTTTTAAATTTGCATTCACTACTTTTATATTCTCTAGAAAAATATTATACATGTGTATCATCAGTTCATTCATTTAAAGCTTGTTACATTATCAAATTTCTGGAACAGGTGTGCCATTCTGAGCAGGAAGGATTAAAAACAAACAAACTCACATCTCTTCTAGAATCTTCTGTTCTTCTTCACTGTGAATAGAAATGAGTTCTCCTCCAACTGCTCTACAAAACTCTCGTGCTTCAAACCAAGATTTCTTATTACTTTTGTTTTTCGCATAGGCCTAATGCATAAAACATAATTAAACACTGATAATAAGCACCAGCTTTTAATACATAACACTCCCTCCCTCTAAATATTGCTAATTTCCTTCTTTGTTTGCACCCAGGATTCATAGCCTGATAACCTTTTGAATTCAGACTCCAATTTCATATTCTGCATCAGATTCTACTACTTTTGCTCTTGACCACTAACCAGTACCAGGCCAGTACCCTGTTCTGTCTTTATTACATACCAACAATTTATTCATGTTATAGAAAAGAAAGGAGCTTTAAAGTGTGAGCTTCATTCATTCTGCTACAACTAGAGATATGTGACAAGGGCTGTCCCATAACATTTTGGCACCTAAGGCAACCATGAAATAGTATCCCTCTCCCCACCAGGGATACTGCCACCTGAGGTGGTTGCCTCACTTTGCCTCATGGGTGGGCCAGTCCTGTGTGTGAATCATCCCTAGGATAAATCTGGTGAGCATTCCTTATGAAATTCCTACTTGCTCTTTCTTTCTTTTCCTGAAGACAAATAACATATTTCTATGCTAGTTGTAATATAAAATGTGGGACTATCAAATAATCTCTTTCAGAGTATGGTTTGCATGAGTTCCCATTTCACAGATAAGGAAAGCAGCTAAGGGCAAGGCAGACATAGCATAATTGAATGTATTTACACCTGAAGAGTTCAACCTTTTGGAGTCCACGGCTCCCTTGACCAACAACATTGTTTCTGTGGGGCTTAGAAACACAGTTGTGTCACCCCTTGCCTATAGCACTGGCATCCTCTCAACCTTTTTCGGACACCCTTCCTTGTGGAGTGTTCCTTCAGCCTCCTCTTCCCTCGGAAGTCCTCTGGGAACCTGCTGCTGCCGCCCCTGGTCTCTGAACTACCCCACCCCAAAGAGAGGTGCCTCCTTACACTGCGCCAAGGGGCCTGGCCTTAGCGACCTGACGGAGACTGGCCAAAGGTGAATGTGAGGCCAGCACCTTACCTTACTTATGCACACTTGTTAGAAAATAATGCTAGGTGGCTTTACTGCCATACCTTAGAAGAGCATCTACAGTACGTATGTTGGGCTGCCATACGTCTGGGGGGAATTTCCAAAAGGTGGCACTTTGTTCTGGATCTTGAAATATGGCATCCCTAACAGTATGATCAACACCAGTTTGCTGAACCTTTTTTAAAGATTCTGTCACTGTCAGGATACAAAAGATCTGGATAGCTATGCAGCCTTCATTGAGAATTAGTTGCACTGTTTTTGTTGTAAGCCTCATTTAATTATTATTATTATTATTATTACGGTAACTGAATATTTCAAACTCATTTCAAAAAGTAAATTTGAAGGATCCCCTCCCAATCCCAATTCACAAGGAAAATTATCTTAAAATTATCTGAAAGATGTGTAGAATTTTTCTCCAGTTCCTCAGGCTGTAGTGTCACAAATTTTAAGATTCAACAGAATATACAACAAACATTTTTGGTTGGTTTGAATTTGGTTGGTTTGTGCTCTACTTAACAGGTGACAAAAGTTGCAAAACACCATCAATAATATTCCTTCTGGATAATGACTCCATAAATATAATCCAGAATTATCTAATTAAGCCAGCACAGCTGCAAATCTCTGGGCCCTGGGTACCCTTTCCTCTCCCTCCCTTAAGCCCAGAGCTGTTTTACTGGGCTACTGTCAATGTGGAATTATCTTTCACAGGCCAGTTTGAAACTGATCTTATTGAACAATTTTAGGTTAATGTTGAAAAATAGGAGACAAGAATTATGAATGGTCACACAAAATATGAGAGCCGCAACAAAAAGGATCAGTAAAACAGAAATAAATATGCAGCTACAATATGTTAAACCACCAACAGAAAAATTCTGAGCCCAGAATTGAATGAGATTCACAGCATTTCCACACAAAAATCTAAGCTTTCTTCATATCAGTAGTAGTATAAATAGGGCAGCCAAGGAAGGGGGAGTCATTTTGTTGCTAAACAGTGGGGAGGCAGAAATCCATTCTGATCTACAGCAGAAATCTATTCTGATCTACAGCAAACCAGCTAAAGATCAATTTTGAAGTTGACATTTCAAATAAACTAACGTTCAAAACATTGAACTAAACTACACAATAAAATGAATCACAATTAAAAAAATCCATTGAACATTTATATTTAAACTAAAACCACACTCTCAGATGGCTTGCATGTCTACCTTTGCCTTGCTATTTAAGCAAACAAGAACTTAGACACAAGAAACGCTATACCTACCTTAAAGCACACATTTCTAGTACTGCTTGGACGCCATCCTACTGGGCACGGCTGCAGAGGAGTTGGTTTGGGGGCAGGAGTTGTTGTCACATCTTCAGCCCATTGTTTGCAGATGAAGGTTGCCTTCTCCTCACAGTTCACAACATCCCACAATCCAGCTGCAGTCCCAGTTCTCATGGCAACACAGCCAGAATGTTGCCCTTTTGGAGATACAATCGCCAGTCCAATTGAGTATCTGTTCATATGTGTAAAACTACTACTAATAATGACAATGTAGAAGCCCCTTGTGAAATATTACTCCAGTTAGGCTTCAGGAAGTACCTACCAGGCATTTCTGAATTCCAGTGGGTGAACAGAGCACTGTCTCCACTGGTCCAGATAAATGTCCCTGGTTGCTGTACATCTGAAAGACCGATCCAGAGATATTTTTCAGAATGAAGCCCAACTAGGCTAGTCAGGTAGGCTTGTTCATACCTGCAAAAAAAATAAGTAATAAGTGCATTAAAAGTGAGTGCTTCTTTTTTAAAAAAGAAGTTAATTTTCAGGACATAGTGGAGTTGATGTGCATTTATTATTATTATTATTATTATTATTATTATTATTATTATTCCCAGGGCATAGTTAAGGTGGTATCACTCTGTATATCAGAGAAGACATAGAAGCCAACACGCTGGAAAACCATGAAGGGTTAGACTCCACCACAGAGTCGTTTTGTAGGTAACAATACTAAGTCTGATGAGTAATTTAGTACAGGGGATATGCTATTGTCCTCCTGCTAAAAGTGCTCAGGGAGATCTTCAGATGGAGACTGAGATCAAGGAGGCATTCAAAAGAGGGAATGCTAGAAAAATAGGTGGCTTCAACACTCTCACAGATTGGGTGCATGTGTGTTCTAATCACAACAAAGAGGTAAATGTTCTAGATATCCTCAGTGACTGTGACCGAGGGCAGCTAGTCACGGAACTAACCAGAGGGCTCTCAGCCCCGACTTAGGCTGCTTACACACCATATATAGAAAACAATGCTCTTAATAAAACTGAGAAGTATAGTTTACCCTTCACAGAGCTACAATTCCAAGCACACTTAATAAACTACAGTTCCCAGGATTCTTGGGAGTGGGGGAAGATGTACTTGAAATGTATGGTGTGTAGATAGCTTTAATCTTAGGTGGTGGCCAGAACCTGCTGCAAGATGTAAACATTATTGAACCAACTGGGGAAAGTGACCAGAATGCTATCAAAAGTAAAAGGTTAAAACAACAACACACAGCCATGCCTTCAGGTCAATTTTTACTGAGGAATACATCTACATTTTGTGTCTACCAGCATCATCTACAGGTCTGTCAAAAGTCTGACAAAAGAATTACAAGTGCATCCAGAGTAGGTAACTGAGGCACATGATTCTCTGTTCAGACTACACACATATAAAACAGCAAAATACATATATACAGGAAATCATCAATGGGTTTAGAAGATATATTAGAAAACATGCACCCATTTGAGATAGAAAAATCATTTGAGATAGAAAAATCATTTGAGATAGAAAAATCATTTGAGATAGAAAAATCATTCAAGCTAAGCGTCTTATATTCATAAGGACAACCAGTAAATCCCTGACGAGCAAATTGAGATTCATGATCAAGGAAATCAGTAAGGCCACAGATTGCAAATCTAATAGGAAGTTCACAAGAAATGCTGAGCAGATCATTCAAGAAAGTACCTTAGTCACAGACTGTGGTTCAACTCTTAATATGTATTATGTGGCCAAAGAATTAGGCCTCTAACAATTGTAACCATTGTACTTTTCACCCACATAACACTCATAAGCTTGTATCCAATGTTCATTCTATTTAGTGTAGACACATAAAAAATAATGAACGTGGCTGACTTAGGTCCATTAATGTCAACAGGTCTAGTCTGAGTGACATTTAGATGGACACAAGCAAGAGTAAGAAAGCTGTGCATAAATTTTAAAAATAAAACTAATTGAGCAGATAGCCATAACAAAATCATCTTTTTTCTTTCATGGCCAGGAAGTGGGGAAAGTGGAGTGAAGAATGCCCTCTGAATATCAAGACCAATTATTTTTCAGTTGGAATATTGAGAAATATAGCTATTTTGTAGTTTATCAATATTTAAAATGCTCGTTTCTTCATTCTTGATCTAAGGAAATTCTTTTTCATACCTGTTCTCCACAGAAGTTAAAGATCCCTTATTTGTTTCACAGAACATTTTTGCTTCTGAAAATGTTAGAGATGTTTGTCCAATTAAATAACAATAGATACCGTGCCTTTTCCAGCCCTGTTGATATAAAAGAACCAACAACCACATTACTACAATATTAGGTTGGAGACAATGAGGTTTTTCAAATTACGCTGCTGAATATGTACTAAAATGGGAATCTCTGTCCATCATGAGGCGCCACAGAAGTTGCACAGAAATGTCCTATATGTTGCCTGGGTCAGTAATGTCACCCTCTGAAATGATGCAAGAGTCTTTATCCCAGCATAATAATTAATGCTTATTATTATTAATTATTAGATTTATATACTGCCCTTGATCATAAGGTATCAGGGCAGTTCACAGTACTTTGACCATTTGACAATTCCTTTTTGAGCCCAGACTATCAATATAACATCTAAAGCAGATTATGGGGAATAGTCTGGTGTAAAGCAGATGAGTCTGATTTCTTCTGGTTCTGGAGTAAAACATACAAGACTGTCTTAAACAGAGTCAGAATGTAATCTCCTTCAGTATTGTCTACTCTGAATAGCAGCAGGTCTTCAGTATTACCAACTTCCCTTTTCACTGGAAATGTCAGGGATTGAATCTGAGGCCTTCAGCAAATGTTTGCCACTGAGTTGCATCACCAGCAATTTTGCCCATCTCTATTATATTTTGCTCTTTGGGAAAACACAGTTGTGTGAAATTAAAAAAACAAACAAACAGAGCAATCCTGCTAGCTAAGGAATAAATTTGAATCTAAACATTGAAATGCATAAATTGCTGAATGGATGATGAAGACCTTCCAATGTATACTTGTACTTTTCTCTGAATCAGGAAATGTTCCATGTATTCAACGAAGAATTCCCAAATTCAAAAATCTGAATCCAATAAAGGAATTACATTGCCCCTGTGAGCACATACCTCCATGAGCACATCAGAGCTCTATCACATTTATTAGCTATAATACAGAACTAGATTCCAAGGGAAACTGATTAAAGTGACCCACCTAGCCCAGCATCCTGTTCTCACAATAGTCAACCAGATGCCTCTAGGAAACCTGAAAATGAGAGCTGAGTACAAGAGTACTCTTCCCTCCGGCAGATCCCAGCAACTAGAATTCAGGAATTCCCGTAATTTTATCTATTAATTTTCCCTCTGCTTGTGCCCCCTACAGGAGTCCCTCATTGATGGATCTGAGCAAGCCATCATGTCCACACTCTTATGGTCACAAGTTGCTGCTGAGAAATTTCAACTATTAATTAGCTTTAAAACCCTGGTAGAGAACATAAATGATAGACATATATGTGCATTTAACTTTTTAAACCACTTCAGACTTACTCTCTGGCAATTTGAATCAGCAATTTCAGGTTCTTCAGGAAGAACTCCTGAAGGTTTTCTTTTACAGATGTAACCAAGTTCCACTTCACAGAAATAATCTGCCCAGTATCCACCCTGGATGAAGAAACATAAATATTGGTGAAAGATGATTCACTATCTTTACATTTTCTCATTTTCTTGATGCTTGGTTTCTTCCTTGATATCTACAACCAAAACTAATGAACTATTCTACTGAGAAATACTGTGCTTGTTAATGATAAACAAAACAGGGTTTCTGGTTGCAAGAAATGGTCGCATTCAAACATAAGTGGTCATCTTAATTCGAAAACTTAAGGCTGAGCTGGTCCAGTTCCCACTGATGTAAGATTTTCAAATATAGAAGTTTGGGATTGAATTATTTTGTTTTTTAAAAAGCATTATTTAAAATTCTGCAGTCTTTGTATAGTATGTAAATTCTTTTAGTTTGCAAAATTTGTTCTGCGTTATGGTTTTACTTTGCATAGTTTATTTCGGTTTTTCTATAACTATGATAAAGAGCATTCACTATCAAAGAACTGAAGCATCACTACCAAAGACTTTAAGTCTTACTGAGCCACATGTTTGGCTTCTGAGATTTTAAGAGAAAATTCCCACACAAGCAATGGTGTAACTATGATCAGCTGAAAATGTTTTTTTTAAAAAAGGAAGATGAGATTTTCAGGAAAAAGAATTCTGCATGTAGTACCATATTGTACACTATTTCTGTGTTCTAACAGAATGTAAAGGTAAAGGGACCCCTGACCGTTAGGTCCAGTCGCGGACGACTCTGGGGTTGTGGCGCTCATCTCACTTTACTGGCCGAGGGAGCCGGCATACAGCTTCCAAGTCATGTGGCCAGCATGACTAAGCTGCTTCTGGCAAACCAGAGGAGTGCACGGAAACACTGCTTACCTTCCCGCCGGAGCAGTACCTATTTATCTACTTGCACTTTGTGCTTTTAAACTGCTAGGTTGGCAGGAGCAGGGACTGAGCAACGGGAGCTCACCCCGTCATGGGGATTCAAACCGCCGACCTTCTGATCAGCAAGCCCTAGGCTCTGTGGTTTAACCCACAGTGCCACCCGCGTCCATACACTTATTTCTCAATAGGAGTGAATGGTGTGCTGCGTAGTTTTGCAGAGCTTCCCCTCCTGACACTAGCATTGCCACTTACCTGGCACTATAAATTTAAAGGGGTATCATAAGCAGCATTGGGATGCGGGTGGCACTGTGGATTAAACCACAGAGCCCAGGACTTGCCGATCAGAAGGTCGGCGGTTCGAATCCCTGCGACGGGGTGAGCTCCTGTTGCTCGGTCCCTGCTCCTGCCAACCTAGCAGTTCGAAAGCATGTCAAAGTGCAAGTAGATAAATAGGTACCGCTCTGGTGGGAAGGTAAACGGCGTTTCTGTGCGCTGCTCTGGTTCTCCAGAAACAGCTTAGTTATGCTGGCCACATGACCCGGAAACTGTATGCTGGCTCCCTCGGCCAATAAAGCGAGATGAGCGCCGCAACCCCAGAGTCAGCCACGACTGGACCTAATGGTCAGGGGTCCCTTTACCTTTAACCTTTACATAAGCCGCATTAAGCAGTATTAAACAGTCATGGCTTCATCTAAAGAACCCTGGGAACTGTAGTTTGCTAAGAGTGCTGAGAGTTGTTAGGAGACCTAACAGAGCTTCAGTTCCCAGAATTGCCTGGGAATTGATTTTTCAACTATTCTAAAAATTGAGGGTTTGGCATTCAGTTTGCCAGACTGACTCTCAATATTTCACCCAAAAAGTCAGTTCAAGACCAATATATCTCTACTGGAAGTTCCATATTTTTACCTCCCCATTCATGATGACACATTCATTCTGGACATCATTTATTTGTGTGGGTTTTCCTTTCTGCCACTTGGTGAATGTCACTTTAGTACCATCACTCCATTCATAATACATCTGAGTCTTCTGGTCATTCAGTCCTATCCATAGAAGATCTGTTGGCTCTAAGAACATAAAGGCACCTAATTAATTTGCTCTCACGCTTTAGGTACAAAGAGTCCAGGTATTGAACGGGATCCTATCACAAACAGTTCTATGGTACATAGATGTGGAAATAAGATAAAATTCACAACTGTAATTCAAATAGACATGTCAGTGTGCAGCTAGCTAAACAGCTTATTGGAGAATGTCAGTCTTCAAATGCAGCACTACAACTAAGGATAATCTAACCTTGTGCTCTCCACATGTTTTAAACTATACCTCTCAACATCCCTGACAATTGATTATATTGGCTGGGGTTGATGCGACTGAACCAGGTTGTTGAAAGCGATAATAGTCCATGTCATCTCATGTTTGACCTGTTTATCTTCATGTATTTTTCAACAGGACAGAGACCTCAGTAACATTCCATCTTTGCATGTGTAACAAAAAAGCAACACAAAATACCCTCTTTCTTAATCTCACATATATATCAGATACCAGGAGAACCAAATTTCCTAGATGTACTTACGGTAGCCAAGCTGAGATATGACAAAGCTGTATTCTTCAATGTGGTGTATACTTATTAAATCACCACCTTCCTCCCGACAGGATGATAGGGCACTCTTCCATGTCTTGGGGTCTCTGCTAAGGTGGTAACAGTGACCTGCATATGCAACCCAGCCATCCGGACAGCTAATTGACTGAAATCCATCTAAAAAGAAAACAGTCCTTTGTAAGATAGCATGACTAGATGGAGTTTTTAAAAAATAATAATTTATGTGCCATTATGATGTCATTGACTCAATACAGAATTTAGTAGATGCAAATCTGGCAATTGATATTAACAAAAGAGGGTAACCCATCCTCTCATATGATTATATTATTGTCAATAAGTTAACAAACAATTCTTGTAGTCATATACTGTACATTTTTTGACCTGAGAGAATGTGGGTTTGGTGCACAGTGGCAGTCATAGATGGAAACGCTCCTTATCTCCCTTGTTGAAGGCAACCTGCTCAATGCCCCCCACCAGTCCTTATAAATTATCTATTCTCAGTGACAGAATTTGGGATAGAGACAAGCCTGATCTGTGAACATACTTCAGAGCACCCCTTTACTGGGGCCACCAGATTTATATTTGCCAACTCCAGGGAGTCCCTCACCCTTGGACAGGGTTGAATTGAGACAGGTCACAAGGAAGCCACTAGCATCAGCTGCACTTCCAAGTCCTGTTCAGTGGCACTCAAGGAGGGGGTGCATCAATACCACAGGTGGCCAAACCTCCTGAGGAGGTGGCTTCCAGGAAGGTCACCCTCATTCTCTAACTAGTTCAAAGTTCAGCTGTTCTGAGATATTTCTTCCTTACATTTAAATCCCACCTTTATTTCATGGAATTCTAGAAAATCTACTACCCAGGTACTGACCAGACCTAGACCAGCCTAGTAAAGTTTCTGAAGCACATGCATTTAGACCATGCCTGCAGTCTTTATTGATTGATAACCTATTATTAGCTACTGTCAAAATACTCTCAGCCATCTCAATCCAATAAAATGTTTCCCATTACATATGCCACTACAAACAGCAAAACTGCATTACTGTATAAATATGGACAATGTCACCCTCCATAAATCATGATATAATGATATTTAGGGAAGCTTCATTCCCAGTTTATCGTCCTACCTGAAGGAATAACAGAAGCATCTAATGAAGAGTTTGCTTTTTTGCAAATGTATCCAAGTTTCTCTTGACACTTATTATTCTCCCATTTGCCAACCTTAGACAGCATCGATCCACATATTTTTTCTGTTTCTGGAGTTGGGCTGCCTTTAAGAAAGAGTGAGACAGGTGATAATTGCCTATGTTAAGCTATGTTAACATTGCAACATTATTTTAATAGTACTAAGCCATTTCCATAAAACACTTTTTAATATATAGTCAGCAATGATAAAGTTTAAATTCACCAGCATAAAAAAATAATAAATTAGCCATTCCCCAGTAACTGCCCTCATCTGTCCTGTCCCACGACTATCAACAACTTATGGAAAAGCCTCTTTAAAAGTGTGAGAAAAGAGGGTCTGTCTAATTTCTACAGGAATTGAATTCCAAAATTGTGGAGCCACCACCGAAAAAAGCCCTATTACACATATACTTCAATCTATTGCCATCCATGACTTGTTTGTGGATGGAGGAATTGACCTGGCATGTGTAACAGAAACTTGATTAGACGTGGCAGATGGGCCTGTTTTTGCCACTGCTTGTCTGCCAGGTTTTTCTTACAGCAACCCAAATCATTGGGGGGGTGGGGTATTTCCAGTGATTTTTAGGAAGTCACTGGCTTGCACCAGGGTGTCCTACTGGGGAGACCCCGTTTTCTGAGTGCATGATCTGGAAGCTGGGCAATAGGATTCCTACTGGTGTACCAACCTCCCTGTTGCACCAAGAATTCCCTGCCGAAGCTGCTTCAGGTCATGGTGGATGTTCTCCTTGGAGACACCTCATCTGGTTGTCCTAGGGGATTTTAACATCCATGCCTTCTAGAGAGCTCTTTGAAAATCAAATTGAGTTATTTGTTGGATTGCTGAATTATGTTATGCTGAATTATTGTAACAATTGATTTGCATTTTCATCGCTCTGTTGTAGCCACTTTGAGCATGTTTATAGGGAATGCAGCATACAAATTTAAATAATAAATCAAAAGGTTCCTATTAAAAAAGAGGTAACTGAGTGGAGAGAAAATGGCAGATGTTCTCAATGATGATCCAAGCAGCTATAGCAAAGCATCAAGAAAAATAGCAATACATTATATTTGGTTTATCATTAAACCTGTTTAAATTGATGTATTTTATGTAGTATAAACTCTGGATCTTCTAATCTACTGTAAATCCCTTCATGCAATTAGCATATGTGATTGAATTGTTGGCACCTTGTTGGCACATAGATGTTCACTCACCTGGAGCCCAATTTAAATATCTTAAAGGATAGTTGCCCATCCACTGCCATCCACTCTCATCATCTAAACTGTTCAGCCCAATCCACAGATCAGTAGGCATACAACTTGTTAATCCTATTTAAGGAAAAGAAAATCAATTAGATTGCATTATGAAGCTAGGAAGTTTATATTTATGAAGCTAGGGTCATGGGAGCAAAAACCAAACATGCTCATCCCAACATTACTAGAGTAGTCAGCTTTTTCTACTGGTAGAGCTGGATATCAATCAGAAATTCTTCAACTGAAGCCTTTCACTCAGCTTATAGATGCAATGCTTCATCAGCTTCAGCCAATGAATTTCTGCTTCTCTTACAGTTGTTAAAGACACAGAGGACCGGCAAAAGATTGGTAACCTGAGATGCAATGAATATTTCATACTGAAATGGTCTGAAAATGACTGAATCTAAATTAATTCTTTGGGTGATGGGAGGGTACATCTAATATTATCATTTTGAAAATGCTATTTCTAGTTGAGACAATATTAATTAACAGAATATCCTAATAAACTGATCACTTCTTTAAATATGCCTTGTTATGTCCTACCTGTCACATACACTTGTTCCTGTAAATCAGTGATGCTCAGTAATTCTGCATTCTGTTGCTGACAACTTTTTCTTGCTTGGTACCATGTTAGAGCTGAGTCAGAATTGATCTGATAGAAGTCCCCGGTCCAGTGGTTTCTGGTCCAGAATAATTCATCATGGTCATCTGTAATCATTGTTAACGAGTGTCAAATCATCAAATCACCAATGGTGAAGAAAATTTAGAAGCTGGATATGCTCAAGTCTTTAATAATCTGGGAACCACTTTCCCAAAGAATACACAAAGCAGAATGGTGAAACACAGAAGTTTATGTGATCAAAAGACAGTATTGCTGGCAGTCCACCATTAACTGATGGCTTCCCCAGTCCCATCTTCGGTGTTAATACATAAGGTGTGGATATCTGCAGGGGGGAAATCTACACATAAATAACTCACTATGTACCCCAGGACTTGGAACCCCATGTGCAATCAGGACTTCCAAGTTCCAGGAAAGTTTCTATGAGTTGACTTTCCCCCTGTAAACATCCACACCTAATGCATTGAATTGCATTAACCTGTGTGACTGGTACAAACCCAGGGTACCCCCCCCCCTTCACAGCTGCCTTGCTTTGTGCCCCCATCCATATCAGTGAATCACTTTCAAAATACAAGTCTACCCTGCGGGGATGCTGGAAGTGTCATTGCACAATCACACATATACATAACAGAGGCATATATTTAATTATTACCCACTCCAAATTGTACATGCATTTCCTCCATGGACTATTTGACCTAAAGCGGAAACAGCTCACTAATAAAAACAACAGCACACCATTTCTGTTACCCTTTCTCTGTCTTGTAAAAGGTAAAGGTAAAGGGACCCCTTACCATTAGGTCCAGTCGTGGATGACTCTGGGGTTGCAGCGCTCATCTCGCTTTATTGGCCGAGGGAGCCGGCATACAGCTCCCGGGTCATGTGGCCAGCATGACTAAGCCACTTCTGGAGAACCAGAGCAGCGCACGGAAACACCGTTTACCTTCCTGCCAGAGCAGTACCTATTTATCTACTTGCACTTTTGATGTGCTTTCGAACTGCTAGGTTGGCAGGAGCAGGGACCGAGCAACGGGAGCTCACCCCGTCACGGGGATTCGAACCACCGACCTTCTGATCGGCAAGCCCTAGGCTCTGTGGTTTAGACCACAGCGCCACCCACGTCCTTCTCTGTCCTGTACTTGCAAACAAAAATCACTCAATAATTTCAGCAAAACAATGCAAACAAGGTCAATGCACGGATGAACTGCAAGCCATGTCTTACCCTTCCAAAGGCTCAAACTTCAATATATAAGTGCATCCTGAAAATTTCAAGTATGTAATTGAAAAATGCACAGGAGCAGAAGACTTTTATGACATTTCCCTCTCTGCTTTGATCTTCTTACCACAGGGGAAGGACTTGCAATTGTAACCTTGTACAACATCAAACCCCAGCCTCCGTCAGCTGCTCCCAGTTGAACAGCTGATGGCTGTAATGAGACCAAAATCCCAGACAAAATTTGTCTGCATCCTGTATCTAGCAGCTCCCTATCTCTCTCTGCTCTAGACCTTGATTTTGGCTCAAACTGAGCTACTTCCTTATACCTCTCCCTTTCAGCTGTAAGCCTGATCCTGTAGGGGGCCCTGACATCATTGACAATTCCTTTTGTTCTTATTCACAGGGTAACCCCCTCCCTTTCCTGCTTTAGCTGCACAATCTGTAAAGCAGAGGCAATAACAAAAGCTTCCCTTTTTGTATGGGAAACCTTCCTCTAAGCAGCAAATATATGGTGGAATAGTACAGTGGTGCCCCGCAAGACGAATGCCTCGCAAGACGAAAAAGTCGCTAGACGAAAGGGTTTTGCGTTTTTTGAGTCGTTCCGCAAGACGAATTTCCCTATGGGCTTGCTTCGCAAGACGAAATGTCTTGCGAGTTTGTTTCCTTTTTCTTAAAGCCGCTAAGCCGTTAATAGCCGCTAAGCCGCTAATAGCCGTGCTTCGCAAGACGAAAAAACCGCAAGACGAAGAGACTCGCAGAACGGATTAATTTCGTCTTGCGAGGCACCACTGTATGGGCTTTAAAAAAACATTGCTAAGTGCTTACCTTTTATTGGACAATATCCAGTTAAAGAGTCTCTATCCACATCTGCAGTTGTTCCACACCAAAGTTGACCATGTTCATCACCATCTCTTATGCATTGAGCATACAATTTATCCTGATACTTGAATGGAAATACACAGGGGGCTCCTTGGGCATTGCCCCTTAAGGTATACAGAGCTAAAAGAAAAATGGATAGATGTTATGCTGAAATAATTTTGAACATTTAAAGAAAAGAGGAAGTTGGTATTCATTTCAGAAGCAGTTTCTTTCTAATAGAAAGAGTGTGGATGTGGGTGTAAGAAAGAGAGAGAGATTTTTCATGGCCGTGCATGGAATTAGAGAGGCCTTTTCCATTTATTGAGGTCCTGGTGGAAACTGGACTCCCATGCCTGCTATCAAGTTTGGGTTGTTTCCTGAAATAATTCGAAATTATGTGATTATTATTATGCCTGTTTTGGCCCCCAAATGCAAGGGATTCACCATGCTTGAAGCAGGACACAACCAGCTATGTCTAAAGAAGTGATCATATAGAAAAAGGGAGAACTTCTCTGAATTTTACCTTCATAGTGCTTAGAACACAAATTTTCTTTCGTTCCATAGATCTTCCAGGTACTCTTGCTGGTGGCTACTTTAGACAGCATAAGACGACTTTTTTGGCCACCCTCGGGATTTAAAAACAAATCTTCCTGATCAAGTACAAGGAGCTTGTCATTTCTGCATTCCCATTTCTGAAGTTCAGTGGTCTCATTACAGGGGGAGAGCATGACTTGGGCCTGGTCTGACTTGGAAGGCACTGCCAGGCATAACTTCACTGCCATGTTCAAAATCCCGTCATTGGAAATCCACTTAAAATGTTGCCCCTCATTGTCTGTATCACAGTAGTCCAGGATGGGGGATTGAGATTTCTTAGCCTGAATACAAAGCTTGAGGTTTTCATTATATATCAGAAAGCTGTCACTATCTGTAAAATTAAGAGGCAAAATAACAGGAACATTGTGGGGAAAGTTTCACATAACTTCAAACATCATCCTAATCATTTTAATTTATTACCTGCCCTTCACTCGGAAGTCTTATGGCAACCACTGACAGAATAATACCAGGATTCATAATAAGAAGCAATAACATGGAAAGATGAGAGAGAGAAATGCCTCTTGTGTTAATTCTGTAGTTAATTTTCACTATCCACTGCTCTGTCTTATTGATTCGTGGGCAATAAGTTTCTATGTTCATATAGCTAAGACACCAATTTTGATGTCTTTTTGCAGATTAGTTTGCAGCTTATTTTACTTTGAATAATATGTGAATTACCTTAGTGTTCTCAGCATCTATGTTTAAGGAATGCTGCGCTTTTTAAAAGGTGGTTGGTTAAAAAAATCTGTATTATTATTATTTTTTAAAGAAGACATCAGAGCCACTAGGAATATTTTTATTTTACATTTCATTTCTATTATAGTTATATGTATTGTATTATAGTTAATATTATTTTTAATATTTTGAGGAACGAACTAAATGTGGCATATGAGAGTTTGTACTGGATCTTCCCAATGTCTTTTTGTTTTTCTAAAAGCATTGGGGAGAGGGGAGAACAGAGGGGTGTGGGCTAAACCTTTCCCTCCAAATCAGTTCCTTGATGCTAATTGCTCTCCCCATTGGTTTTATTTGTAAAGTGAATAATATGCAGGCACTTGTTATTAAGCTAGGAACTCATCTCAAGGTAAGATCATGATGATGATGGTGGTGACAAGTCAATATGTACACATGAGAAGTACACTATCCTTGAGTCATTGAAACCGGTATGAACAGTTGGGATAGAAATAGACAGATACAAATAACATAGCTATTTAAGCTAACAGCCTATAATCTATATTATAAAACTCCAGCCACTTCAATAAGTTGTTTCCCTTGTATTCAAGTACAGTTAGGCATCAGGAAGGGAGCGTGTGTTTGTGCTCTGTGCCTGCTTGTGGGCTTCCCACAGGCATCAGGTTGTCTACAGTGAGAACAGAATGCTGGACTAGATGGGTCTTTGGCCTCATCCACCAGGCTTTTTTTACATTCTTATAACAATGTGGTTGTTTCCTTTTGTGAGGAATAAATGCTATTCAGATTTGCTAAAGCACAGGAGGCTGTGACCAGCGGTGTCCTTCTCTCGGAAGGAAGGCTCTTTGATCCTGCTGTATTTTCCATTAGCAAAAAACGGGACATTAGCAAGGAAACACAACATTTCGTCAATTCCCTCTTACTCCTGCAAACCTTACATATTCTCCCAATCGTCTCCAGAGCTGTAGAGGAAATATCATCATTTGGGGGGAGTGGGAAATGGCAAACATTGCCCCTTTCCTGCTCTGTTCATGGAAGCCTCCACTGGATCAAAGAGTTGGTGCAGAGGACATCACTGAGTACAATGCAGATACTTTTTAGTGATGGAAAAAGAAATGTTGAATATTTTTCTTGTTGAAAAGTTATTGTTTACACATTTATTATATTTACAGCTTATTTTTATATTGTGAAGAAAATAAGTAGCAGGATATGACTACTGCATAGGAAAAAAGCAAATTCTTTCTTGCAACCATGTAGTAAATTGCATTTAAAATTATGTTAGCCATTCTTCTACTAAAATTTAAACCTGATTTCAATGTTAAAAGCAAATTAATTGTTTAATTAACACTCCTTGCATCTAACACTTAATGGATTTCCCTTTAAAAGTATCTTCCAGAAGATTATTTAAAGGTAAATCTACAGTATGAAAGATGCCCTTCCACTTACTGTTAATATCATAATGGGAATGGAAGTGATGAAGAGCTTACCTGATACCTGCAAAGCTGGCTGAACGAGGATCAAGATATTTAGGAGCAAAAAGGCAGGCATTGGACACAACCAAACCTTCCACATAGCTCCCCTGAAAATAAGACAAAGTCAGGGATTGCTGCTTTTCAGTAACTTCTTCATCATGAGTCATACAGAATGAAGTTTTCAGTCTTATATATACACACAGTACTACACACAGAGCATAGCTTCATGGGAAATACCTATTCCAGAATAATAGCTTGGGACGTATTGATTCTTTTCCCATCACTTAGCCTTGTAAAATCCACCAGTTTAAAATTCAAGATAATAATGCTCAGGGCTAAAAAAAAAAAAAAAAAAAAGGGAAGAGGGGACAGGTGATACAAATTGTTAACCAGTGTTTTTCTTTCTGGGAATACTCAAGGGTACATGGTACTGGCACCTTTTCCCCCCACATGTTAAAAGTGTGGCACTTGGTGTAACAACTTCTTGGTGGGCACCAGCACAATTTTTTTCTATAAAAAAAACTCCCAAACACTGTTGTTAGCTATAGTACTGTCAGAGACTTGCCAAGCTCAGAGACAGTCTTCAGTCAGGAGTCTGAGTCCCTTTCCTCATACATGGAACTTTCAGAGTTGATTCACAGAACTGTTCGTTTAGTGGCTGGAGCCCAGTTCCAGCAACATCCATGGCTTGCTTTGGAGAATGGGAAAGTAGAAGTAAAGTAAAGTAAAATAGAAGCAACTGTCCAGGGCCCACATGCCACTGCTGTGTAGAGCATGGGTAGGCAAACTAATCAGCGTGGTTTTACATGAGTAGAATGTGTACTTTTATTTAAAATGCATCTCTGGGTTATTTGTGGGGCCTGCCTGGTGTTTTTTACATGAGTAGAATGTGTGCTTTTAAAAAAATGCATCTCTGGGTTATTTGTGGGGCATAGGAATTCGTTCATTCCCCCCCACCAAAAGAAAAATATAGTCTGGCCCCCCACAAGGTCTGAGGGACAGTGGGCTGGCCCCCTGCTGAAAACGTTTGCTGACCCCTGGTGTAGAGCAACAAATATTAATTTTCACACACACACACGCCCCGACATGCAGTTTTCTCATATTCCCCCCCCCCCCCGGCATTCAAGAAGCATTATTAGTCTTCAAGGGCACATTTTAGGCAGGTAGAAACATCCAAAGAAGGTACAACATAGGAATGGTGTCTTGGGTGGGTCCCAAAAGCCAGATAGATATAGGTGCTTGGAGGGCCACATTCAGTCCCTTGGCCTAAAGCTTGCCCTCTCTACCTGCCTGCCTGAAGAAAGAAGCAAGTCAAGCAGGAGTGCAAGCTAGGATTCACTTCTCTTAGCATTGGCTTGGAGAATAAACATAAAGAGATAACAACACAAACCATTTTCATAGAGGCCATGTTGGAGCTGAGTTTGATGTTTCAGTGCATGGTAAGCTTATCAGCCTCATCATTTACTATTATCATAGAATCATAGAATCATAGAGTTGGAAGAGACCACAAGGGCCATCGAGTCCAACCCCCTGCCAAGCAGGAAACACCATCAGAGCACTCCTGACATATTGTTGTCAAGTCTCTGCTTAAAGACCTCCAAAGAAGGAGACTCCACCACACTCCTTGGCAGCAAATTCCACTGTCGAACAGCTCTTACTGTCAGGAAGTTCTTCCTAATGTTTAGGTGGAATCTTCTTTCTTGTAGTTTGGATCCATTGCTCCGTGTCCGCTTCTCTGGAGCAGCAGAAAACAACCTTATTATATTTGTATCCCACCTTTTTCCCTTACAAACTCAAGGTGGTTTATAGATTAAATCTGGTTTATTAAATGTTCAGAGCTTTACAAAACTGACCACATTATTAAAGGGATAGGGAACCTGTGGCTCTGCAGATGTTGTTGGACTTCAGCTCCCATCATCCTTGACTGCTGCCATACTGGATGGGACTGATGAGAGTTGGAGTCCAACCACATCTGAAGATCCACAAGTTCCCCATCCCCCATTGTACAACTCCGTGTTGGGTCTTTCTCATGACTTTACCTGCCCATTCAAGCAAACACTACTAACACAGATCACAGGCAGAGCAAACGGCTGACAGTCCACATTGTGAGGTATACTAGACCTATTGCAGATAGTAATATTGTGCAACTTAAAGCAATAGGATGAATAAAATCTGACTCTTTTGGAATAAAAATTGTCCAGACCAAAATATGGTTCCAAAGCTTTACTAACAGAACTTTATTTGAATAGTCTTAATAATGATTCATCCAAATAGTTGTAGAAAATCCTATGCTTGTTCAAGCACAGGAAACATCTTCTTAGAACTATAATATTACTTCAAACAGGCCTGAAATTAAAGGTATATTGCTCCACACACAGGCTCCATTAGCCTACATCCAGCCTGAGGCTTTATTCTCCAGGACAGATTTATTTGCATAGCTTTATTTTTATGTGGCTTGAGAATAAAGAACTCCCTCCAAATGGAGATTTGCAACTGAATAACCCTCCCATGTAATCTAAAGTTAAACACCATGTGAGAGAGCAGCAGACATACCCTCAACAGTTAATTATCAGCCTCTTAGGTACCCGGAGAGCTCTTCTTAGCTGCACTGGAATTTTCCATGCCCCTTTAGCAATACACATACAGAGTCATTTTCCATTTCAAAGTACAATTAAACAATTATACTTAAAAAGGCCAACATTCTTTAACCTCGAGCCTCCAGGTGTTATTATAATCACCAGGTGTTATTAGACTACCTCTCCCTTCATCTCTGATTATGCTGACTGAGGATCATGGGAGTTATAGACCAACAACATCTTGGGGACCCAAGGTTGAAGACAATAAATTTGGGATTTACAATTGAAATGGGGGGGAAATCCTATAGTGGTTCTGATCTTTGTGCAGGCCCTAAGAGCTAAACCTGTACTTGGCTCCTATAGTTAGGAAAGGTTCTTCAAACTAGTATGCACTTTTGAAATCGATGTAGGATGACTAACTTTTACTATTCATTATTGACTGGCTTTTCTATTCAGTTTTAAGTTCTATTTAAGTCAAATGGACACTGTTTTCAAGAAATGTATTTTGCAACAGGATATTAAGAAACCAGTTTTCAAGTCTTTGAGTGCAGTAAGCTATCATCAGCTAATAAACCATATGTTGTCTGCAGTTGAGCCTAAAGTTCAGCAAGTCCAAAAGTGGAAGTATTTGCATGTAAATTGCTTTAGGTAAAACGTGAAAAGGCACAACAAGAAAATAAGAAAGGATGAAAATGTTACTATTAAATGTATACAGGCTGCAAGCTTAAGCACCCTTCCTTGGTAGTAAACCCTTTTGAGCACAATTGGATTTTCTTTGTAGCAAATTTGTTTAGGATTGGGCTGCCAGAATAAACTTCATTTTTAAAAAAGGTGAATAAATATAATATTCAACAGTTTCAAGCCATTCAACAGCTATTCAGATTATGTGAAAGTGGGGCCTCATTCACAGGGACTGAAAATCACTTGTTATTTATTTTCTTTATTCTTACATTTATATCTTACATTTATATATTATTCTTGCATTTATATCTTACACACACACACACACACACACACACACACATTTCTTACATTTGTCACCCTCAAGGTGACATACATTGTTCTCCTCTTCCCCATTTTATCCTGACAACAGTCTTGTGAGGTAGGATAGGTTGAGAGACTGTGACTGGTCCAAGGCCACCTAGTGAATTTCATGACTGAGCAGGGATTTGAACTCTGGTTGCCCCTTATTTGAGCTTCAGAGATAAAGAGCAGTGATTTCCAAACTGGGGGCCATGGCCCCATCCAAAGGGTACCATGCCCAACTGCTCATTCATGGAGGGGGAGCACAGAGATTGCCTTAAAATGCTTGCAAAAGCACCCTTTGAAACAACTCCTCCTCCTTTAAACCAGTAGGCAGGGGATGGACTCCCCACCCCCTTGCTGCCCTCTCACTTGCTCTGAAGTCTAAAAGAGAAGGGGAGCCCTCCTCCCACTCCCTTTGTTGCCCAGCTCAGACATTGCATATTGGGTAATGGTGTGTATATCACATGACTTGGAATAAATTTATTGGTTTCAGCAGCAGCATCTGGGCCTAACCAGCCACCTTGTCTGTCTGTGCACCTCCAGCACAAGGTCCAGAAGATCAAAGAAGCACAAACTGCCCAGCTGCCCAAGCTCCTGGTAGGCACGTACATGAAACAATTTCAGTAACGACAATAAACTAATAATCACCATCATCACAATCATCTATCAAATAATTTTTGAAGAGAAATATAAAATGTATATGCAATTTATGATGGCATTAAAATGTGTTAATGGTGTATTCATCTGACATCTTCCTCCTAAGGAGGCCAGAGGAACAGAAGTGTACCGTAATTTTTCCTTGGCTGCTGATCAGGGAAGTTTATTTGTCTAATTTATAGGCTGGATCTATACTGACCTTTTAAACATTATTAGAACAACATTAGATATATTATTCTAAAACGTCACAGGACGTACTGGTAAATTTAAAATGTTTCTACCTTGTTTTGTTGGTAACAACAGTTTCCCTATTGCTGGTTCATGGTTGCTCTGCAACATTTTAATAACGCATTATTAACATTCTAAGCTAAATGTAATGTATCCGTTATGTTGTGTAAATCATTCCTTAACCCTTCCTTAATGTTGTAAACCAGGAGGGAAGATCCACCCATAGCCTGTTTGGAATCTAGTCCTTCCCAGCACTTTATACCAACTTTTCTGGGAGTAATCCTACAATCCTAATCATGATTCAATAGGACTTACGTTTGAGTAAACAAGGTTAAGATTGTGTGGTAAACTAGTAGGATTTACTTTTGAGTGGATATGGATTGTGTTGTTAATATTTGGCATGGAACGAATACTGTTTTTTAAAATAATAATAATAAAATATTATGCAGTGTCCAACTACAAACTATTATATGTGATTTGGCAGGAGAATTTTGGTTAGCAAATTTTGGAATTCAAATGATCAACTTTTGTTGGTACCACTCAAAAGTGAATTAGGAATCTTTCTTTTCTGTATAAACATCTACCTTCCCCCTACTAATAGTTTGTCACATACCACCAAGATTTGGTCAGAGCTAGCATCCATACTGGAGCATATGAATTCTCCAGAGTATTTATACTTTTTTGTGTGGAGATTTTACTGTCCAAACTGGAGCAACTGCAAAGGGTATCTTACTGCCTTTAGGCTTAGACATGGAAGATATCTGCCTAACTTCACATTGTTCTTTGGACAAGAAATATAATGCACAGGGCCTGAAAGTTTTGGAATTTCTATTCCAACACAACACAACACAACACAACACAACACAACACAACAGGCAGGAGACAGTGAGTCAGGCTGTGCATCCGCAGTGACCAGAGGAAGAAAGACTGCTAGGAGGAACACAGAGAGAAGAAACACCATGGTGTACCTGCAGAAGCAAAACCAGATACCTTCATCTGCCCTCCTGCAATAAAATATGTCTCTCCTGTATCGGTCTCTACAGCCATAGCAGACACTGTAATGGTTTGAATTTACCTCCAAAGGCACACTCTTCCATTGTCTCCCAAGACAGATAGATGCCAACAACAAGAACTAAAGGTCAATATACAAACATGGTGGAAGTGCTATTGACTACAGTATAGTCTCTCCTTCAGTATTGCCTTTTGTGAACACTTTTGAAGTGTTAGAATGAACAGAAATGGTTTGGTTTCTTTTGAGTGACAATAACAGCTTCATAACACAGAGAGTGGCCCTCTATATAATGGCTGTAAAAAATAATCAGGAGATCGGAATTAGATAAAATTGTGATAAATTGTTGTGATTCAGAGGTTTAATCTGAAATCAAGCTGGATTTGAGTTTGTTGGTGTCTTTGGAACTTTTCCCTCTTACATCATGAATGTTTGCAAATTGGATTTTTAAAAGGCAAAATAATATTAGAATTGGAGGTGGTAGATGCATAAGGGAAACTGTTTTAACGCTCAGGAATTTGGCAAAAGTCTTTGCAGATTTTTACATTATGAATGGATGTTTTGCATTATTTTATTAATACTATTGCTTAATACAAGTTTGTCATGGCCTTTGGCTAGAACAGTAAATTTATGAACTGAACTATTCAAGTGACTTCTTCATTCCCATGGCTGGAGTGACTGACCAGGATATTACAAGATAATTCAGAAGAATTAATTCAGGAAAAGAGGAAATGCTATATTTGAACATCTCAGCAGTGAGTAGTTCATTGGTGTGTCATAAGCTTCCTCTTTCTCTGCAATTGGGCGGGAGCCCCTCCAAATGCATTATACGTGTGTATAAGTGGGGTGAGTGGGTTGTGTATGTATGCTTTGGCCCTGACACTTTTAGACACTGATTGTTGTTCTAGAAACCCAGACCTTGAGCTCTCAGGTAAAAATATTTCCTCACCTATGAGGTATAAGACTATGTGGGTCTTTTACAGAGATGCAGCACAGAGTGCATTGCAGGTTATCAATATATTATCAATAAACAGGTTATCAGTTTCAGGTTATCAATATGTAGGATACTTTGACTATTCCTTATTCCATATTCTGGAAAGAAGGCATAAGAGTTAATAAAGTATGTTTGTCTGTGGATGATAATATTGTCCTATGGGCCTGGAAGTGTATGGGGAGCCTTGTTAACTGTTCTGTGTGGTACCTTTTAAGAATAACCAATTCAGGTTGCAATCCGGTATACACGATTTGTTTAATGCAGTGGGGTTTGCTTCTGAGTAAAGTATAGTTATTGTTGTATAAACCCACACAAGCCCATATAATGTTTAGTAGCCTTTTTAAAGGCATGTACTGCCCTAAATAGGCCTATTTGGAAAGGAAACTACATATACAAAATTAGGTACTGAACCAGCAGAGCTGCAAATATGGAATTCCTTTTTTAAAAAATAAATAAATATGAGGATTGGATTCCCAGGAAGAGTGGAGGAGGGCTAGATGCACCCCATACTCTTCCTATAAAACCAGACAAGTGGGATTTTAGCTTTATGCATGGACACTGTACTGATTTAGGGAAAAATATTGTGCAATACCTTGGTTGCCAGAGGATATCAATGACATGGTCCTTAGTTTTTCAAGTCAAGTCACCTTTAATTTATTATTTTTTTATTTCATAAAATGTATACACCTCTTGATTTTTTAAAAACCACAAAGTAGTTTACAAAATGGTAAAACAATAAAATCAAGGAGAAATCCCAACCATACTTAAAAACATACAAAAGTTAAAATACTACAACAGATTAAAATTACCTTAATTTGAATTTATTCTATTTAGAATATGTTTTTTTCTAAATAATAATTATGCATTCAGAGCATGTCACACAATGAATGTGGTGATAGAAAGGACCTCTGCATATGCATATGGTTACTTCTTGGAAATGAATTAATAATGCAATCCTACCCCTGACAATTCAGAAGTAATTCCTACTGAGCTCAATGAGACTTACTCCCACATTACAGCCTATCTCCCTCTTTATCATCCACAAGCACTTCTGAATCATTGTGAAGAACGATCTCACTGTCACGATAAAGAGAGTTTTCAAAGCTGCCAGTGGTTTGTTGTTTTCTACTTCTTCTTTTGTAGAAAATATAGAGTGCAATACCCATGCCAAAGAGGATGAAGATAACCGGCAGAAGTACCTTTGCAACTCTGCCATGTGCTGATGCAGGAATATCTTCTTGTTCTGTGAATGGGGAAAGATGTATATATCACACACACACAAACTCACAAATAGAGAAACACACACACAAATAGACCCCCTTGTATGAAATGGAGGGATAGCTGGGTGGTGTTTGCAGCTCATAAGCATAGTGTGCCAAGAACTTACAGACCAATGAAATGGCCACATGGCTGGAGGGCACGGAGAGGGGATACAGAAGCAGAACAGATGTGGAGTCAGAAACATCTTGTCCCTTCTTAAAGAAAAGGGCTTTGGCAGGCTGTGAAGGAATCCAACACAGCTGGAAAAAAAACTACAAAATGCCAAGGCAATGGTGTACCACCCCCCAGTTATTTTTGTACTACATCTTAAACAGAATACTATTCTGTTCTTTCATGTTCCATCTGAAATACTGTGAAATATTCCATTACACAACCCCCAATTCTCCGCTTCATAGTGGCAGTTCTGTACCAGAAAGGAGAGTCGTCACCCTTTTCCCCCAGTAGAGAGCTATAATGCCTCCACCTTTCCCCAGAAATTTCTCTCTTCAGCTTTGAACCAGAAGTTCTTTTCTCAGAATGTTTGGTGCAAGGCTCCGGATTGCAAGAATGCTTATAATTTTTCCTGAGTTCTTTTCACAAAACAGCCTTACCTGTCTTTTTTGTAGGTGCTTTAGTTGTCTCTTCAATAACTGTAAAACAAAAGATATGCTTATGTTCTCAGAACAGTAAGAAAGTTAGGTATGCAAATCATAATTTTTTATAAAAAAAGTAGCATAGATTATCAACAGAGTGAACCAGACTGAGGAGTGAGAAGAAACTTAAGCAGCATGCCAGCAAGCACATCCTGGTGCCATTCCCATCTAGAACAAAAATGTAGGATTGGTCAACTGACATTTCATAGCTTGTCATAAGAAGATAAGAAGAATCTGCTGGATCAGGCCGATAGCCCGTCTAGTCCAGCATCCTCTTCTCACAGTGGCCAAACAGATGCCTGTGGGAAACCAGGAAGCAGGATTTGAGCACAAAAGCTCTCTCCCCTCCTGTGGTTTCCAGCAACTGAACAGAAGCATTGGTGCCTCCAACTGCAGTGGCAGAGCATAGCCACAGTGGCTAAAGAATACAACAAAAATACAGCTGAAGATTAGAAAAAAGGTTGGCATGTCCTCCCCCTACTCTGACTCTGGCTGGTACTGGTGTTATCTTTGATGGAGAACAAATAATAGGCAGTCTTGGTTTGGCAAGGAAACCAAGCTGGAAAGAAGCCTGGTTCACTCTCTGTGATGAATCCAAAGCTAAGGGGTTGGAGACACTCTCCCCTCCAAAACCTAACAGGTAAAAAAAACTGTTGGAGTTTTAATGCTGTGTGCACTTTCATCTTATGCCTCCAGTGATTTTCCTCCCAATGAAACAAAAACCAAAGGTATGTGATGGGACCTCTGGAATCCCCTAGTGCCTGAAAAATGTGTGTGTGACAATATTATAGGAAGCATATTTATCCTTTTATTTTTCAAGCTTTGGGCCCTGACATATCACACCATGAAAATAACATGATTATGCACTTTAGACACTGCATTTGCTTTTGGGTGTGCTTCTTTCAATAAAAAAAAAATCAATAAATATATGTTACTATTTAAAAATGGGAGCCAAGTTTTAAATTTGAAGTGTTTAGTATAGTCACTTAATCCCTTTGCTTAGCAAGATCAGCAATGATGAGCTGAATTTTAAATATGTCAATGTGGAGACTACTAAATGCTCTTGCCTTTTGAGGAAAATGACAAATTTATGATATTTATCACACAGCAATTCTGGGGACTGAGAATGATTGTGGGAACCTTGACCATTAGATAAAATGTTAATAACCTTATTAGTTTTAAAAGACAGAATATTCTATAGTTAGTAGCAAATAATTAATAGACTTCAGCTTTGGTTCTACCTTCTCTCCTGCCATTTATTATTAGGGAGTATTTAGTTGGTTGGAAGTATCAGTAAAGTCTGTCAAAAGTTGAAAAAAGAATAGGAAGTGACAAGGAGTAGGAAAGACAAAATGCAGAGTATCAATTTGATGAAATGTGGCTTATGCTAGAAAAAGGATGACTGACAGTCTAGAAAGATTACCTAGTAAGAATAGGACTAGGTGGAATATTGTTAAAATGGCAAGAGAGAGAAAAGTCCCTTTCTGAAGTAACATGGAAGCCCCTTCCTTGGAGAGCTTTAGGAAGAAGGCAAATAAAGAGATGACAAGGATAAACTTCTAGTAGCATAATCTAGACAGAGAGCAATTAGAGCAGAGTGTCCTAAGACACTAACTTTAGACAAGTGACTCAATGTTCATCAGAATTATTGTGAAATGCAGCTGAATAGCCATTTCAGACTTACTTTTGCGTCTTTTACATATAAATCCCTTAGAGTATCCGCAGTGCTCCCTGGACCACTTCCCATTGTGGCTGTTCATGAGAATGCAGTTCTTATCACTATCACTGAAAATAGCTTGAGGATCAGGTGTGGACTCTTCAACTTTCCAGTTGACAAAATCCAGTGCAGTGTTATCTTGCCATATCCATTCTCCTAATTATAAAAGTAAAATAAATGGCATAAAGACTATCGAGAAAAAGAGTAGTGCTGCTGCACGACCCCTGGATTTGCATGAAGTCAGACCGGGAAAGAGCGAGAGGAAGGAAAGTGGCAGTTTACAACAGCAACATTTTGAGTAAAGCAGGAATGGGGAGACGTTTGGGGGAGAAAGGGAAATGGCAGTTGTAAATCATAGGGATGCCATATTTCCAAAAGTAAAAACCACGCCACCCTGGTTTGAGCGCAGTTTTCTGTATGACTTGCCTAAGATCCAGTACAAAGCGCTGCCTTTCAGAAATTCCCAGTAATGTCTGGGAAAATCTGGACATATGGCAGCCTTACCATAGCAGAGTTTGAGTAAAGCATGGATGGACAGAACTGACTGGGCAATGGTGCTTTAAAACAACAGCAAGGTTTGTGTAAAACAGGGATGAGGTGGAGGAACAGAGAGGAAATGGCAGGTTTATATCACGGCCAAGGTTTCAGTAAAGTGGGTAAGGGGGAAGCTAGGGAGGAAGATCTAGGGCAGTGTTTCCCAAACCTGGGACGTCAGCTGTTTTTGAACCACTATTCCCATCATCCCTAACCACTGGTTCTGCTAGCTAGCTAGGGATGATGGGAGTTGTAGTCCCAAAACAGCTGGAGACCCAAATTTGGGAAACACTGGTCTAGAGGGTTAATGTGGGGGGAATGGCTGGGGTGGGTGGGTGGGTGTTGATGAGTGGAGCAAGCAGGGGCACAGCCCCATGTATTATAAATAAATATTGAAAGTTAAACCATTACCATCTATGTTTCTGAACAATCCTATCCAATAGTCAGCATGTTGGGATTGCTGAGTATGCTCCATCAAAAAGTTCAGTTCAGCTGAATCTTCTATAGAAATCAAGGTGCTACCTAGGAAACATCATACAAGTAAAGTAAGCTCATTTAAAAATTGCATTCCTGTTTTAAATTTTATTTATTCTTTTTTATTTATTTAAAATATTCCCATTTTAATATTGTTTTTTTAAAAATATAACTGTAACCCACCCTGAGACCTTATGGTGATGGGTAGGTGACAAATCACCATCATATATGTATTAGACATGCACTGGTACAACTGACATGAGGTTTGATGGGACTCTTGACAGCCCTGGCAAGTGGTCCTTGGCAATAATGAAGTTGTCAGAAGTGTTGATGAAAACACCTGCCCCCAGGATGCAGGAATGGTGAGCTGGGTGGCAAAGTCCCTTTCTTAGTGAAGCCCTTTTTCCAGGCAGCAAGGACTCTGCTCACCTCATCACCCCTCTGTTTATCTCACACCCCTGGCCAATCTCTCTTCCTCTCACTTTACCTACGGGCAGGCATGTGCACTGCCAGCAGCAAAAAGTCAGCTTAGCAAGAAAGCACTGCTGCTGCCACACACCATTTTTGTTCCCCCACAGTGCTTCTCTGGCCCCAGTGGAGCAACCTTCTGTCTGGGCTCAGAGATACGGTGGAGGAAAGAAAATGGCGAGCCACAGCAAGTGGGGTTTCTGGCTACACTGACAATCCTGCATGCTTCAGGTGAGGACACATGGAGGGGAGCTGTCCTTCAAAGTGCTTGGATCATCAGCCAATGCCTGAGTGTCCTGATCCCTGATACCACGCCTGCATATCAGGTTGTCTAAATATTCTTTTAATAGTAAATCTTTCTGTTGCTGGATTCAGAGAGTAAGAAAGAAGCTGTTGTTTGCAGTGAGATCTTATGGGAGCCTCCCAGAGCCAGCATGAGAATTCTCCGCCTTGCATAAGGGGCAAGACACTCACGGTGTGCTGGCTCTGGACAGGTAGGGGTGGTTGTGTGGATGGTGGTTCCAGGGTTGTTCTGGCTTTACACGCAATCCCTAGAAACTAACCCCCCTATAAGCCTTCTGTACCTCCAGTGAGTTCAGAGAGATATGCCAGGTTTATTCCATTCTTGATTTATCATCACAGCAATCCTGGGAGATAAGTTTAAACTGAAAGGTGGGGATTGGCCCAAGAGCACCCAGTAAGCTTTGTGAGTGAGCAGGAATTTGAACCCCTGTCTCTCTGGTCAAAGTCCAAGGCTGAAAGCCTGTACCCACTTACTTAGCTATAGGCCCCATTGAACTCGATGGGACATACTTCTGAATAGACATGCTAGGATATGTATAGGACTGCACTGCAACACTAACCGGTGTACAAACTGGCTTTGGACGCTAACTAGGAATCTTCTAGCATGGAAAAATCACGTTGTGATTTGAATCAAAATGACACCCACCTAACTGAGTACATTTGAAGGATGCATCCGGCCATCCATTTGAAGGCTGGTTGATTTGATAGCAATGAGCCCGAAAAGGAATCCAAGATCTCTGGTCCTCTTTTGAGTCAGGGCATTTCCCTGGGACTTGTGGAGGCTCAGTTGGGAGTTTACCTATTATGAAACAAATATTTTATTTTTTGAACAGGTATCTTAGAAACCCTTAAGTACCAGAGATATGCGTAAGATTTGAACAAATCCAAAATCTTGAGGTGCACATGAGTATCTTGGAGGAATCCTGGAAATGTAGAAGGTGAAATGGGAGGTGAAACTCTGCAAATTTGCACATGTCAAAGAAGTCCCCCTAAAATAATAGGTTTATAGTTTCTGAGTACTCCTGGATGCTTACTCACAGTAATGTCAAATGGGGCTTGCTCCTAGGTAAATGTGTATAGAATTGCTGTCTTAAAACACATGCCTGAGTCTGTTCAGTTGCTAAGCATGGTTACCTAATGCTGGATTGTTTATTGCAACCTCTGTTCTATTTTTGTTTGACTATTTATTATAGCATGATGGTTTGAAAAGTAACATTTTATTCATTCGCTACGAAAGAGGCAGAAGTGTCAATAGTACATTTCTCAGCTTATAGTACAATAGTACATTTCTTTGCTTACCATGGTAGTGCTCACAGAAAGAGAGGTATGCTTCATTGCAAGTTCCGGTTTTCCAGTGACCATCAATGTCTAAATAGACACAGGCTAGTTTCTGCTTTGGCTCCCCAGGGGCCCAGTTTGTATATACCAGTCTCCAGTTGCTTATCCACTTATATTGCTCACCAGTCTGAAATCCAAATGCACAGTGGAATAACACATGCTGGCCTAGAGAAAGCTTTTAAGTTTATTTTCCATAACATGAACTCCAAAACATTTACTTTTCTTTCTCTTTCATTTTATTTATACACACATTTCATCATCCTTTAGGGGATGAAGTCTGAGGAGTAGTACTATATTTATGACGTCTGAAGTCATGAGTATGAAACAATTCTGAGCTATCAAAGGCAGGGGTGAAACTAGGCTTTGTTTCATCCAGGTTGGCACCCCCCCTGCACACGTGTTTGTGCACGCACGCGCGCACACACACACACACACACACACACACAGACATAGGCTGGGAGCCTGAATGGTGCCCCTCTAGAGGCTTCACCCTGGGCAAAAAACCTGGCTAACCCCTCTGTAGCTATGGCTCTGTCCAGGGATTTGGAGCACAATGTTTTCCATATGCTGGTGGCATGAAGTTCTAGCTCTTCATTCCATCTGAATCATGAGAAGCTGTGAAGGTGTTGGACAGGAGCCTGGAAGCAATAATGGGCTATGTGGGGGCCAATGAACTGAGGCTGAATCCTGATAAGATGAAGGTGCTGTGAAGGGGTGGTTCCTATGTCTGGGAATCAGGTGGATAACCTGTCCTGGAAGGGGTTGCTATCGCCCTACAGGAACATGGTCATAATTTGGGAGTGCTCCAGGATTCCTAACTGTTGCTGGCCTCTCAATTGGCTTCTTTGACTAGGAGAGCTTATGCCCACTTTATGTTTGCCAATCAGGTCCATTCTTGGACCTCCCACCTGGACTACTCTAATGTGCTCTATCTGTGGCTATCCTTGAAGCTACTGCAGAATGTGGCTGCTAGATTGGTAAGTGGGGCAGCCTGATGGGACAATGTGTGGGTCACTCATCCAGAAAGCACTGCATTGGCTGTCATTGACTTATGGGGCTTGATTAAGGTATTAGCATACCAAATCCTGAACATCTTGGGATCCAAGTACCTAAAATATCAGGAAGGAAGCACCTTCCTGAATATCTACCGCCAATCTACGATCAACGTAACAAACTTTTTATAAAAGAATGGAAATAGTTTATTAAATATTTACAGATAAATTGTAAACAGATAAGAACATTGGCAGGATTGTTATAAAACCCGCAGTTTTATAAGAGTATATATTTAAAGTAGATGAATGAGCAAATTAGGTTAATTTGAATATGCAGAAGATATTAAAAAATAAATTTAAGGAACTGTAGAGAGAAGGGGAAGGACGTCAAGTGATATATATATATGAGAATCCTGGTTGGTGTTGATCCAGTATGGTACCTAGTTTACTGTATTCATTATCAGTCTAGTATATAGCACATGACTCAGGACTTGTCAGAGATGTGAGCCTTTTGACACAAACCAAAGGTCAAGGGCTAAAAGGCTTTTGTCCTGAGGCTTGTCTCCCTATGAGAAGAGTTAGCCTAATGCACTCCTCTAAAGGGACTATGGAGGTTTCTTAGATATCCCATATGCAGAAAAGGCATTGTAGACAATGCAAGTCATCTATGCAACCTGTTGCCCCACCCCTCCTAAAGCAACATAGAAGTGATTGATTTCTCTTTCTGAGGGTGAAAAAGGAGTCAAGACTAAAAACTACTAAAGATCTTGCTGCCTGGGGTTGTGCTGCTGCACTGAGTGCAGAAGCCCCTTTACAGACTGGAAATTGTTATATTTCTGTTAAGATTTTGTGTACAGATAAAGTATAGGCACTGGAAATAGCTCATAGGTGACCCACAGACGATAACCAAAGCTTTTGTAATGCTTACCAAGGATATTGCTAATAAAGTCAGGTAATAAAAGCTATGTCTTTTCTATGTCCTTCTGAACACAAGCTCTTGATGTGGATATGTAGTACAGTATTATGTTAATGCATATCTTCTATATTTACCATATTGCTATTTAGGCCAATCCATGCAGGCTCTCCATATTTTAACACCCACAGCCATAGGAATGATTCAATGTAGGGATCCAAAATGCTGGCAAGCTCTGACTGTTCAGATTTACACTTTTTCCTGGCCTCTTCCCATGTCATTTTGGGGCTGCTTAGAGAGTAACTTCTATTCCCAAAAGGGGCATAACCAGAGGCTGGCATTGTTGTTTCAGAGTGTGATAATGCAGGATCTATAGGCAAGTAATCAAGAGAAAAGACAGAGATCAGTTTAGACTACACACACTTGACACTAAATTTCTGAATACTATTATTCCCTAAACATTTTAAATCTTGAAAATTGACATTTTAAATGCCAGCTATAACACTTCGTCAAGTTTTCTTCAAAAACATATATGGATGAGGCCACAGAATACATTTAATTTACAATCACAAAAGCAGCAAACAAAATACCTAAAATGTAGTCAACATGACCATTAACAACAACAACACCCCCCCGCCCCATTTCTTTCCAGAGAGGTCAAGAATCTGTTCTGTAATTAGCTTCCTATCCACCATCATTCTCAGGTGACAAAACCTCAGTTCAGTCATTAAAGCTGGCAATCAGCTTTTAATTTTTTTTTACCAGAACAGAAAACTGGAGTTAGACTCTATAATGCAATCAGCATTAAACACTGTTTTCTGTTCCTTCTCTTCTAAAAAAGCATACCAGTGTTTCTTTGGCAGATGTAGCTTTTCTTAGCAGAACATGGCCCATCTCTCCAATATCCTGCCAGCTTTTCAGGCTCCTTCATCATAAAAATGCAGTCCTCCTAAGAAATAAAAGTATAACAAAGGGACAAGTAACACAGTAGCTATTTACACAATGTAGGGGCCAATCCGTTTGTACTTGAAACTTTCCTTTTATACTCTTGACCCGAAACTCCCTGGAACTCAGTTCCGGCACCTCTCAGATGGGTGCCATTGCCATTATAAGAGAACAAGGGAAGTGTTCATGGTGGGTTCCGGCACCTCTTTTTCTAGAAAAATAGCACTGCTCTTGACAAATATCAGACTCCACAATCACCCAATCAGAGATAGTGGCAAGAATAAACCCAGACTACAAGTGCAGTGTGCATCTGTCAGCGCAAGGCTTCCTATCTCTGGATCCTATTCAGGAGTAGGAATCAGTAGCTGATATGTGCTCTAGATCAGGGATTAGCTGATGCTTCCTGGAAGTGGAGTAGGATAGCAGACCAGTTATACAACTGGTTAGGTGTTGCCTAACTGTTACTTTACATGCTAGCTGCTTTGCTTGAGACAGCTGGCTCTAAAAATAAACAAAGGAGACACCAGCCAGAGATTGAATGGGGAATTGGTACAGAAATGGGGTGCTAACACTGAAGGTTCTCTGAACATGTAGTTTCACTGCAGGAATGGAATATAGAAAATATTTCTTGTTTCTGGGGTAAAAATGATGAAAGCCTTTGCAGGCAGGACTTACACCATAACCTGGAAAACCTTTGGCCCAGTTTGTGTAGTGGACTCCACTTCCATCTGTCCATACAAACATGCGCTCAATATTAATATCATTCAGTCCAATCCAAGGATCAGTTGCAGCACTTTTTAAATGCACCGTGAGGAATGCTAAATAAAAACAATGACACATTTTTTTCAAAAAGGATTTGGCAAATGTATGCCCTTCACCTATAAGTGTTTGATATAGTGCATCATAATGTGATCTAGTTGTAGTTTGGGTTCATGTTGTATCATCATCATCAAAACACATTTGATTAATGCAAGAATTGCCAGTGTGCTGGCCTTCAGATGCTGTTGGACTAAATCTTCCGCCTTTCCTGACCACTGGCTATGCTGCCTGGGGCTTAATGGAGTTACAGTCTCACAAAGTGTGGTGGACATCACATTGGCTACCCTGTTTTCATAATAACAAAAAGGGCCACTGAATCCAGCACACCACATTCTGTACCTGGATAAAGCATTAATAGGCCACCCTTACAATAAACAAGCTTTTTCCCAGCTTAAGGGTTTAGATCTGAACTGAGAAGATGTTTGGTGAAGTGAGGTTTTGCCTTTTCTAAGATTTAGAATCATCACCCATTTTCCTTTCTTTCCCCCCAATATAATTTTATTGAATTTCACAAATTAACTTCAAATTAAATACATTGTTTCATATATTGACTCCCCATCGCCACAGTATTTTTATTCAAACTATTTTCTACCGCATTCTGTATCAAATTCTCATCTATTACCAAAATCCCTCTGATACAATTACTTTATCATTTTTCTTCCGCTGTTTCTATCTCAAATCCTGCCATCAATTTCATTTCTTTGTAATGCTTTTCCAAATAGTCCCTCCATTTTCTTTTCAAAATGATGGACAACAAATTATTTCCCTCAGACTGACAATATACATATTAATTAAGACTCATTATCTTATCAGTATAAGCATTGTTGCTCGCCAAATATAGTCCATGTACAAAATTATGCTTTGGAAGACAATAAAATTGGAGTGGGTAGCTTAATTTTGGCTATCAGACTAATTTCGTATGGGTGATGGGAAAGGGGAAATGGTGGCAGAGAAGTGGGCAGGGAGGAAAGGGTTGGGAGAGAGAAAGGGTGCCCTGGCCACTTTTGCCTTCAGCTCTACCCATTGACAGTATGCAGCCCCTGTGGAGGTAAGGCTCCGCGTCTGCTGAGGCACATCTCGCACCCAGCATGCCACAGCGTGCCAAGGAGCTCTGTGCCCACACTCTCTGGACTTTCGCCTCTTGGCCAGAAGACAGGGTTTCCCCCTGACCTTTTGGAGCTATGCTGGTAACGCTCCACTTGTGCTGAGACACACCTCGCACCTGGCATGCAACAGTGTGTAAAGGAGCCTTGCACCCACGCTCCATGAACTTGTGGCCTCTTGGCAAGTAGACAGGGTTTCCCCCCTGACCTTTTGTCCTTTCATATGATCTGTTTACTAGACAGAACGCTTGGCTAAAGCATAACAAGGAACACAGACGCAATCCACTTTCACAACGCCTACGGGAAACACCTGCTGACATGTGTATTAGCTAATGCTTAGAATGCTTAGATGGAATATGTTAAAGTTCAGGGTGGTTTCACTACTGTATTTTATCTAATAAAAAGAGGCTCTGCAAGGCTTGCTTTTCAGCTTGCTTCTGCACAGCTCACTTGCATCCAACCTTCTGTCGTCCTCGTTATTCCTGCAGCCCCTAATGGATGGCCCCTCAAGCAAATACAGCTCTCAACAGGTAAAATTTTTCCCACCCCAGCTATTGATCTTGCCTATTAAATCTCTTTTAACTGCTATTAAAATAGCAGTCACTCTTTCGCAAGTTCCCCAAGTATTATCCAACTGCAGCCACCAAATGCATTATACAGAATAACTACGGGGTCATTTTATTCTTCTTGCACTTGTCTTGTGGGAATCTTTGCAGAGTAGATTCTTCCTGTGCTACTTGGGGAAATCATAAAATCATAGAATTGTAGAGTTGGAAGGGACCTCCAACCTTCTGCAATGCAGGAATCTTTTGCCCAACGTGAGACTTTTGAACCCACAACCCTGAGATTAAGAATCTCATGATATACCAACTGAGCTGTCCCTGAGGTCTACAGCCATGTGGAAGGAGCTGGTAATATGCACTGCTGCATCACTGCCCTGGTTTCCAGCCCCCCCCATGTGGCCTGAAGTTTCTCAAGCCACCTGAGGAGTAAGGTGCCACAAAGGAGCCATTTCTAACCCTTCTTCTGGCACAAACGTAACTTGAGTCGAGGCTCTTGGACTTTTAACATGTCAAGTCTATATGAACAATCTGTTTTAAAAAGAACTGACTGCACCTTGTGTAGCTTTGTTTGGTATAGTTGCCAGATTTCCTCCTAGATTCTTGCAAGTGGTTCGTGCATAGGACCAGTTTTTCCTCTCTTCATTAAGACCAAATAGCTGGAAGCACTGTAGGGGGAAATAACAACTCTCCAAAATTCCATACATGATGTAATGGGTAATGAAAGTAGCAATCATGAAACGGTATTGAGCAAATAGACAGGGGTAATTTTGCTTGGCTTTAAAGAGCAGTCCTACCCCATAGGATTTGCTGGTTAGAAGGAGATTAGGATGGGGTGGAAAATGGGGCAGAGGAAGGAACTGGGGAGAACATCCACCTTGGTAGCTACAGTTGTTAATTTGAGCTTTTAAAATATCCCCCCTTTAATCAAAAATTTTAACTATTCAGATACAGATGTATTCACTGTATGCACTAATACTACCCGAAAAGGACTAGTATGCCAAGCAATTTGTAATGACTACACTAGTTACCTTTTTATCAAAGAAAAACCATCCTTCAGCACAGCCTCCAAGAGGCACAGGCAACGTGGGAGCAACAGATGAACGGACAGAACTGTTACGCCTTTCACATACAAATCTGTCCTCAGCACCACAATTGATATCGTTCCATAAACCTAAACAGAGAGTTATTAAATCACTCGCAAACTGAAAAGGGCAAGCAGTCCTTCAGGTACACAGTACAAATGAAGGCTTGAGAATAACAAAGAGCAGCGGCAGCAACTTATTCCATATTGGAAGAAAATGGGACAATCAGGGGTGGGGCACCCAGTGCGGGGGGGGGCAGCCGTGATGGCACCCTGCTGGGATCGCGCTGCCGGGGGCGGGGTGCTCCCCCCGCACTCCTCTTCCTCCGCCAGTGGGGACAATGTGTAGATGGAATAAGCAAGCAGTTGTTCACAATACAAAGTTATTAAAATAGCATTGAAACAGTGTAGTATTTCCCCAAATCTCTCTTGCTGTATAAAGTTGCTCATGTGATAAATATACAGCATCCTTTAAAACTTTTAATACCATGTCATATTTTTTAAAAAGGCAATTCAAGAGCTGTAAAATAATGAATTTTCCCTCCCAAACAATGTATATTTATGGATGGAATAGTCATTGCAACTATAGATTCAGGATTTATCCACACTTGCCTTTCCTCCCTGCTTCCAGGCACAGTCTGCACTTTAAAGCTCCATGTCCGAGTGCTCTTTCTTTTTTTCTTTCTTTCTTTTGCCTTGGAGCTTTCTCCATGAAAACCCACTCTTTAAATCTCAATCGGAGCAAACAGCAATCTGCGGAAAACCCAAATTGCTGTTTGTTGCGCTTCAGTTTTTAAAAGTGGGTTTTTGCAGTGAAAGCTCTGGGACATGGAGCTTTAAAGACAGGACTGTACCTGGAAAGAGGGGGGCAACAGGTAAGTCCAGATAAGCCAGATAAGTGTTGTACTTGTTCTGTATTAATCCCTTTCCCCATCCTCAAACACAGTTTCTCAATATTTTTGTTTTAATGGTAGTATTTTATTCTACTTACCTGTGCTGTAATACATGACCACACAGTTTTCGTCATCATTTGCAAAGTTGGGTTCATTAGGTGCCCAGGCTGCATAAGTCACTGGAGTTCCATCCAACCAGCTAGAGAAAATGATACGACAGTATTGTACAGAACAATGTAATTGTCCTTTATTTTGCATATTTCCACAATGTTTTTTGCTGTTTGTGGGCTTTTTTAGTCAAGGGAACAGCAGGTCTAGAAAACATTTTACTGTTGAACCTTGCAGGTCAGCATTAAGTTGGCAGCATTAAAAATATCCAGCAAAATTACGGAAGTAATGTAATCAGAATGACTAGGAAAACAATCCTAATCTTGAAAGACTGAGATGCTGTTAAAGAGGAGCGAATTGCCAGTTATTTTCTTTACTAATAATTTTGTATCACCATGCCAGGAAGCATTTGGAATTTCTGCCTGAGGCAAGGAAACATCTTCTTTAAGATAATGCATTAAGACTTTGCTTCAAATAATGTTAACAGATAGAATTATGAACAGCTCATTTATTAGGGTTAACAGAATTGGTGGTGAGGCTTTAGCCCTGGCCCAGCCCTATCCTCAAAAATGAATTAGTAGTAGTAGTTGTAATAGTAATGATGATGATGTGCCCAGTGACTGACAGGTAGTGAAGTATGGGTTCTTACAGTTACTGGGGCAGTTCATTTTAATTAGAAGAAAATGAAATGCTTGTATTTTATAGGTGGAATGTAACATTCATAGTTGAGAAATGATCAAATTGGTTCTTAATTTACACACATTAAAAAAAAACCCCATTTACAACTGCAACCTTAATGTCCTGATTGGGGAGGGGGGCAGTAGTGAAGGAGAACAGCAGTTGGCTCATGCAGGAGAAGAGGAGCGAGGTTGGACATGCCTTCACATTGCTCCTTTGCTGGCCTGAATGGAAGAAAGGCCAGGTATGTCAGGTGTGGGGACAACTATCAGCTGGAAAGCACTCTTAGTCTCTTCTAGTGCCATCCCAAAGGGCTATAGTTGGGAGATGGGGAATGTCATTGCTCCAACATTCAGAGCATGGCTGGGAGGAAAGCAGAAGACAGACATAACTGGAGACACACCACACTCAAGGAACATAAAACAACTGTAGGAGTCAGGCAGATAGGAGGGTGATACCCTCTTCCTCAGTGCATAAAAAGAAAGTTCACAGGGGGAGAGCACCCCGAGACCTAATACAGCCTAGAGAGACAAGGAAGTGGTGACAGCCTAGTAAATGGTATTCTCCACAGTTTGGGGGTACATTGTGGGACTAAGAAGGTGTTGGATCCATAGGATCCAAGCCTTCCCTATGTTCATTTTCCAGCCATGCCAAAATTGGGGCTTTCATGTTATTAGGCTGTGAGATTTTATGAGGTGGTGAGGAGAAGGTTACTGACATTAAAGCTTCCTCTCCCTGGTCATGGAGGGAAATCTGAAGTTTCATGTAGCCTCCAGGACACCATTACAGGGAACAGGACTGTAGGGCAACCTCTGTATTTGGAAGAGTCCTAAATTTCCTTTAGAGATCAGCTGTGGAGGGGGGAAAATATTATAGCTTAGATTAATTAATATTAGCTTAGTTACTTAGGAGAAACTTAGATTTACAATTTTGTTAAAAATCTGAATTCCACTTCTAATTTTTCTTCTTCACTTACCCGAACTTTCTATCAAGACCCAATATTAAGCCAATGTGAATGTTCTTGTAACTTCCATAAAGCTTGTTCTACAACATACAAAGGAAAAATTGGAAGTAAATGAAACAATATAGTATTCAGAGGCAGAGCAATGTAGGCTATTCCATAGGAAGTGCAGAATTCATAAATCAGGCAATACAGAAAGGTTTGTAATGATGAGCACAGCATCTGTGCTTTTTACAAACTTCATTAAAGGTTTCCGGTTAAGATAAATTAAAACATGCCAGCTAAAATTAAACTAAGCATGGAAGAAAATTTTGCATCATGTTGTAATATACTAATGTAGGGCTTCTCTGATTTAAGCTGGTTTATTAAAGATTTTTAGTTCTATGTAAGCATTACAGTGCAACTCACACAATCAGCTTTCATGCCAGAATTCTACCCACTGTTTCCCATCTCACTCTTCCACTTAGTGAATTGCACTTTTTTGGTTTTTTAACTGAGGTGAGGAGAGGGAGGGGAAAAATTAAACAATGAATGTAAGAACCCTGAATGTCTGGAATCCTGATTACACAGAGACATTTTTCAGCACTTTTCTCATGAGTAAAGCATGAATTTGTGATGATTAGTGGAGTGAGTGGATGATACATTCTTTTTGAAACTTGGAAAGCCTCACTTACCTGTTAGTGCCGGATGCTACAGGCAAAGTATATGGCCACAGAAAGTCAAAGTCCTTTAGGTTGCAATTTTCTACACACTTACTTGGAAGTAAAACCCATTAGATTCAACTAGGCTTATGTCTCAGCAGACCCAGCTATATTTGATTAGGAAAGCATATGTTCCAATTATTTCTTACATATTTCCACAAAAACTTTTGTTCGCTTTCTCTTTCAATGACCGCAAGATCTCCGCCATGCTTCTTGCAGTATGCTCGAGCTCTTTCTGCAGACGCTGTTTCATTACTGAAATAGTACTCATTGCCCTCATACAAGATCCAGCCATTTTCAATTCTTTTGAATGAATATTCTGGAACAGAAGAAGTATTAAATTTCATTTAACATATTTCTTAATTATTCCGCATCAAAAGATTTCAGAGTAGTATTCAAACATGTGAGTAGCTTTAAATCACCCAGCCAGCAATTCTCCAGTATTTCAGGAAGGAATCTTTCAATCCCTACCTGAAGATGCTGAGGACAGAACCTGTGGCTTTCTGCATGCAAAGGATCCAGTTGAATGTAGCCAATTTGAGGAGCGAGAAATCCCAAGCCAGAGAATATCTACCATGGGATCCTCATGACAGAACTGTCAGTGGCCAAAGAGAATCACTGGGGCTGCCTCTTCCCCACTTTCCATTAGATTACAAAAGACCTCTTTGTTCTGAGGGAAAGCAGAAACTGGGAAGCTGAGGCCAGGGAGCAAACATATCTTTGGCTCCTGACAGACCCCCCAATAGCCTGAAAGACCTGTTAAGGCAGTTCCACCCCTGCTTTCCACGGTGCTGCTTAAGATGGACCTGTGTGAGCTGAGGAAAAGTGAAATCACCCAACATACCGAAATGATTGCTTGGCTCCGGTTTTAGTGACACCCCTGAAAAACCAAACACATATTAATTATATCATAGTGAATTTTATTGCATTACGTTATTTCATACAAACAGGAGTTTGTAAAAATGAAGGTGTTATTTGTACATTTCCAGGGCACAATTAACAACCTAATGCAGAGGAACTATCAGCAAATACCGATATTCACCATGGTGTACATGGCTCAGGTTCCTTGTTCTAATTGAAATGGAGTTCTTTACATCTCAGCATGAAAGCCAAGGATATTAACCCTGCAACAGTAATTATGAAGGCTAAATGTGTTTCACATTTCTCATTTTTAATCTCTTCTCAAAAGGCAAAAGGTTAATAATCATGTTTTTAAAAAATCAGGTTTCAGCAGTGCAGCAGATGAAGGCCCTGTTGGCTTTGTTTAATGAACCTGTTGTAAATGAAGAGGAATCTTACCTCTCTTTATTTGGCAAATCCAATTCAGAAAATGCTCACACCAGGAAGGTTTCCACCACGAATAAAACGAAGCCACTCCTCTGCATCCCATGTCTTTATCTCTTAAAACTTGATAGAGAAAGCTCCTCTCTTCGTAGTTTAGCTACAGTAGGAATAAAGTTTTCTTACTTGTTTTCTTTCTAAGAATCATCAAGGGTAATATATAGAAAAGGAGAGACTTAAAGCGTCAGTTTTTGAATGACTTGTACACTAAGGTTACCAGACGTCCCTGTTTACCGGGGACAGTCCCTGGATTTACAAATTAGTCCCCATACAAAATCCATTGAAGTTGAAAAGTATCCCCAGATTCACTGGGGGGAAAAACTTGTAACCTTATTGTACACACATGTGCATGTATATACATAGAGATGGGCTGTCATTTTCACATTAAGTGTGTGTGTGTGTGTGTGTGTGTGTGTGTGTGTGTGTAAGCTTCTGCAAGTTATTCAGATGACTGGCCATGCCATCTGGGCTAGAGGGGAGCAGCTGTATCACATGGTCAGCCCACAGCATCATGGTAATGGAAATGCATAGATTTAAGGAGATGGTAAAAAGCAAATGCACTTTTTTCTGGCTATCTTATCGCTATACTTTTTTTAAAAAAAGATGAAATAATTTGCATCTGGGTTGTTGTTATTTTTACTTTAAATTGTTCTAATTATTTTAATTGAAATGATTGCATTCCCAACCATGGGTTTGCTTCAGGTAGTGCAGCACCAGCAGAACCAGGGAAGGAATGCAGCAGCCACAATCTCTGTTTGCCCTAAGCCATAGCTTGGCTTTGCGTTATATGCAAAGTGGATAGTTAGTCTGTGTTCTCATGTTTTTCCTTTTAAAAAAAATTTAAATTAAATGTTCCTTACACACACACACACCCAACTGAGCAAGCCATAACTTCAAGCAACTGTGCAGTAATTGCCATAAGTGTTGGGTCCAAAAATTAGATTGCCCATCACATTTATAAATACTTTAATGCTGGACACTTCAATAACTAAACTTTTAAAGTATTGCTATGGTCTCAATCAAAGTTCACTATGAGAACAAGAGGCTTGAATACTAAGATTATAAATGAATTTGCACATAATTTTACCAACAATGCATTAGTATTCATCATTTACTTACAGGAGTTCCATCACTCCAAGTAAATCCTTTATCGGGCTCCAACTCACTTAAACCAATCCAATAATAGTCTGCAGAAGACCTAAAATATATAAAAAATATTGTAAGCAGAGAGTTGATTTCAAGAGTTTTAAAATTTACAATATAATGACTACTCTGAGGATCACCTTAGATTAGCTATTTGGAGCAGGAACTCTGTGTCTGTGTGTGTGTGTTCAGATTACATGTAGTCATTTCTTAGGCATGTTTGCATTACATGCTAAGTCATAGGATATTTACAGGTGACTGTATTATAAACTAGGACATGAGTAGGCAAACTAAGGCCCGGGGGCTGGATCCGGCCCAATCACCTTCTAAATCCGGCCCGCGGATGGTCCTGGAATCAGTGTGATTTACATGAGTAGAATGTGTCCTTTTGTTTAAAATGTATCTCTGGGTTGCATGTGTGCTTTTAATTAAAATGCATCTCTAGGTTATTTGTGGGGCATAGGAATTCGTTCATCTTTTTTTTCTTCAAAATATAGTCCGGCGCCCCACAAGGTCTGCGGGACAGTGGACCGGCCCCCTGCTGAAAACGTTTGCTGACCCCTGAACTAGGAGTTCCCAATGCAGTCCATGGGCACATTAGAAATTTTATAAAACTATCATGGGCACCACACCAAAATGGGGGCATAACAAGTGATGATGGATAAATAAATTTCTGAAGAAACTGAGTATGAGGCAGAGGTTTGATCTGAACCGAAACAATCAAAACCCATATCTGACCCCACATATCATAACAAAACACTTATTTCACAGAAGTCAAACTGGTGATTCTTAGAGAGAAGTAACCTATCAGCCAATCCATAGAGGTCAAGCCTAAGACATATTGCTGCCTGATGCGTTCCTGCCCTCGTCCCAGGAAACATCCCCAAATGTGTGCGCATACACACATTCTGCCCTAGGATTATCATTCAAACTTTCGTAAACATGAACTCCTTTTCTCCCCCAGGATTGTCACGCAGACATGGACCCCACACAAATCTCATCAATTTTCTCACACACTCAGATAGTCGGCCAGAGTAGTGTGTGCTATGGTTGCAAGTTCTGTGAAATTCCTTGTTGTTAAAGGTAATAATGACACAAGATTAAAACACAGTTATGTATACTTTTGTTATATGTATGTTTGTGGCACAACACTTCCTTCTATTTTGAAAGAAATGTGGTGTCAGTTAAAGCCCATACACCATTCTTTTAGGTGTATGCACTTTACTCTGTATAGAATGGACCTTTATTCTTTTCAACTGTATTGTTTTACTTAAAAACTCTCTCTCTCTCTCTCTCTCTCTCTCTCTCTCTCTCTCTCTCTCTCTCAAATGGTTTCATACTTAATGATATCACACAAATGTTTTATATTTTGGGTTTTCTTGGGGAACATTTCACCACCAAACCAAACTGACATGGTACTTAATAGATAAATAAATGGTGGCACATCCATTAACACTTATCTCAGGGATAGCCAAAGTGATCCAGACTCTCAGTGTTGGAATACAGTTCTCATCATCCATGAGTAGTGACCAGATTGATTGGGACTGATGGAGTTGGAGTCCAACAACCTCTGGAGGACAAGTTATGCTTAACTTAACCCTTTCCCTGCTAACTGCTTCTATGTTGCAATACATCAACAAGTGATGTATTTGTTTCTTTTCGTTCTGTTTAACAGGGTTATTACTCTAATATTTTATGTGGTGTTTTTTTAATTTTAAAAAAGTGGTACTCCATACTCACTGCGTATATAAAAAACAATTAAATTGTCCCTTTGCTATGCATGCAAGCAAAATATGCCTTTAAAAAGTCACAATTTAAAGTGCTAATAACCAAGATTGAACTGATGTGCTCCAACCCCCAAACCAGCTGGACTGTACATGGGTAGCAAAATTGTGATACATGTGGCAATTTGGGGGTGGGACAGTTGTGTTCCTTCTGGGTTCAAGCAGCTGAGAGTTGCCTCTTTTATTTCCCAGAAGTTCCCTGCTCCTCAGAAAAGAGAAAACTATGTGATTTGTTGTTGTTTAGTCGTTTAGTTGTGTCCGACTCTTCGTGACCCCATGGACCAGAGCACGCCAGGCACTCCTGTCTTCCACTCAGTTTAGTCAAACTCATGCTGATAGCTTTGAGAACACTATCCAACCATCTCGTCCTCTGTCGTCCCCTTCTCCTTGTGCCCTCCATCTTTCCCAACATGCGGGTCTTTTCCAGGGAGTCTTCTCTTCTCATGAGGTGGCCAAAGTATTGGAGCCTCAGCTTCACGATCTGTCCTTCCAGTGAGCATTCAGGGCTGATTTCCTTAAGAATGGATAGGTTTGATCTAATGTAGTGTTATTTTGAGGAGGGCATCTAGAAAACAAAAATGGCCATTGCCAGCTGTTGGTCATTGCAATGTGTTTGCAAAAGATGGTGGGATAAAGGGAAACTGGGAAGTGCCAGTCTCAGCTCCTCCTTTCAGGAAAGCACAGCAAGCAAGAGAGAGGGATGACACTGTTGCTGTGACCTCCACTTCTGCCAGTTTGGATTAATTCCTCTGTTTGCAATAAATGACATTTTCTAGTGATGCCTCAGGTACCGTGTGGTTTTGTGCCATGGCTGAAGTGTGTGATGCAGCAGGATTCAGAGTGTTAACTTTAAAAGAGAAATAGGTTTTGGTATGTGTATTGGTTTGGGAAGTGTGAACTGGAAAGCTGACATTAAAATGCCATTAAACCAGAAGAGTTTTTGATTCTGAGACAATGAAGACTAACATTATATGAAACTCACAACTCTGATAGCATTTTCTGTTCTTCTTCACTATGAACAGAAACGAGGTCTCCTCCAATTGCTCTACAGAAATCTCGTGCTTCAAGCCAAGATTTCTTGCTCTCTTTCTCTTTTTTATAGGCCTAAAGGCATAAAAATATAGTTAAACATAAGTAATAATAATCTGTTTTAAATCTATAACGTTCCCTCTCCCTGAATATTGGTAATTCCCTTCTTTATTTCCTAACCAAGGTTCATATCCTGATACTCTTTTCTATTGGTTCTCCGACTTCATATTATACATCTGATTTGAATACTTTTGCTTCTGAGCAATAACCAGTTCCAGCACCCATGTTTTTATCCCAACACAGCTGTAAACATTTTATATTGACCACCCTATTCCTGTCACTGTAATCCATTTTAACTTATTTAAATTTTAAATTGTTGCAATCCACCCTGGGACCTGTTGGTGAAGAGTGGATAGCCGTAGTAGTAATACAGTAATACCAATTCAGTTAAAAGGTTTTTCTTGCCCTTTTTTTTGACAAATCACAAATTACTTCCCCCAAGTCAATTTCTTTGGCAAGGTCACATTTGATAGAAAAAAGTATGATGAGTGCCAGTTTCCGGAATATTTTTTTGCTTCTGTCACTGGCAGGGTGCAAAAACTCTGGATCGCTATTAAAATTAGATGCATTGTGTTTTATTTTTGCTGTAAATCTCATTTAATAAGATAAGTGAGGATATTTAAAACTCTTTCTAAAAAGTAAATTGAATGATTTTTCCTCCCAGAACCAATGTTGCACAAGGTGAACTATCTGAAAGATCTGGTGGATACTTGTGAGGCAGCCATTTAGAATCTTATTTCAGTTCCTTAGGCTCCAGAGTCACGTATTTTAGGACTCAGCCAAATATGAAATGAATATTCTTGGTTGTTTTGAGCCTGTGTTTGAATTCATAGATGACAAAGATACATAGAAAACATTCCCTCTGGACACACTCTCCGTAAATATCATTAACCATGATCTATAGTTGAGAGGCAAAAATCCATTCTGATCTACTTCTAACCTCCCCAATGAGCTACATTCTGCCCACTCCTCCACTAAAATATAAAAAGTCTGTACTTCAAATAAACTACAGTTCAAAATATTAAAGTAAAACTCCACAATAAAGAGAGTCACAAAAAACCTGCATTGAACATTGACTTTAAAACTAAAACCACACCCTCAAATATCTCAAATGGTTTACTGATAGAGAAGAGCCGTTTCTGCCTTGCCTTTCTATTTAAGCAGACAAGAACTGGTATGCCTACCTTGAAGCACACATTTCTAGTACTGCTTGAACGCCATCCTTCTGGGCATGGAGGTGGAAGGCTTGGTGTGGGGGCAGGAGTTGTTGTTACACCTTCTGCCCATTGTTTGCAGATGAAGGCTGCCTTCTCTTCACAGTTCACAACATCCCACAAGCCAGCTGCAGTCCCAGTTCTCATGGCAACACAGCCAAGATGTTGCCCTTTTGGAGACACAAGACAAGAGCCACGTCAATTGAATTTCTGTTCATATGTGTAAAACTACTACAACTACTATTACTACTACTACTAACAACAACTAACAACAACAACAACAATGTAGAAGCCTTTTGTGAAATATCGTTCTAATTAGGCTTCAGGAAGTACTTAACACACAGCTGCCCAATGCAGGTTAATTCTGCGTCCAGGGCAGCAGTCTGCCATCTCCACCTGTTATGCCTGCTGACACCCTGTCTGCCTTCACCCTGTCTCACCAGAGTGGTGCATGCTCTGGTTATCTCCTGCCTGGACTACTCCAATGTGCTTTACGTGGGGCTACCTTTGAAGGCAACTCATAAACTACAGCTAACCCAGAATGTGGCAGCTAGATTGGTGACTGGGAGCAGTCGCTGGGACCATATAACACTGGTCCCAAAGGATCTGCATTGGCTCCCAATACATTTCCAAGCACAATTCAAAGTGTTGGTGCTGACCTTTAAAGCCCTAAATGGCTTTAGCCCTGTATATCTGAAGGAGTGTCTCTACTCCCATTGTTCAGCCTGGACACTGAGATCAGCTCTGACGTTCTTCTGGTACATCCCCCACTGCAAGAATTGAAGTTACAGGGAACCAGGCAGAAGACCTCACTAGTGGCATTTGCCCTGTGGAACACACTCCCATCAGATGTTAAGGAAATAAATAACTATATGACTTTTAGAAGGCAGCCCTGTACAGGGAAGTTTTTGACAGTTCATGTTTTATTGTGTTTTTGATTTTTTGTTGGGAGCTGTCAAAGTGGCTGGGGCAACACAGTCAGATAGGTGGCATATAAATATAAATATAAATATAAATATAAATATAAATATAAATTACCAGGCATTGCTGAATTCCAGTGGGTAAACAGAACACCATCTCCATTGGTCCAGTTAAATGTCCCTGGTTGCTGTACGCCTGAAAGGCCAATCCAGAAATATTTTTCAGAACGAAGCCCAACTAGACTAGTCAGGTAGGCCTGTTCATATCTGTGGAGAAAAATGAGTAATAAATGCATTAAAAGTGCGTGCTTCTTCTTTTTTTAAGAAAAAGTTAATTTTCAGGACATACTGGAGTTGGCCACTCTGTACATCAAAGCAGAAGTGAGTTCAACAGCTATAATCCAAAGTGTCAGACTCCACTACAGAATCATTGTGGTTGGTGATACCTGTAATTTATATGAAAAATATGCTTTCGTCCTGCTGATCAAAATGCTGAAGGAGATCTTCAGATGCAGAAGGAGATCAGAAGGCGATCACATGCAGAAAGTAGCTGTATACTTAGTTAACTTCAGCTACCTTCGCATAAATTGGGTGCATGTGTGTTCAAATCGCAACATAGAGGTAAATGCTCTAAATGCCTTATGTGGCTGTGCTGCCTGACACAGAGAGGCTGTGTAAAGCATACACAACTCAAGAATGCTGGGAACTGTGGTTTACCCCTCACAGAGCTGTAATTCAAAGTACCCTTACTAAACTACAGTTCTCATGATTCTTTTTTCTGGGGTGTGTGCATCAAGTGTATGATGTGTAGACAGCTTTAGTCTTATGTGGTGCCTAGGTGGGCCTGTTGCAAGAGTGTCATTGAACCAGTTGGGTATATTGACCATAGTACTATTCAAAGTAAAAGGTAAAAATGCGCACATACCCTAAGCTTTGAGGTCCACTGTCACTAAACAATACATCTACGTATTGCATGTACCAGCACAATCCATACTAATTATTTCTCTGCTTGTAATCTTAGAATATTCAGAAATAAACCAAATTTGCATTTTATCGATATTAAAAACACTTCTATTTGTTCCTTTCTTCTGGAAGGAAAATTTTTTAATACCTGTTTTCCACAGAAGTCAGAGATCCCTTATTTGTTTCACAGAATTTCTTTGCTTCTGAAAATGTTACAGATGTTTGTCCAATTAAATAACAATAGACACCGTGCCTTTTCCAACCCTGTCAATATAAAAGAAACAACAACCACCATTTATTATTGCAGTATTAGGTTGGAGATGAGGTTTTTTAAAAAAAATAATTTTATTTTCTCATTTTACAAATATTATAACAAAGATAAATTTACATAAGCAATTTAAAAAACCAAATCTTAATATCACCCCTCCCCCCTTTCTGTGGTTACTTATATCATATATTTTGCCACTACATATCCAATTCAAATCTATTTACTGGTTATCCTTTATATTCTGTTTAAGTTATTCTCACTGCATGTTTTTATGTCAGTTCTGCTAATGATTTAAGATGAGGGTTTCTTTTATATACCACCCCTCCTTTGTGAACACAGAACCCTCCTTCCAATGACTAGCTAGTTCTAGCTGCTCTGCAGTCAGCAACATTGCTAACAATTCTCTATTTAACAACAACAACAATGTGGAATATTGGATTTATTTTCTTATTATGTTTATTACCACTTCCAATCAATAACAGCGTTAGAATCATATCTAAGTATAGGATTTTTATTTTTATTTTGTAATTTTGCCTAATTAGAAAAATACCCCCTTCCAAAATTTTTGAGCTATAGGGCAATCCCACCACATGAAGCATGAAGTACCAATCCTCTTTCACTGCATCTCCTCCAGCATAGTGGTGAAGTTCCTTTTATAACAGACGATAGTTTAACAGGTGTCCAGTACCACCTGAATATTATCTTTAAAGTAACTTACTGAAAACACACTGGAATTAAGAGACTGAGTTTATTTTAGTGACACTGCTGAAAGTTTATTAAAACAGGAATCTTCATCCAGCTTGAGGTACCACAGAAATTGCATAGAGATCTTTGATGTAGGCCAATGTTGTCATTATCTAAAGTGGTGCAAGAGCCTTTACGTCTGCATAGAAATTAATACATTGGCCATTTCATACAGTCATAGAATTGTAAAGTTGTAAGGGACCATGCGAGTCATCTAGACCAGCTACCTGCAATGCAGGAATATTTTGCCCAACGTGGCGCACGAACCCATAACCCTGAGATTAAGAGTCACATGCTCTACCAACTGAGCTGAGCTCAGGCAATTGATAGAAGAGTCTAGAACAGATTTTTGGGAAACATCTGGTAGAAATCCAGATGATGAGTGTGACTTTTGCAAACTGTTTCTGGAGCTGGACATATGAAGCTATCTGCAAGAGTCAGATAGTTGGTTTGTCTTCTTCAGCATGGCAGAAGGTTTCCAGGACTGTTGTACAAAATCCTCTTGAAATGTCAAGGGTTGGTTCTGAGGCCTGCAGCATGTGCTCTGCCCCTGAGTTGCATCACCAGCAGTTGTGCCCATTGCTATTTTGAAAATTGCAGTTGGGTGAAACCAAAAATTTAAAATAGAACAATAACTAGAGATTGAAATAAAACTGAAATATTTAAAAAATATGAAGCAGTGAATCGATGTTAAGGACCTTCAGTGCACCCATAACATCTCCAAGACATACAATCTTCACATGCCCCATATCTTTCTCTGAACCAGGAAATGCTTCAAGCTGTCAAATGCATGCAGACCATTATCTGAATCAAATGAAGGAATTGCACTGCCCCTATAAGCAAATACTCCCATAAGCACCTCCACCATATTTTGATTACTAGCTATGATCCATAAGAAGTGATTCCAAGTGATTACTCTTCACACTTGATGCCTTAGAGACTAAGACAGATAGATGGGAATATTTCCTGTTGTTGGCAGTGGAAGCAGGGTATACTGCATATATGTAGTGGATCTGTTCTCAAGTTTAAAAATTAAAATTATTTAAAAAATAGAAGAAATAGTTGATGTAGTAGCTGTTTTAGATTCTTGGGGGGGTTTAAATGTAAGATCAGCAAAAAAAGGGGCTCTTCCCTACTAATAGGCACAAGGGTGTAATTACCCTATTGGAGGGGGGAGCAGTAACTCTATTGATTAGAAACTCTCTATTGAAACTTTATCCAAATTGATATTGTCTTTCAATCTTTGATAAAGCAGCCTTCCTGCGGTCAGCAGTAAAAAGGAAAAGAAGCAAAGAAAGCTGACCCGTGGTATAGTTGCTGAAGAGGCTTGAGTGGCCATAGGAAGGGTACGAAATTGGAGGGGAGGGGGAAGATAAATTTTACATCTTACCTCAAGACTAGAGGTACCTCTGCATTAATGGACAGCTTTAAGAAGAGAAATAGTTGGTGTCTATGCATATTTGACTTTTTAAATCACTACACAGTTTACTTTAGACTTACTTTCTGGCAATTTGGATCAGCAACTTCAGGTTCTCCAGGAAGAGATGCCAAAGGTTGTCTTTTACAGATGTAACCAAGTTCCACTTCACAGAAATAATCTGCCCAGTACCCATTCTAGAGATGGGAATGTGAAGAAATACAAATATTAGTGAAGAGGGGTCCACTGGCTTTCTCATTTTCTTCCTGCTTGATGTCTTTGTGTCAATGCAAAGCTTTCCATTTTTGCATGAGTTGGACAACTTCACAAAATTCCTATTACATTTGAACTTCACTGAAATCTTCAGCTGAAACTAATGAAGTATTCAGCTTGAGGATCTGATACTTCTGATTATGATGATTAGGACACTGAGTTGGCATGATGGCAGAGAGAGCAGTGCAGGAAGGAGGAAGCATTGGCCAGCCAGCTGGCCTGGTAATCTGTTTCCAGTACTGCCATTGTAAACCAGCCTGTGATCCTCAGATGAAGGACAATATAGAAATTTAAGAAGAATTGGTCCCACGGCTGGAGAAAATTCAAGGGATTAGTGAAGGTAAGTGTGTGGTGTGGAAGTTGGTGAGTGTGGGCATTTGGGGGCAAGGTCTAGGAGATGATGGGGTTCGCGAGTGAAGCCAAACAGAGCTTCAATTCCTAGGGCAGCCTAGAAAGAGGGAATGATTGTTAAACCATTCTGGGAATTTTAGCTCTCAATGTGCCAGATTGGCCCTCAATCCATTTATTCAATCTTTTGTGTAATAGGCTGAATAAATGTATTGAGGACCAAGGGAAATACATCTCTCTTATAGGATTCATATTTTTACCTCCCCATTCATGATGACACATTCGTTTTGCACATCATTTATTTGTTGTGGTTTTCCTTTCTGCCACTTGGTGAATGTCACAGTAGAACCATCACTCCATTCATAATACATCTGAATCTTCTGGTCATTCAGTCCTATCCACAGAAGGTCTGTTGGTTCTAAGAACATAAAGGCGTCATATTTATTTGCCACCAGTCCAGAGTGCCTAGGATCCTATGGCACACAGCTCTATGGTGCATAGATTTGGAAATGAGAGACCATTTTGAACTGTAGCTCAGTTTGACATGTGCAACTAGTTACATAAAGATTAATGGAATACAGAACTACAAATGAGTAGTGTCTAATTGACCAGCATTCGCCAAACAGCTGCTCTGCAAATATTTTGAGCTGTAACTGTAATCATCCCTGACCATTGGTGATATTGACTGAGGTTTATGGAAGTGCACTAGTTTGTGGAAGGCTATAATAGTCAGTGTCATCTCTCATACTTGACTTGTTTGTGCACCTTAATCACTTCAACAGACTATCGCTCTGTGGTGCTTTTCAATAGGGGAGGGCCTTAGTAACATTGTATAACTGTATGTGGTTTGGGGAAAAACCCCACCCTCTCTCTTTTACACACACCAAATACCAGGAAAACAGAATTTTCTGGATGTACTCACTGTAGCCTAGCTGAGAAATGACAAAGCTGTATTCTTCAATGTTGTGTATACTTATTAAATCTCCACCTTCCTTTCGACAGGACCATAATGCATTCTTCCATGTCTTAAGGTCTCTGTTAAGGTGGTAACAGTGACCTGCATATGCAGCCCAGCCATCTGGACATTTAATTGGTTTAAAGCCCTCTAAAAAGAAAACAAATATATCTAAGATTGCATGACTGGATGAACTTTAAAAATTCTTTAATTCTTTAAAAATTTAAAAAATGCCATTATGTTGTCATTGAGTCACTTGTGTGCAAGGACCCTGTGACCCCACAGTTCCCCTGTGAGTAAGGGGGTGAATAACCAGACAAGACAACAGTATATAGGTTTTATCGGTTAAAATAGGCCACAACTTTATTTGTTACATATGTGAGCAATTTGGCACAGGCATTGGGTGAAGCGAGACTACAGCACTCCAGCCTGTCTGCTAGAAGTGCATCTAAGGCTAAACCACCACTAGGGGGGCCCTATGACCTACATCAAAAAGGGGTACCCCCTAGGGGTCCTCATTGGTCTGCTATGGCCCTGTCCCCATCTGGAAACCAGACAGAAGCTGCTTCTCCTGGATCGCTTTAACAGGATACCTTCCACAAAGGAGGGGGAGGTAGTGTCTACAACCTCCTCTCCAGCCAAGACCAAGGTTTACCCGATGCCTCACAAAGTTGTGATGATTGCTATGAGGTAAGCAAAAACCCAATGGCCGGTGCCAATTTGCCTGACCCTGAATACAGTGGTCGACATGGTCCATAGCAAGGTCGTGGTTCAAAATACCAGTATAATGAAAGGGAGGGAGGGTGGGAGATCCAGCGAGAGAAAGGTCAGAGAGAAAACTGCCAGGTCAGAGTTCAATTTTAACCCCTGGGAACGAGCCCAGGTGGCGCTGATTGACCAGCTGGTCTGCTTCCAGTAAAAGTCTGCCCAGTATCAGTCTTTACTGATAGACAAAATACTCTCAGCCATCTCTGTCCAATCAAACATTTCCCATTGCATATGCCCCTACAAACAGCAAAACCTGTATTACTGTTAGAAATGTAATTTTGGACTCTGGCGCCCTCTATACATAATGATGATACAATTATATAGAAAAAGGTAAAGTTCATTCCCAGTTTATCATCCTACCTGAAGGAATAACAGAAGCATCTAATGAAGAGTTTGCTTTTTTGCAAATGTATCCAAGTTTCTCTTGACACTTATCATTCCCCCACTTGCCATTCTTAGACTGCATTGATCCACAGATTTTTTCTGTTTCTGGGGATGGGCTCCCTTTAAGAAAGTGTGAGACAAGTGATCATTGAGTCCTGTGTTAACACTGCAATGCTGCAGTTTGAGTTGATCTTTCACAAAGCAGCCTACAATATTTTAAATCAGCACAAAACCATTTAATATATATATGGCCAGAAACGATAAAGTTGAAACTAACCAGCATAGAACAATAATAAATGAGCCACTTTCCAGTAAATTAACCTCATCCATCCATTGCCCCTTCATCAAGAGCTTTTGAAAAGGCTTCTTTAAAAGTCTGAGTCTGCCTAATCTCTACTGGAATTGCATTCCATAATTGTGGAGCTACCATTTTATCACCATATCTTCAGTCTAATCACCTTTACTGGTGAACAATGAGTCCAAATGTGTATCCGCTATGCAATTGGAAGTGGGTGGGTGTGCATGATCTGTGATCTATCTGATAACTGGAAATCTCTGTTTGGGTTCAGGTACCTTTTCACTGGATTGCGACTACTGAATTACACCACAGTTCCATATTCTATGCAGGAGGAGGGCATTTACCGTATTTTTCGCCCCATAGGACGCACCGGCCCATAGGACGCACCAGGTTTTTTGGGGGGGAAATAAAGAAAAAAAAATTTATTTCTCCCCCAGGTGCTTGTGGGGCCTGCAGTGGGGAGAAGCGCTCTTCTCCCCGCAGCCCGCCTTCAGACCAGGTCCGGGGACAGCGGGAAGACGCACTGCGCCTCCCCGCTGTCCCCGGAGCTTGCGGGGCTGGCAGCGGGGAGGAGCGCTCTTCTCCCTGCCGCCCGCCTTCAGACCAGGTCTGGGGACAGCGGGAAGACGCACTGCACCTCCCAGCTGTCCCCGGAGCTTGCGGGGCAGGCAGCGGGGAGATGCGCTCTTCTCCCCACCGCCCGCCTTCAGACCAGGTCTGGGGACAGCGGGAAGACGCACTGCGCCTCCCCGCTGTCCCCGGAGCTTGCGGGGCTGGCAGCGGGGAGGAGTGCTCTTCTCCCCGCCACCCGCCTTCAGACCAGGTCTGGGGACAGCGGGAAGACGCACTGCACCTCCCAGCTGTCCCCGGAGCTTGCAGGGCAGGCAGCGGGGAGATGCGCTCTTCTCCCCGCCGCCCGCCTTCAGACCAGGTCCAGGGACAGCGGGAAGACGCGCTGTGCCTCCCCGCTGTCCCCGGAGCTTGCGGGGCAGGCAGCGGGGAGAAGCGCTCTTCTCCCCGCCGCCCGCCTTCTGACCAGGTCCGGGGACAGCGGGAAGACGCGCTGCGCCTCCCCGCTGTCCCCGGAGCTTGCGGGGCAGGCGCTGGGGCTCTCTTGAAGCCTGGATTCGCCCCATAGGACGCACACACATTACTATTGTTCAGTATTGATCTGATTTGGCACATAGTTGTTCACTCACCTGGAGCCCAGTTTAAATATCTGAAAGGGTGGTTGCCAATCCACTGCCATCCACTGTCAAGATCCAAGCTGTTCAGACCAATCCAGTAGTAAGTAGGTATACCATTTATTAATCCTATTCACGGAAAAGAAGATCAATTAAACTGTATTATATAGCTAGGAGATTTATATTGATGAAGCTGGGGGGACAAAACATAACAGGATGTCAGATCCCCCCCCCCTAAAGCTGGGTACCAAATAGAAATTAATCAGAAAAAACTTTTCATCTGGTATGCCAATATAATACTTCAACCAGCATCAGTTTCAACCAATGAATTTCTGCTTTTCATACAGTTTTTGAAGACACATGGGTCTTAAGTCTAAAAGTATTGGGAAAGTGAGAGACAATGTAAGATTATGGCTTTTTGTTCACAACAACAAAGTCAGAATTGTGTTCCACTGCTTAAAAGAGAACATAACATGGTGCATACAACACCAAAATAATAAATGTAGAGTTTCAAAAGTATTTTACTATATATTCTCCAAGTATATTTTACATTTTTTTTCAACCAAAAGACACTTTAAAATATCAAAAGAACAATATACCAAGAATAGGAAGGTGATGATTTGCACAAAAAAGTCATCTGTGTAAGGCAGCAAATGTACTTTAAGGCTGTGTGTGTACACATCCTAAGATATTCTAGGAGTGGAAAGACACTTCTCATAATTTTCATGAAATTTATACTTAGAGCTGAGACAGTATTGACTAATTAGCAAAACATCACAAGATGCTGATTGCCTCTTCAGGTATGCCTTGTTATGTCCTACCTGTCAGGTATGCTTGTTCATGTAAATCGGTGATGCTCAATAATTCTGCATTCTGTTGCTGGCAACTTTTTCTTGCTTGGTACCATGTTAGAGCTGACTGGGAATTGATCTGATAGAGATCCCCTGTCCAATGGTTTCTGGTCCAGAAGAACTCATTATGGTCATCTGTAAGCATTGTTAACTTGAGTGTCAAATCTTCAAATCACCCATGATTAAGCTAATTCTACAGCTGATATATATTTGATTCTTTAATGATCTAGATTCTTTGTGTTTTCCAAAGAATACTCAAAGCAATCTGCAGAAACACAGAATTTGTGTGATCAAGGGGCAACATCGCTGGCTCTCCCCCATCAAGTGATGGCTTCCAAAGCCCCATCCCAAGTGTTCACATATTAGGTGTGGTTATCTACACATACCTAGATATCTAACCATTTGTGCTTCCCCAGGACCTGGAAACCCTGTGTGCAATCAGGACTTCAGGTTCCAGGATAGTTTTGATGAGTTGGCTTTCTCCCTGTAAACATCCATACCTAATGCATGAATGTACCTGCACCCATATGGCCGGCACCAGTCCAGAGCTCATCCCACCTCACTGCTGTTTTGCTTCACCCCATCTCCATGGACACTGCTGCTGGGAGGACACCATGGTCTCCGCCCCAGTCACTGCATGAGCCACCACTGGACAGATCTCAAACTGGGAGGGACCAGACTCAGGCACAAACACTTAGTTTAACCCACCATCACACAGAGAGAGACCTATTCCCCATAGAAAAGGAGGCATCTGTTAAAATTTTAGTAGCTCCACTCAAATTGTACCTTCAGGTTCCCTCTCTGTTTTAGTCTTTTTGCCTCTGGGAAACTGCATGCTTTGTTCAACATCTAAACCCACTTGCCTCTCAGCTGCTCCCCACTGAACAGCTGATGGTTGTGAGGACCAAGGAGTCAGGTGAAATCTGGCTGCAGGCTATATACAGAAGGACCCATGTCTGCTCTATGCTTTGATTTTGGCCTGAACTGGACTACATCCTTATCTCTGTTCCTTTTAGATGAAGAACTGCAGGCTTGATCCTGTAGGGGCCCGGTTAGGCATTGGAATGTGTTATTGGTGTATGGAAGGGCAAGGTGTGGCCATCGCCTACCCCTTCACTTATGGGTATTCCGTTAAAGGAATCTGGTGGTCGTGGATCCTGTCTGATGCCCTGTGTGGCGGGGGGCCATGGCACGACCCTCGGTGACATCAGGGGAGAGCTTATAGTTGTATTTGCATCAACAGGCTCCCCCTACTGGTGGTTAACCCCTCGTCAGACTCACCCCTCTCTGAGTGGGTGGAGTCAAACTTTCGGTGGTCCAATGCCTAAGCCAATACCTTCTCACTTGCTGTAATCAATAAAGTTGTGGCCTTTTTCTAGCCCATTAACCTAATATACTGTGTCCATATGTCTTTATTCCCAAGCAGGGGACGGGTCCTCGAATCACAATTCATTTTGTTCTGACTTGCAAAGGAAAAGTTCTTTCCACATTTTCTTTTCTTAAATTGCACAATCTGTAAAGATGAGGCAATAATAGCAGCTTCTCTTTTCTCTTTGTAGGTTAAACATTTCTCTAAGCAGCAAATACGCAATAACATAGTAAAGGCTCAAACAAAACATTGTTAAGTGCTTACCTTTTACTGGACAATATCCACTTAAAGAGTCTCTATTCACATCTGCTGTTGTTCCACACCAAAGCTGCCCATTTTCATCGTCATCTCTTATGCACTTTGCATACCATTTATTCTTATACTTGAATGGAAACACACAGGGGGCTCCAAAGGCATTGCCTTCTATGGTATACAGGGCTAAAGGAACATTGGACAGATCATGTTAGGCTGGAATAATTTTGAACACTATTGAGAGGCAAACACAAATAAAGCAGAAATAATGAAGACAAAGCCCTCTATAGGACTCTATGTAAACTCAGATATGCACTGTTTGTGTGTACAGGCTTCCATGTTCACCTCAGTGGAATTTTAAGCATCCATCCCTTTGCATGTACGCAGAATAAATGCATGCAATTCCTCCATTAAGTGGAGGGAATTGTCAGCCTCTGGTGTCTCCAGGCAGGGTTAGGAAAGTACTGTAGAGGAAGGGTACTAAGTTCCCAAAGGTGCCACCACTCAGCTGCCCATGCTGGTTGGCCCAGCTTCTACCTAACCAAAGCTTGAACCCTCCAAACTGCCCAGCCATCACTTAAGGACATCAACCAGTCAGACCAACAGTCAGCAGCAATCAAGTATTGGGCTCTGTGTGTGAAATCCATAAAAACAACAATATTATAAAACAGTAATATGTATGTTTATATCAGATATATGAAGGTATGTTTAACATCTAAAAGCTATTACCATACAGAACAGTCATCCCTCCAGGGGGAAGATATACACATAGGGTTGCCATATTTCAAAAATTGAACATCCAGACACAAAGGTTTTTGAGATATTTTTAAGGAAATTCACAAAAATCCACACTTCCAGCACGGGTTGCCATACATTAAGATTTTCCCAGATATTTGAAGCAATTTCCACCCGGACACAGTTTGCGATGGCCAAATCCCGGTTATGTATAGGATATTCCAGATGTATGGCAGCCCATATACACAAGAACATAATTTGAGAATGGGGGTGTGATAAATATTCTATTCAGTGTGACAGAACATCTGATATGTAAAAAAGGATGTGTGAGAGTATTGTATTGTTTGTATGAAGAGGGTATTTTTTAGCTGCTTAATTTTTCTATTTGATCTTTAATTCCCTAACTATATATATAGTTGGTGCTTATGTTGAGCCACTTTCTTTAGTACTCTGCCTTTAGATCCTATTTTGTCCTTCTGATATAGCTGGAGTCTGGACTGATGGTTATGTGATTTGCATCATACCTATTTTGGGTCCCAGATGTAGGGGATTCAACATGCTGGAAGCAGATACACCAACTGAATATCAAAAGAAAGAGGATTAACTCTCTCATTTTACCTTCATAGCCCTTGGAACACAAGCTGTCTTTCGTTCCATAGACCTTCCAGGTACTCTTGCTGGTGGCTACTTTAGAAAGTATAAGACGGCTTTTTTGGCCACCTTCGGGATTTAAAAACAAATCCCCCTGTTCGAGTGCAAGGAGGCTGTCATTTCTGCATTCCCATTTCTGAAGTTCACTCGTCTCATTGCAGGGAGAGAGGGTGAGGGCAACCAGGTTTGACTTGGAAGGCACTGCCAGGCATAACTTCACTGCCATGTTCAAAACCTGGTCGTCGGAAACCCACTTGAAATGTTGCCACTCATTATCCTCATCGCAGTTGACCAGGATGATGGAACGAGATTTCTGAGGTTGTATACAAAGCTTGAGGTTTTCATTTTGTATCAGAAAGCTGTCACTGTCTGCAAAATCAAGAGAGGAAAAATTCTAGGAACATGGTGAAAAAATTCCACATAGCTTCCAACATGGCAACCACTGGCAGGATGATAATACCAAGAAGCAATAAGATTGAAAGAGCAAAGAGAGAAATACCTCTCATGTTGATTCTGCATTTTACAGTGCTGCGTCTTATTTATCAGAGGTCCATAATTTGCTTAATTCCTAGCCAGGACACTGACTTTGATGTCCTTCTTGCAAATCCTGTTTGCAGTTTATTTTATTCTGAATAAGTTTTTAATCATTTGATTATTCTCAAAATGCTGCATTTTTAAACAAAAGACCCATACCTTTATAAATAAAGCTTTTTTAAAAAGGATTTTTAAAAAAATATTTCACTCCTTTTGAGTGCCAAACTAGACATGATGCGAGACATCTGAGATTGAATCTTCATAATTGTTATTTTTTTAAATTTATTTATTGCTAAAAGCATGGGGCGAGGGCAATTTGAACTGGAGAACAGAGGTGAGCAGGTTCACCTATCCTTCCACATCAGTGCCCTGAAACTATCTGTCCCCCTGCCCCCCACCCCCTATCCTGCACTGTACAGGGAATAATATGCTGGCATCTGCATTCTGTGAAAAAAATTCCTCTGCCCCGTGGCTAAAAACAGCTTTGGTGGAGGATTTGGACAAATGTGTAGCTGGAAAAAGGTTTAGCTCCTCTTGCCTACCCAAACCATTGATCTCATCCAAATATTCCCCACTTGTCTGTTTTTATTAACACCAAGACATCTTCTATGGCCCTCAATATGTGGTGACCAACTGATTTCCTATTTATTTATGTAATTAAAACCATTTGCTATACTGCCCATCAGTAGGAATTAGTTTGATGGTGATTTTTTTTTTTTAAAAACCACACACCTAAGACATGAGAAATACAGTATCCTAAAAGTAGTATCAACAGTCATAAAAAATACCAGGACAAATTCTTATCCAATAGATACAGTAAAAACAGTCATGTAGGCTAACAGCCTGCATGATTATAACACTCCAACCATACCAATAAATAACCTGAGAAATATCACATTATATTCAAGAACAGTAAGGATATGATGCTTTCCTTTCACGAGGAAGAGGTGTAATTTAGATTTGCTAAAGCGCAAGGAATGCACTCAGTGGGATCCTTCACTCTGAAGGAAGGCTCTTTGATCCTGCAGTTTTCTGTTAGCAAAATGGGGAGGAAGGCAATATTTTGGCAATTCCTCATTCCTCCTGCATACCATATATTTCCTCCCAATTTGCTCCAGAGACTTGGGAGACACCTTGGCACAGCTTGGGAAGCACGTGAGGAAGGAGGAATGGCAAATATTGTCTCCTGACAAAAGGCTCCACTGGATCAAGGAGCTCTGTTAGTGCAAAGGACACCAATGGAAACAACAAAAGATGCCTTTTTTTGTTGTGTACATAAATATGTCAGATATTCTTCTTGTTTAATATTTTAAAAATGTTATTGTTGATGCATTTCTTACATTTACAGTTCATTTTTATATAGTGAAAAAGAAAGTAATAGGATGCAGCGGAGTGTTGCATGAAGAAAGAACAAATTCTTTCTTGCAACAGTAAAAACTTATGATGTAAATTACATTCAAAATGATGTTGGCTGTGATGTTATTGTAATTTAAACCTGATTTTATTGCTATAAGCAGATTCAATGTTAGTTACTTCTCATTGTATCTCCTGTTGCATGGATTTAACTTTAATGACGCAACATTAACTTCCAGAAGATGATTCAAATGTAAACAGTTAAATTTATTGAAGGTGCACCTTTACTTACTAAAGTAACAATAGTGGAGCTTACCTGGTACTTGAAAAGTCACTTGAATGAGGACCAAGAGATTTAGGAGCAAAAAGGAAGGCATTGGCCACAACCAAACCTACCACACAGATCCCATGGAAAGAAGGCAAATCAGAGTCTGCTGCTTTTCAGTTACTTCTTCATAAATGAGCCAGGCAGAATGAAAATTTCACTTCTGTGTTTGACATGTTATTGTACACAAAGCCAAATTTTGCAATACTGCAATTTTTTGTTTTTGGCAAATGCAGCAGTGGACTTAATCTGAATACAGTATATGGGGGCCAGAAGATCCTCTTTGCACCCTTTAATTTTTTGGGGATTGAAAGGGGTCCTTTGACTCTTAAAGGTTGGGAGCCACTGATATAAAGGAAATCTTTCTTGGATACAGGGAGAAGTCAGCAGGCATCTTCAAGAACTATAGAATATGTGGAGGGTGTTGTTGTTGTTTAGTCGTGTCCGACTCTTTGTGACCCCATGGACCAGTGCACACCAGGCACTCCTGTCTTCCACTGCCTCCCACAGTTTGGTCAAACTCATGCTGGTAGCTTCGAGAACACTATCCAACCATCTCGTCCTCTGTCGTCCCCTTCTCCTTGTGCCCTCCATCTTTCCCAACATCAGGGTCTTTTCCAGGGAGTCTTCTCTTCTCATGAGGTGGCCAAAGTATTGGAGCCTCAGCTTCACGATCTGTCCTTCCAGTGAGCATTCAGGGCTGATTTCCTTCAGAATGGATAGGTTTGATCTTCTTGCAGTCCATGAGTCTCCTCCAGCACCATAATTCAAAAGCATCAATTCTCCGGCGATCAGCCTTCTTTATGGTCCAGCTCTCACTTCCATACATCACTACTGGGACAGGCTATATAACCCATACATGTACAGGACTCTTACTTCATAACTGCTGACACTTTTTTCTAATGAGAATAGGCAAATAAATATGTTGCACTTCACATTTAATGTCTTATATGGAGCTTCATATTTAGAAGGATTTTTTTTTAAAAAAAATCACACCCAATAGTTGAAATGCCTTGATGAGTCTCTTCATATTTCTGGAGAACTAAATTTCATTTTTACTATTTCTTTAAATTTATTTATTACTTTTATACCATTCTTTCTAGCCACGGACCTTAAAACCACTCACAAAATTCATATTTTGGTGCAGGTGTGCAATGGTGTCCTTGCCTGCCTTTCACTCAACAGCACATTAGCACCTGTCATGATATAGATATGCTGGAACCCATAGGGCTGACAATGATCAACACAGTATTCTGCCTTCTTAGAATCATAGTTGTAGAATTGGAAGGGACCCTGAGAGTCATCTAGTCCAACCCCCCTGCAATGCAGGAATCTCAACAGACGGTTCCCCCATCCAATTTTAAACCACAATGTTTTTATAGTCAAGGTTGCCACTGACAGCATGGTTGCAGAGGCTCATTTTACTTCTGCTTTTAAAATATATGTGTAATGGTTCCTAAGGGGGTTGCTCGTGCGTAAGCAGGTGTCTATCTTCCTGGCTTGGTGCAAACACCTGGCTGGGCTGCCAAAGTGAACCTCCTCTGTCCGGACAGCCACTCACCCGTGGCTGACTCAATCGCTGGCAGAATCCGTGAGTGGGCGTTTCTTAAACTTCTTCCAGCAAAGAAGTTCTTTGACGCCTAGTCTCCGCCTACCCTCTCTGCGCTGAAGCCTTCTGCGTAGGGAGGGCGTGGGCAATGGAGGACCCCTAGTCTCCCCGCTGGTCCCAGGCAAGGAGTCATGGGACTGCCTTGCCACTTCCCCCACCTGCCCCCCTTCTCCACTGGTGCTACGCTGATTCTCTTCCCCAGAAGATGGGCTGCTTCTCCCGATCCCTGGACGCCCTCTGGAATCCCTCTGGCTTTCACGCTCTCCCTCCAGTACTGATGGCAGTTCCCTGACAATATGCTTATTATATATTGATTTATACCCCACCTTTCCCCCCGACAGGACAAAATATATTATCCTTTCTGGGGCAGCAGAAGCTAACTGCATTTTATTCCTGTTGTCATGAAAGTACTACAGTTTAAATGAGTTTAAAATGCAGAACGGCATGTGTTCATAGTATTTCTCCCCCCCTTTTTTTTTGTAAAATTATGATTGGCAAATGTGTTTGTTTTGTTTTGTTTTGCTATAACTAATCAGGAATATGGAAGCAGCTGTAAATAATGGAATAGCCGGGAGTGTGGGGGAGAGATGCTGATTCGGTGCTTCAGAACTGAAGTAATGAAAATTGCAATCTAAAAGGAGGACCCCTTAAGACCATTAAGTCCAGGGTCTAAACTCAATTAGCTGCGCTACTGCTCTTTATCATTCCACATACAGAAGCAGACTGGAGTGGCAGTTGACTCTTCCTTCAACAGTGGCAATGGGCTAGCATCCTGGACTTCACTTTATGCAGCAGGTTAGTTCAGCAGAGTGGGCCAATCTTCCAGTTGGGAAGATGGTGGTCAGGGGGCATAATAATAATAATAATAATAATACCTTTATTGTCATTGTACAACCTGTGTACAATGAAATTAAATTAAGAGGAATAGGCAGAGGAATATATTGGGAAAAATTGCACACAAAGATGTTTTTGCTCAGAAAACTTCACATTAAAATGATGTTGAATTTTCAGGACCCCACGAATGCAAATGGGTAGGGAAATGTTGAGAAACGAATTTAAGATGGAAAAAGGACAAGCCACAGCCCTCCAACATCTGCCACCTAAGGTGATCACCTGACTTTACCCAATGGTACGGCTGGTTTGCTCCCAAGGTCTCCTTCTCATTACAGAACTTTGGCAGAGCAGAACTGTATGTAAAGGTCCTCTTCCCAAAGGACAAGTTTGATTAGACCAAAGGCCTGGCCCTATCTCGTCCAGATTGTGTTCTCAAAATGATGAAGCCCTATGGGAAGCTCACAAAAAGTGCAACAACATTCTCCCACTTGCTGGCCCCAGGAGCTGGCATTCTGAGGTCTTCTGCCTCTGATACTGGAAGCAATATAACCATCAGGATTAGAAGCTATGGACAGCCTTCTCCTCCATTGATATCTCCACCTCCACCCCTGTAGGAACTAATTTGCTATGCTCTGTGTTCCCCTGCATCATTATGCTGAGTGTTTTTTATTGTCCTCGCCAGCAGCAGCCAATGCCTATTTCTGGAGCAGGGGCAGGAAATAACGCCAGGGCACGAGCTATAAAGAACAACATGTGCGGAGGAGGTGGGGAGGATCATGGGGCTGCTCTTGTGTCTTGTGCAGTCCAAGTAATGCCTAGCCCCTCGCCCCCTGCCCCAAAGGAGAACTGAAAAAATGTGACTCAAGCAGAAAGAGAAGTGAAAGCGTGCTGTCATGTTCAGAAGTTTCCTGGAAAAAAATGGAAAAATTGTTCAAGTCACTTCTTCCTTGCAGACATTGTTACTGTCTGGTCCGAATCCTACTAGATCATTCAGAAGAATTAATTCAGAAAAAAGAAGGAAATGCTATATGAACATCTCATCAGGGATTTCCAGATATGTGAAACCCCTCTGAACACATTATGTGTGTGTCTAAGTGAGGCCTCCATACATGGACATGAGTTTGTTGTGTATGGATGCTTTGCCCCTGTCCTTTCTGGACATTTATCCCATTGACTGCAACTTTGTCCTGTTGCCTATTGTGCCTAAATTATGTAACTTACATTAATTATGCAAGTTCTGGTGGCATTATGTAATTCCACCCAGTTCATTTAATGCAAAGGAAACACAATGCAAATGGATGTAATCAGTTATCTGTCCTTTGCAGATTGTACACAACAGCAGTAGGGAATACTGATCATATTGGCTGGATTGATTTCTGTTCTGGGCGTGGGATAAGTAAGGCAACCTCAGCAATTTCTGTTCCTGTTTCTGTTTTTCTTGTAATTCTCTTAACATCCCCTACTGAGTGAAATTTTAATTAAGCTGCTTATGTATGTTTTAGTTGTTCTTATTCATTTTTCAACTTCATTTTATTTTTATTTTTGTTTTAAAACTATTGTGTTAGTACTTTGTTATTTTTTTTAACCCTGGGCTCCTTTCGGAGTAAAGGTGGGACAAAACATAATACATAATAATCTCCAGAGCAATACAGCCCTTTACTCCCAGATAAATAAGGGGTGAGGTGCAAAGGCGAGGGAGAACTGGCTGGCAAAGGGAATGTGTGAGTCACGGTGAGGCAGTGGCCTCAGATGGCCGGCTGGGGAACAGTCAGGAGAGGTAGAAGATCTGGGTCCCAAGGAGTGTGCTGCTTGCCTCCTAAGCTTGTTGCCCTCCTCCCCCCTGGCTACTGCCTGCTGCTGCTCCTCCTCAGCTGCCTGCTCCTCTTCCTTTTCCTGAGCTGCAACCTGCTCCTCTTGGGCTGCCTTTTCTCTCCCTGGCCACCTTCAATAGTGGCAGGCAGTGGCTTCGGTGGCAGCGAGGAGGCAGCTTTGGCAGGGAGGGGGGCAGCACCAGCTTTGCCTCAAGCAGCAAAATGTCCCCAACCGACCTTGTGTATGAGTGAGTGTGAAATGGAGGAGGAACAAGCAGATAACCACGTGGTAAACAGGAAAGGGATGAGAATAGGATACTGACTGGCACTGGAATAAGGGAAAGGGGCACTACCTGTGGTGAATTAATGGAGGAGAGGTTACAGCTGAATAAGAGGGGATAGCAAGCATTACCAAGGATCCAGGAAATAGAGAAGAGAGGAAATAGGGTTGTAAAGGCTGGGGCAGCAAACCAGTGGTAGCCTAAGTGGCAGAAGGATAAATAAGGAAACCTGCCTGGCGTGCTCTGGTCCATGGGGTCACAAAGAGTCGGACACGACTAAACGACTAAACAACAAGAAGAAAGTACCTAGGGATGAGATGAACCCTAACCTTGAAAGGGGAAGAGCTCAGCAGGTAGCTCTGAACATAAGCGACTGACTGGGACTCTGAAGTAAGATAGGAATCTTCACACTTAGTTTTTCAAGTTAAGTAATCTTTAATTTGAAAATATTTCATATAGCATTTGTTTTCACTAAGTAATAATCATGTTTACACTGTGACATCATGAGTCTTGTCACAGGAAGTACCACTACATATTGCAGCTTGGAACAATTAATTTCCATCAATGGTCCTGGTGAGCTCAATGTGACTTACTCCCAGGGAAATGCATATAGAGTTACACATTTGTTAATCTCCCTCTTTTTCATCCTCACCCATTTCTGAATCTTTATTTGGAAGAATGACTACTTTGTCGTTATACATAGGGTTGTCAATGCTACCAGTGATTTCTTGTCGTCTGCCTCTTCTTTTGTAGAAAACATAGGCTGCTACACCCACACCAATGAGGAGGAGGAAGATAATCGGGAGAACCGCCTTCAGAACTCTGCCCTGTGTTGATGCCAGACTGTCTTCTTGCTCTACTAATGGGGAAAAAAAGGTACATCATACACACAGAGAGAGCAGTAACTACTTTATACTATAACCAATGGCTATCTCATTGTATGACTAAGAAAGACAGCTGGGTGGTGTTTAGGGATAAGGGAGAAATTAATGTCAAACCCACCAAATTCACACTTTCTAAAACAATATGAAAACTGAAAAACAGCCATCTTTTAAAAATTTCAGCTGCCTGAAATTTGTAATCCAGTTATCCTGTGAAGTAATATGTTCAAAAATGCATATACTGGAGTAAGGAGTACAGATATTAGTTAAAATAACATACAAAAATGCATTGTATTTAGGGAAATTGTTTTGTAAAAATGTTTATATTGGAGAAAATTGCACACAAACATGTTTTTGCTCAGAAAACCCCCCACATAAAATGATGTTGAATTTTCAGAACCCCGTGAATGCAAATGGGTGGGAGAATGATGAGAAATGAATTTAAGGTGGAAAAATGAGAAGCTGAAAGAAACCAAACCCAACAGTCATACATCCCTGGTGTTGTTTGCTTCACCTAAGCGTAGTCTGCTGTGAGCTTACAAACCAAGGAAATGGCCATCTGACGGGGGGAGGGGCAGGGAGGGAAAAAGATGCAAAAGCTGAACTGATGTGGAATCAGAACCTATGTATGAGAGCTGCTCTGATTCTCCTTGAAGTAGAAAAAGAAAGGCCCTTTTTAAAAAAGAGTTTTGGCAGGTTCTGAAGGAATCCAACCCAAAAGATATTGGATATTTCAGTGCAGCTGAACAATTCCCAAATGTCAAGGCAATTTGCACTACAACTTTAACAGGATACCATTGTTTTATGGAAATGCAGATGAGAGAGGAACTTACCCTCTCCCCCCGCCCCACTTTTCACATGCGACACTATTGAATTTTCAATTAAATCAAGATCTCTCTCCCATCCTCCACCTCTCCTGCTTCCTAGTATATGTTCTTCACCAGAAAAGAGTTGCCATCCTTTCTTCCCCAGTAGAGCCAGCAGAACCAGTTCATGCCCACATATCTGGTAGGAATTACCCTGAGAGAAGGTTCTGCTGTTGATTTTTGCCTGCCATCCTGCTACAAAAGACATGACTGCTACCGGGGTGGGGATGGGAGTGGCAGCCCTCCAAGCAAAATGACATAATAGTAGTGAAACAATTCAGAATCATTGTGATCAGCATGCCCACCATTCTGAGTAATGACCCGATCTGGATCAGAGAGGTTGTTGCGGCCTCAGTTGCACCATTTATGAGACTTCCATAATTTAGAATAAGGTTACCATTCTCATTACAAATGGGGAGCAAAGAGTGAGAGCTGAGCTGTAGTAGGGAAAATGACCTGATGTCTGCAAGGTCTTTGCAGTGTCCACCTGAATGCCAGCCTGCATTCCTTCCTCTGGCCCCATTAATCTGGATTTACTCTTTTTGATAGAAAATCTTATAAATTGTCTAAGGGAAAAACCCACCTGCTGTTGCCAATGGTAGATGCTTAACACTTTAACTTAGTTATTTTAATAAGAGTCTTACCAGGCATTTTTGAAGGAGTTGTCATCTCTTCAATAACTATAAAACAAAAGATATGCTTACTGTGTAAATTATAGATATCACAGCAAAATACAAAACCAAAAGTCAGGCATGATTCTTTACTAGTGCTTATTACCAATGCTGATGTTTCAATACAAAACTTGACTATTTAAAAATGTTAAACAAGCATTGAATCTGAAATGTTTAGTGCATTCACCAAATCCCTGTGATAGCAGCATCAAGTATAGTGACCTCAACTTTAAACCTGTCAGTGTGGAAACTATTAAATTATATTTCCTCTTGAAGAAAAGGACTGATTTATAAAAAACATTATGAATTATAAAAACTCCACAGTTCTAGGGACTGTAAATGATAAAGGGGGAGAACATTTATTATTAGGTATTTATCAAATGTTAATAATCTTATTATATTTAAAAGACAGGCTATCATATTATTAGCAGCAAAAAATAAATACGCTTCAGCTTTGGTTCTGTCATCACTTCTGCCATTTATTATTAGGGTGTCAACAATTGGAAGCATCAGTAAGGTCTGCCAGAAGCTGGACAGGCAGTAGGAAGTGACAAAGAGCGGTAAAGACAAAAAGCAGAGCCTCCATTTGATGAAAAGCGGCTTATGCGACATAAAGGATGGTAGACAGTATATCTATGGAGAGATTGCCACAAAGAATGCTGAGAACTTGCTAGTAAGGATAGCTGGGGGGGGGGGGATGTTGTTAAAATGCCAAGATAGGAAAAAGTCCTAAGCAGTAGCTCTACTCATCATTAAACTACTATATTGAATCAGAATTATTGGTAAATTAAGTCTAATAACCATTTAAGACTTACTTTTGTTTATTTTACATATATATGCCTTGTCATAGCGGCACCCTTCCCTGAACCACTTCCCATTTTGGATGTTCATGAAAACACATCTCTCAGCTTTAAAACGGTATGACTCAGGATCAGCTGTGGGCTTTTCATTGTCCCAATTGACAAAACCCAGTGCAGTGTTATCTTGCCATATCCATTCTCCTATTTATTAAAATAAATAAATTACATAATGAAATGGAAAACAGTAGAATAATAAGTGTAAGACAATATTAACAAAAACAATAATGTTAGTAGTAGTAGTAGTAGTAGTAGTAATAGCAGTTTGTACCCCTCCTATCTAACTGGGTTTCCCCAGTCACTCTGGGCGGCTTGTAACAAATTATAAAAACCCAGTGAGACGTCAAACATTAAAAACCGTCCCTATACAGGGCTGCCTTCAGATATGAAAATATGTTTTAAAACTAAACTGACTGCTTTTCCTCTCAAACGTTTGCAGTTTTGAAAATGTGCAAGCTACCACCATTATCATATCAGAACACTGAATGCACTAATGATCTCAGTGATTTTTGGCAGCATTAACCCACCCCCAATACAACGCCGTAGCTATCAGCTTGGGTGCCTGGTGCGGTGCACGCGTCCTGCAGCCGGGGGTGGGGTGAGCTGCCATGGGGGCGGGGCAAGCCAAGGCAGGGCAGCTGCGTGGAGCCTCTCCGCAGCCTCCCCCTCAGCTTTAGGGTGGCAGAGGCAGTGGGGAGACGCAAGCCCTGCACTGCTCAAAAAAGCAATGTGGAGCTTGCAGGCAATCCACCTGCCACCTCCCCCTCAGGAGATACACATGGCTCAGGCACGTTGCAGGCCCTGTGGTGTGCCGCCCAGTGCCCCCACCTCACCTAGCTACCAGTGGCATAGGAAGGGGTGTGTAGTGGGTGCGGAAGTTGTTCTTTTTTTTCAAGTCTTGTGAGCCCAATTCTTTAAAATTTATTTTAAAAACACATATTTTTGCCATTTTGTCACCCCTCCTCAGTGATGACACCCAGGGCGGACCGTACCTGCCGTACCCTCCTTCCTACGCCACTGCCCCGATGCCCCCAGAGACTTACCATCATTGTGCTCCCCAACATTTGCCTTTTGCTGCTGTCACCCTCCTCTGGAGGAGAGCTTTTGGAACCAGCTATATGCCATTTAACCTTCTGCTCTGAACTGTATTTAAGCCTCATTGGAGTGAAGCAAGACCAGCAAAAGAACCTTTATTGTTGTTTTGCTTTGTGTGTTGGTACTTAAGCCTTTTGTAATATTGAATTTATTCTATGTTTGCCAAATTGTTCCTTTTTTGTTTTTTTGAATTTACTGACATGTTCTGCATTTTGTATATTCAAATTTCCAATGCTCTGCATTTCAATATTTTGAATGTTTGCTGTAAGCTGCTTTGGACACAGCTCATTGTGGGAAAGTGCCATATAAGTGGTCCCCATACTACCAAGTTCAAGATTCTTATGTTGATACACAAAACCCTGAACAACTTGGGTCCAGGATACCTTAAGGTCTGAGGCCTCATATCTCAGTTCAAAGGACTTCAGCAGAGATATGGGACAATAATTCCTGTTTGATTTAGTTCAGCATGTCTTCTGAGAGATAACAGAGTCTAAATCAAGTCTTAGAAGGAGCACTTAAAGGAGCTGGGTGAAGGAATGATCGCTGGGTGTGGAGCACACTTCCATCCTCAGACAAACCGCAGCTGTCTAAACATCATGCCCTCTATCTAACCTTTTACTTTCTTAGTAGTCTGCCGTGCCCTGTCTGTGACCTTTGTCTCCTTCGTCATACATTGTTCAAGGGGAAAGTGACGTGGTGGAAACAGGTGCCAAAATAACTTTGTACTACCCCTCAATCTTGGGATTGGAAGATGTGTAAAGGTCAGAGTCCAAAATGTATCTGACTGGTTTTGCATATTGTGCTAATAAAAAGAGCCTCAGCAGAGCTAGCTGGCAGCTTGCTTATGCACAGCTCACCTGCATTACCAACTCCTGCCTCATGTCCTTCACTTCAGCTGGGTATGTTTATATTCCCAATATGCCCAGAGGGACATCTGGGGCAGATAGCAGAGCAATAATCAAACTAAAAGGGATGTGATTAGGGACAGGGCTTAAAGATTTGAAAGGAGGTTTGCTTCCTTTATTACCATTTACTATCTAGTTGAAATTCTTGTTGATTGCTATCATTTAGATGCTCAAAGAACTTGACCAAGCAGACCTTTTTTGGCATCTTTTTTGGGTAAATTGATTTTTTGCCACATTTTATGTAGTTGCCCCCTTTCACATATAACCCTTTTATTATTCCCAGTGGAGTTTGGTTGGATGCAGGTATTTGAATTTCCAGACAGCTCTCTTCCATGGCTTGTGATAGGAGATGAGTAAAGAACGGGGGGGGGGGGGAGCAAATCATTTCACTTTTCAGGGGGCAATAAGATAGTGCACATGCCATGAAAGAACTCACAGAAAATTGGTGAATTTCCTGAATGCATGCCAAGCAGACTCATAAATACAAGGTGATGTGAATTTGCTAGTACCATTTGCTTGCGCTAACAGTTATTCCTGCTGAGCTCTTTTACTTCCAAAAACCAAAACGAAAATGAAATGCCATAAGTTTGAACATATTTTTGCATTAATAATATATTATACATTAAATATTGAATGTTAAACAGATACCATCGTGATTTCTGAACATTCCAATCCAATACTCATCATGAGATAATTGTTGAGTGTGATCCATCAAAAAATGCAGTTCAGCTAAATCTACTATCGAAGTCAAGGTGGCACCTAAGATACAGAAGAGGAGTAAAGTTAGCTCATTAAAAAGTTGTCTTCCCCTTGAAAAATATGAGTCTGCCTAACAGAGTATGACCAATGATTCACTGTGCAGTACTGGCAACAATATAAGGTTCTAGATACCTTAGAGAAAGTGTATATCTTTTTCTTTCAAATGATTGTAATTGCTATCCTATTGCATAATGTTGTAGTAGAAAAGAATCATTGTAACCTAGCTCCTTTCCCCAATAATAATAGTTAAGAAAAACTTTTAAGGACACTGTATTTCACTGTGTAATGGTCACATTTTTGGTGCCGCTTTTTTCCATTCCAAAAGGGTATGTGTGCAACTATTACACAGGGAAATACAAAAGTGTGACCATTATGCGAAGGAAAAAATGGGGACAACAGCAGGTGGATCTGAGGAGCTGGGCCGATGGCATGGGGAGGGCAAGCACGAGCTGGAGACAAAATAACTGTTGTTATTGGGACCATGGGGAGAGAAAACACTTACGGAGAAAGACACTAGCATACCTTTCTGTAAAAAGCGAAGCCCCTCCTTGTGCATATAATAAATAATAGTAGTAATAATAATACCCTGCCCATCTGGCAGGGCCTCCCCAGCCACTCTGGGCATATGTTCCATTGCCCAGCCTACTGATGTGCAGCAGCATCGCTCATCTATCAGAATCTCTATGGTGAACAATAGTCACCGCTCTATACTTTGAATTGCAAGAGCGGAACAGCCATTCAAATTTAGACAGGAAGTTCCAGTAAGGAACGCCATGGGAACAGCAAATGAGTGGTGACAGCAGTGCCTGTGGCCAGGCCTGCCAGTGCCCGCCATATCTCCCCTCAGCCCACATGTCCCAGCCATCCCCAGCATCGGTTCCCACTGAAACAGTGATAAAAAAGCAGCAGGAGGAAAGTGGGAAGAAACATTCCCACTCCCTCCACTCCTGCTAGGAGCTCATGGCCAAGCTGGCAAGGTATGAGGGGAATAGGGGTGGCGGCAGCTGGAGGAGAAAAGGAAGAGGCCTGAGGCCTAGAGGAGCCTCAGAAGTAGTTAAAGGTAAAGGGTAAAGGGACCCCTGACCATTAGGTCCAGGAGCAAGGACCGAGCAACAGGAGCTCACCCCGTCATGGGGATTCGAACCGCCAACCTTCCGATTGGCAAGTCCTAGGCTCTGTGGTTTAACCCACAGCGCCACCCGTGTCCCTCAGAAGTAGTTACCCAGCAATTATTATGCAAGGAATACTCTGGGACCATTTTCGGGGTCCAAAAAAGGGGATGAGACTATTATGCGGTGGTGACCATTATGTGGTGAAATGCAGTAATACTATCAAACATTTCTCTCATCTTATCTCACTATACATGATAAAGCTATTTTAGCCATCTCGCCCTTTGCTTTTTCCTCTAAGACTAATTGCAGTTGTTAACAGTCTTCAACAGGTTTACCACACCTATCAGCCAACCACCCATTCCCACCACCCTTCTGAGTCATACCCCTCCCCTCCCTCTCACTATATATAAGGGTCTGGTGACTTCTGTTTCAGTGTATCTGAAGAAGTGCATGCACACAAAACCTCATACCAATAACAAACTTAGTTGGTCTCTAAGGTGCTACTGGAAGGATTTTTTATTATTATTTAAAATAAATGTCATTTTTACAAGTTAGATGGTTCACAAATCCTGAACTCCAATACTTAAAACATATTTCACTCTGTATTTCTAACTGCACATAAAAGGAAAATAGCCACAAAGTTCTTTAGTGTCAGCCCATTAACAGTATATGTTTGGTAATTTATTACATTTTCATCATACATTACCTCCAATGAGAGTTTACGATGAGATGCTGGGCTCATCATGTTTCCCAATTTATCCTTGCAACTGAGATATACTAAGCTGAAAGGCCTATGGTAATCTAGTGAGCTTTCTGGGTGATCAGGAATTTGAGCTTCTGCCTCTCTTGTCAAAGTCCAGGGCTAAAATCCCATATCTACATAGGCATCTATAAGTGCCATTAAACTCAATGGGACTTACTTCTGGAGAGAAGTATAGGAGAGAACTGCAGTGCAGGTAATCACCATACCACACTGGCTTTCCGTACTAACTAGAATGGAAAATTCATGTTGTGATCTAATTCAAAATGATACCCACCTAACTGAGCACAGTTGAAGAAAGCTGTTGGCCATTCATACCAACCAGAGTAGAATTGATAGCAATGAGCCCGAAAAGGTACCCAAGCTTTCCCATCTTCTTTTGATGCAGGGCATCTTCCTGGGAGCTGTGGCTCCTCAGTTGGGATTGTACCTATTATGGAGAACATATTTTTCTTTCAAAAAAAAGAACAGGCATCTTAGAAATCTATAAACACTAGTGATGTGCATAAGGTTCAGAGAAATCATGAATCATGAAGCAAAGCATGATATCTCAGAGAGATCAAGGTATTTAGTGTAAAACCCCCTGGACCAATTGGTTTATAATTTGGCAGACTTTATCCATGCTCTTACTATGCTGGCAAATGTCAGCCACTACTGTCATTTTAAAAATTCAGAACAGTGAACAGAAGTGAAGGTAGGGGGAAAAGAACTCCATCCCTCAAGCTGAATTGGACAGTCAGGGAATTGGCCTGAGCAGAACCAGGTGATTTTACAAAGCAACACCTAGAATCTGAAATACACACCCACATGGTGTGTGTGGGTGTGGGTGTGGAGAAATAATGAGACATTTAGCCTCAATCTGGATGAAGATGGTTACTGTGGTCAGAACTGTATCTTCTGAAAGTGGAATAAATTTGTTTAACAAGGCTCAGTTCACCATTTGATCAGTCTGCATGGTTTAGTAGAACACAATTTTGTTGTATCCTTAGTGGCAAGCCATATCCTTAAGCATGTGGTTAGACAATCTGCTTCAGTATCAATCTCATTCAATGGGATTGAATAAGCATCAATGGAAATTATTTATAAGATTGTTGTTGTTATATTTTTCTACCCTTCCTCTCACAAGAGGGTAGGGCAGCTAATTACAAAGGTACAGCAGTAAAAAAACTCAAGGAAAAAGACCATTTGGTAAGGGGGATTTCAAAGCAGGAAAAAGATCCCCTACTTCGTTACCCCTCCTTCCTTTGGAAGCTAGTTGCAGTACCTGAGGCTTAATTGCTTATTGTAGCCTCCGTTCTATTTTTGTTTGTTTATTAGTCTAACCTGATGGATTAAATAGTAACTTTTTACTCATTTATTCCTTACAAAATAGTCAAAAGTGCCAAGAGCACATATCTCAGTATTGTGCTCAAATTGAGACTTTATTGGAGTTAGAATAATGAAAACAGATTCTTCCTTTGCTTACCAGTATACTGCTCACAGGCAGAAAAGTAGGTTTCATTGCAAGCTCCTGTTTTCCAACGACCCTCAAGGTCCATGAAGACACAGGCTGTTTTCTGTGTTGGTTCTTCAGGTGCCCAATTAGTATATGCCAATCTCCGGTTGTTTATCCACGTGTAGTGCCCACCAGTCTAAAATCCAAATGGACATGGAACAACACATGCTGGTGTAGAAAAATCTTTGTTTCCCACAACATGAATTCTGCATCATTTATTTTCCCCTTTCATTTCACCTGCACATACACTCAATAGAATCAGAGAATTGCATAGAGTTGGAAGAGGCCCAAAGGCTCAGCTAGCCCAACCCCTGCAATGCAGAAATCACAGCTGATTTCTCCTACCCTCCAGAGCAAGAAAACAAGCTTGCCCCACCCTTTCCATGTGACAGCCCTTTGGATATCTGAAGCTGGCTATCATATCACCTCTCAGTCTTCTCTCCTCCAGGCTAAACATACCCAACTCTCTAAATTGTTCCTCATAAGATATGGTTCCAGGCCCTTGATCCTCTTGGTCACCCTCCTCTGTACATGTTCCACCTTGTCAATATCCTTCTTAAACTGTGGTGTTGTTCCATCACTGGTATCCCACCTGGATTGATTTCCACAGCACACAAGAGCCTCAAACTTGGCTTGCTTGGCCAAGTTCTTACCATATTGCTACTTAGACCAATCCACACAGGCTCTTCATATTTCAACACCCACAGCCATAGGAATGATTGAATGTAGGGATTCCAAATGCTGGCAAGCTCTGAGTGGTCTGAATTACATTTTTCCCTGGCCTCTTCCCAAGTCATTTTGGGAGCAATGAAAGAGTAGCTGCTATTCCCAAAAGGGATATGGCGAAAGGCTGGAGCCATTGTTTCGGGCTGTGATAATGCAGGATCTATAGGAAAGCAATCAAGAGAAAAGACAAAGTCCAGATTAAACTTTATATGTTACAAATATTTTATTTCACTGGATACTGAAATTTTGTAATATTGTTATCACATACATTTTAATATCTCAAAGTTACTAAAAATTGGCAATGAAACATTTAAAAACCTTGAAAATCAACATTTTAAATGTCAACAAAAACATTCTAGTTCTAGTTCAAGATGATACAGATAAGGCATCAAAATATATTTCCTTTATAGTCTCAATAGAAGCAAACCAAATTCCCAACATGTAGTCAACAGGCCCTTTTGAAACACATTCATTTCTTCACAGAGACTTCAAGAAACTATTCTTCAGTTAGCTTCCTATAATAAACCTCTGTTCAGTCATTCACAGTGGGTTCAAGAAATACACTTAGAAGGACAGCTGTACACATGGAGTTCTGTTCTTCTGGTCAAATGAACTTGCACAGATTATGGGAGAATCCTGTCATGTTGAATATGGTTAGATATTATGACACAGAAATAGAACTCAACTTATGCCTCTTTCAGTCCTATTTCAGGGGTGAAAAGCCAAGCAGGTGCACATCTGAGGCTCTCTCTCATAAGAGTTCATTTCTATGCACCTATAAGATATAGTTGTCACAACTGCAGTTTTTTCTTTATACGGCACAGTGTTGAATCTCTAATACAAAGACAGGTGGCCATCTAATTTTTATTTATGAACAAAATGATATGACATAGAAAACTGCCTTTGGTCTCCATAAGGCAATCTGATTTACATATTATTTTAATAATAATAATAATAAATTTTTATTTATATCCCGCCCTCCCCAGCCGAAGCCGGGCTCAGGGTGGCTAACAACAATAAAATAGTGCAACATTCTAAAAACATTTCATTATAAAAATTAATTAAAATCAAATTGATGGCAACCATTAAGCTAAAGTTCTGTGAAGATTGCCAAAGGAGGGAGTCAGGCTGCACTCTGACTAAAGGCCTGGTGGAACAGCTCTGTCTTGCAGGCCCTGCAGAAAGATGTCAAGTCCCGCAGGGCCCTAGTCTCTTGTGACAGAGCGTTTGACCAGATTGGAGCCGCAGCTGAAAGAGCCCTGGCTCTAGTTGAGGCCAGCCTAACCTCTCTGTGGCCTGGGACATTCAGGATGTTTTTATTTGAAGACCGTAAGTTCCTCTTTGGGACATACCAGGAGAGGCGGTCCCGTAGGTACGAGGGTCCTAGGCCGTATAGGGCTTTAAAGGTTAAAACCAGAACCTTAAACCTGATCCTGTACTCCACCAGGAGCCAGTGCAGCTGGTATAGCACTGGGTGAATTTTCTGTTACTTTTCTCCTAAAAACATACCAGTGTTTCTTTGGCAGATTTTCCACTTACCTTAAGTCCCCTGGGAGTGATGGTTTGTGGCCTGGGGCGACCACAGCTGAGCTGGGCACCTTCTTCCTGTCCCGCACATCCGTTGGGGGACAAAATCCTTCTCCTGTGGTCATGCGAGTTGGTGGGAGCCTGTCTGTTTAATGGGACTATGACAGGCAGGCTAGTGGGTATGGCCATGTCATTCATAAAGGGGCACCACGATTGTGGTTCCTGGCTTGTTTGCCACTAGATCCCGCACCCTTATTCCCTATGTATCAGCCTCCGGTCCTGCCTGGAGGTAAGTGGGCAGGCCATGCTCAAGATCCAGCTATGGAGATTCTCCATCATTCTATTTGGTGCTACGTAGGAATTTTTATTGCTGCTGAACTGGGCCTGTCTAGAGGTTTCTGCCTACCTCGTGGCAGTGGTCACCAACTGTCACAACTTTATGGTGGGTAAAGCATTGGATTGGATCCTTAGCCTGGAGGGGGTAGTGTTGGGGATCCCACACCTTCCTGCTAAAAAGATTTGGTACCCCAATAAAGGAGGGGATAGTGGCCAGATGGGGGCTGATGGGCCATGAGACCTGTCCCGAGCGGTGGGGCTGATGGATCACTCTGTTTGATGTACTGTACATCATAGGGCAGGCACCCCCAAACTCGGCCCTCCAGATGTTTTGGGACTACAACTCCCATCATCCCTAGCTAACAGGACCAGTGGTCAGGGATAATGGGAATTATAGTCCCAAAACATCTGGAGGGCCGAGTTTGGGGGTGCCTGTCATAGGGTGAACCTTAATCCAAGTTCGACCAAGCCAAAAAGAAAAAAAATCAGCAGTCTGACTGGTTGATTCAGGATACATACCCAATGCCTATGCCAAAAATTGCTTACACCTGTAATCAATAATCAACTTGCAAACATCCGTAATCAATAAACTTAAAATGTACCAGTATTTCTTTGGCAGATGTAGCTTTTCTTGTCAGAACATGGTCCATTTCGCCACCTTCCTGCCATCGGTAGAGGCTCATGCATAATAAAAGCACAGTCTCCCTAAGGAATAAAAACACTTACATTGTGTAGGGGACAATCCTTTTATCATAGATTTTTCTTAAGAGCCCTCCTTTTGTACTTCTCAAACTAGATGAAAACAGTATCCTATCTTTTTAGAAATGATGGGTAGTTATGGGTAGTAAGGATGGGTAGTAAGTTTGCAGATGGATAGTTCTCATCACTGATAGCTCTCATGAGTCATCACTTCTCATCACTGTCTTGCCCAACCCAGCCAAGAAACAACCTCCACCACTGAATTAAATATCTAAAGAGGGGCTGGCCCCATTGTATCCTGGGATCAAAGGGAGTTAGTGGAGTCCAACAAACACCCTGAGATTGCTGCAACTAAGGGTGCCTGTGAATTCACGATACCTGATGAAAGCTAACAGATCATACAACTCAACACAATCCAGACTACACAATTGCTTGTGTGATTCCAGGATCAGATGGTGCCAAGTCCACATCAAACCCTAGGCTAAAGGTGCACTGCATGTCTGGCAACACAAGGCCTCCCATCTCTGCACCCTACTCAGGGGTAGGCATCTTTTAATGATGCATGCTCTGGATGAGGGCCCTGTTGAAGTTTACAGGAAGTAGGGTAGTCAGCAGGGCCAGCTATAAAACTGCTCACATGATGCCTGACTCTTCCTGATACAATACTGTTTCCAACAAGCAGCTTGGCTTGAAACACTCTTCCTGCCGGACAATTCATCCACCTCACCTTTAAGTTCAAGTCTTGGCAGAAATAGTACATTGCCACTGAGTACCCAGTGTGATAAATTTCCGCACAAGCTCCCCCACAAGAGGGAGTCCATGTATCAGAGTGAGGATTCAGGACACTTCCTGAAAACTAGTCTTGGGAAAAAATAAAATGGCAGCCAGGCATAAATGTAGAGTTTAAATGTAGCGGGGGGGGGGGGGAGCTGGTTAATCACCTGATGCCACAATGGCATCAGGGGTCAAGGTACTTGAAAGTCAGCTGATTGCCAGGATTTCAACATGTAGTGCTTCAGAAGTCCATCCTCCTTTCTTCCTGCTCTAATGATACCAGGTGATTGGCATGTGGGCATAGCCTTGGCAGAAGATTGACCACAGCTTTTTAAGGAAAGGGTTGTCAGGTGTGAGCATCAAAGGGGAGCAGTAACTCTACCTAGACAGTGGGTGGTATTCTAATAACTCATCCCACCAGCACACTGACAGGACAATATTTTAAATGCTACAATAGAAGCCATCTCAGATTCTTGCAACTTTCTCAGCATGTTTCTGAATCCTTGTAAGACCTAATATAAGTGATTGCTATTTGAGAATGATGTGGCAGCACCTACCAGTCTGAAGATCAAGGAAAGTGTGTATGGAAATGGGTGAGATGCCCTTCAGAATGTCTGAATTCCCCAACTCAGTAGGAAATGTACAATTGAAACGAATGGCAATGCTTCAGTGGGTTTTGGGGAGGAAGGTGTTAACTCTAACTAGGAAACTAAGCATTGACAGATTATCTTCAAATCTTTCATCCACTGGCAGAATGCAAACAGAATAAAAATGTCCAGAGAGAGTTGAGGGGAAGTTTCCAACCCTCCAGACCGAATTTAATTGACACAATTAAAGCAACAGGCCTTATTTGGCATATAAGTTACTTCACACCAACTTCTATAGAGGCTCTTCAGAATCTGTTTACAACTCTACTGCCTACTTTTGATAAAAATGAAAAGGTACCCCTGACCAATAGGTCCAGTTGCGGACGACTCTGGGGTTGTGGCGCTCATCTTGCTTTACTGGCCGAGGGAGCCGAGGGAGTCATGTGCCCAGCATGACTTAGTCGCTTCTGGCGATCCAGAGCAGGGTACGGAAACGCCGTTTACCTTCCCGCCGAGGCAGTACCTATTTATCTACTTGCACTTCGACGTGCTTTTGAACTGCTAGGTTGGCAGGAGCAGGGACCAAGCAACGGGAGCTCACCCCGTCGCGGGGATTTGAACCAACAACCTTCTGATCGGCAAGCCCAAGTGGCTCAGTGGTTTAGACCACAGTGCCACCCGCATCCCTGCCTATTTTTGATACTTCAGCACTAAAAGATAAACTATGTAGATGCCCCTCAAAGTAGGTGGGGGGCAGAAGAGAGATATATATAAATGGGGTGCTAATGCTGAGAAGGCGTTCCAGGAATACAATATAGGATACATTTCTCATCTTGGGGGAGGGGGAGAGATGAAAGCCTTTGCAGGCAGGACTTACATTGTAATTGGGAAAATTTCGGGCCCAGTTTGTAAAGTAGACTCCACTTCCACTTGTCCATATATATCTGTGACTAGAACTATAATCATTCAGTCCAATCCAAGGGTCAGTTGCAGCACTATGTAATTGCACCATAAGGAATGCTAAAAAACAAAAAAACAAAAAAATGACTAAAACATAAAAATTTCACCATGGTGGATTTCACCACCATGACCAATAAGTAATCAATACCATGAACTGATATATTTTGTATACAAAAAACCTATAAAGTTTGATTAATTCAGGAGTTTCCACCACAGTGCCCCTCAGGTATTATTGACTGCATCTGCCACCATTCCTGTCCATTTGCTATGTTTGCTGGAGCTAACAGGAGTTTTAGTCCATCAGATTCCAGACACCCTGCCTTAAGGTAACAAAAAGGAGCAACTAATCCAGCACAAGCCCTTCTGCACCTGGAAAATGCAACAATAGGCCAAAATTACTACAAAAAGCTTTCAGCTTAGGAAGGGTCTAGAGCTGAATTGGAAGATCATAGAAGAAGGACAGATCCTGAAGCTGAGGCTCCAATACTTTGGCCACTTCATGAGAAGAGAAGACTCCCTGGAAAAGACCCTGATGTTGGGAAAGATGGAGGGCAGAAGGAGAAGGGGACGACAGAGGACTAGATGGTTGGACAGTGTTCTTGAAGCTACCAGCATGAGTTTGACCAAACTGCGGGAGGCAGTGGAAGACAGAAGTGCCTGGCGTGCTCTGGTCCATGGGGTCACGAAGAGTCGGACACGACTAAACGACTAAACAACAACAGAAGAAGCAAGGCCAGGATTTTACCAGAGGTTTATGGATGTTTATTGTTTGTTTGCAGATAGTTGCCTTGTTGATATTATCTTGTGTCTATTGCAGTGGTCATTGCATTATCACCCTATTCATTGTTTTATTGTTGCACTTTCCTGGTTAGCAGCTCCTCCATGTGTCCTGCAGTTTCTCAAGTTACCAGAGTGGCAAGGAGCCACCTGTAACAGTTTGTCTGGCATGAAAGTAACTTGAACCCAGGCTCCTGAACTTGCAAAACATTAAGCCTATAAGAACAACATGTTTTGAAGGCAATGACTGCACCTTGTGTTTCTTTGTTTGGTATGCTAGCCAGATTTCCTCCGGATTCTTTGCAATCAAGTCGTGCTTCGTGCCAGTTTTTCCTCTCTTCTTCATTCAAACCTAATAGTTTGAAGCACTGTGAAGAAAAATAAAGAGCTGTGATATCCACTTTCTTTTAGAAATAAATGTCAGAAAACTAATGATTGAAAACTGCATTTTATTGCTTTTAATTTGATGCTTTGGATGATGTCATTGCCTTTTAAATGTTTTGGTATTGTTTTTTCTACAGCCAGCTCTGCTATGCAACAAGATGAGATTGCCTGTGTCAGATGAAAGAACGCCTACACTTTTCAAATTGTAGGAGCAGTATAGGAGGGAAGCATTTGAGCTTCTCTTTGAGAAGAATATAACCTGTTTCCCCCCTAAGAGTGTCATTTAATAAAAATTAACATAACCAAATTCTGAAAATTTAGTCTGAATACCATTTAACTGCTCTTTTGGGTAGCTGATGCATAACCAAACTTTAAAAATACCACCTCTTATTTTAAAATCTGGCACTTCTATTTTGCAGCACAGCAGTCCTTTTCAGTCCTTATAGACATGGGGCGGCAGAAGCGGGATGGCGGGGAGAGATGTGTAATCATGATAGGAGGTTTAACCCCTGAGCTACGTGCACATTCATTTTAACCTCTATAAAGAGCCTTTGCATAGAACTGTGGAAATGGAGAGCAATCACTGCATATTCAAAAGCCCTGGGAAAACATTCACTGTATGTGCTATAATAACTGAAAAGGGGTAATATACCAGTATATTGGAAATCACTTAGTTACCTTTTTATCAAAGAAAAGCCAGCCATCTGCACAGCCTCCAACAGGTGCAGGCGTTGTGGGAGCAGCAGCTGAACGGACAGAACTCTTATCCCTTTCGCAGATGAATGCGTTCTCAGAGCCACAGTTTATGTCATTCCATAAGCCTGAATAGAGAAGTTTTGTGTTGATCAGTAAGATTAAATCACTCCCAAATGAAAAATAATCAACAGCCGTTCAAGGATGCATTACAAATAAGGGCTTGACAGCAAGTACTACTACTATTGTACTGGAAATAGAGCTTGCAGGTCAACACACTGCCCTTGATTGTTGTGGTATATATACCAATTATGCCAGTACACAATCTGAAGGCACATGGTACAATAACTTTTCTGAACTTAAGCTGGTCTCAGTCTGATCAATGTGCTTCAAATGGAGGCTGTGCATGAACTGTATGTTGCATAAGTTCCATGTTGGAAGACAGTGGGGCTTATGGAGAAATGTAACAATAAAATAAAATACTGTAAGCAGTTTTTCACAATTTGAACTACTTACAGTTCCAATGTTATTAAAAATAAGCAATCTTTAATGTACCGTATTTTTCGCCCTATAGGATGCACTTTTCCCCCTCCAAAAATGAAGGGGAAATGTGTGTGCGTCCTATGGGGCGAATGCAGGCTTTCGCTGAAGCCTGGAGAGTGAGAGGCGTCGGTGCGCACCGACCCCTCTCGCTCTCCATGCTTCAGGAAGCTATCCGCAAGCCTTGCGCGCCCTGCGGGAGGTCCCACGGGCTCGCAAGGCTTGCGGGCAGCAGCCTGGAGCCCGAAGCACAGGGCGCCCTCCGAAGGGTGCCCCGTGCTTCGAGCAGGTGTCCGCAAGCCTTGTGCGCCCGGGGGGAGTTCCCGCGGGCTCGCAAGGCTTGCGGGCAGCAGCCTGGAGCCCGAAGCACAGGGCGCCCTCCAGAGGGCGCCCCGTGCTTTGTACAGGTGTCCGCAAGCCTTGCGAGCCCGGCGGGAGTTGCCGCCGGGCCCGCAAGGCTTGCGGATAGCAGCCTGTTCTGGGGGCTGGGGTCGGGGGAAGCTCCGGCTTCCCCCGCCCCAGCCCTGCGGCTGGGGGGGGGGGTAATAATTTTTTTTTATTCATTTCTCCCCCAAAAAACGAGGTGTGCCCTATGGGCCAGTGCGAAAAATACGGTATATGCCTGTATAGCATCTCCCCAAATCTCTTTTGTTGTATACACTTGCTTATGTGATACAAATATAACGCCCATCCACATGGTAGTTTAGTGTGGATTTGCAGCTGCCTTGATTTTTTGGACGTCACCCACTTGGCGTCTTCCCCATTCAACTGGCAGCCTGTTTCTCCATACTCCACATTGGATCACATGCGTGTAGCCAGAGGGTGCGGGGTGAGTGGGGCAGCACACAACATTGTGCAACTATCTGGGTGTTACATTATTTGTTTTATGTTTGTTTTTGGAACAAGTTCTGTTAGTAAAGATTTTGAATCATATTTTTGGATTGGACTCTTTTTTTTATTTCAAGAAGAGCCAGTTTATATTCACCCTCTTGCTTCAAAATGAGCAATATTAATAACTGCAATATGTTGTGTTCAAAGCAAGGTAATGGCCTTCAGTGTATATTCAGACCGAATAGTTATCATGACTAAAGGTTCAGTGTGTAGTAGTTAACTATATATAAATTAATTTTTGTGCCACTATCAGGCACACACATTCTCAGATTATTTTAAAAGAATGATAATATTTTGTTCTACTTGCCTGTTTGATAATACATGACGACACAATTTTCCTCCTCGTTTGAAAAGTTGGGTTCATTGGGTGCCCAGGCTTCATAGGTAACTGGAGTTCCATTCAACCAGCTAGAGGAAATGATATGACAGTATTGGACAGAACAAAGTCATAGCTTTTTCATTTATACTGCATATTTTTACAACGGTTTTCAGGTTTTTTTGGAGCTCCGTGGCCAAAGAACACCAAGCTAATAAAACAGTTTAGCTGTTGACCTTAGTGTTCTATCAGACAGCACTGTCAGATTTTCTTTTTGAGGACACAACATTAAATATATCCAGCAGTATTGCTGAAATAATGGAGCCAAAATGGCTCTGAAAACAATCATTATCTTTAAAGATTGAGATGCTATTAAAGCAGAGCAAATTGCCCATTACTTTCCTTAATATCATTTTTTTATCACCACAAGGTTATTTGGATTTTATGCCTGAGGCAAGAAAACTTTTTCTTTAAGATAATGCATAAAATAATATTAATAGATAACATTATCTCAATTATGAAGCTTAACAAAATTTGTGATTAAGCTATCCACTTCTTCTCAGTGATTATGAACCATAAACTGTCCATAGAAGAAAAGGCAGTAGGGTTCACTGATTCAAATCAGGGCAATTTAAATCTGCATTTTTAAAAAAACCCACGCATTAAATCAAGTGCCTGATTGATATGTCATCAGGGGTGTCAACTTGAATAAGACACTGGGGGAGGCAGGTAAGCCCTGCCTCATATAATACATTACGATGTATTATATGAGGATGGGCAGCAGAGAGGGAGAAGTGAAGGTGGCTTGTGGCGGTGGTGGTGTGGTGGGGAGAAGTAAGGTTGGTCATGCCTTCTTTTTGCTCCTTAGTTGGCTGGAATGGAGAAAAGGATGGATGTTCCAGGTGTGGGAGAAAGTGACAACTATCAGCCAGGATTTGTTCTCAGTCTCTTCCAGCGGCATCATAAAGGGCTGCCATTGGGAGAGGGAGACTGTCTTTGCTTCAATATTCAGGGTGTGGCTGGGAGCAGAGCAAAATACGAGCAAGAACTAAGGACACATCACATCCAAGCTATATACAACATCTAGGATTCAGGCAGATAGGGCAGTGCCCTCTTCCTCAACGGATAAAGAAGGCATTTATTTATTTTACATGTATACAGCACACCACCTTTTCCTCTGTGGAGCTCAAGATGGCGTACATAGTTCTCCCTTCTCTGTTTTATCATGACAACAACCTAGTGAGATGCATTGGGCTGAGAAATAGTGACTGGCCCACTGAGCTTCTTGGCTGAGATTCAGCTCTGGCCTCCAAGCCCATAGTCCAGTCATAGGCAAACTCCGGCCCTCCAGATGTTTGGGACTACAATTTCCATCATCCCTGACCACTGGTCCTGTTAGCTAGGGATGATGGGAATTGTAGTCCCAAACATCTGGAGGGCTGGAGTTTGCCTATGCCTCCCATAGTCCAACACTCCAACCATTGCACCATACCAGTTACAAGGAGAAAGGAATGCTGTGTCCTCAGAAGGCTTGGAGGAAATAGATGACCCTGGGGGTTCCTTTCCAACTCTAAAATTCTACAATTCCATTATTCTAGAGCTCAGTAAGTTTGTCATTGGGAAGGTGGTGCCTGCAGTCTTAATAAAGTTGGGGGAGACAAAGGAGTTGTGGCAGCATAGTAAATTTTAAGAATGTATTTTTACATTGTTGTAACCTACCTGGTGGAGGTATGCAATAAGTAAGTAAGTAAGTAAATCATAGAAGGTATATTTTGAGATCTGTTAGACCCAGTGTTGAGTCAGAGCAGAGAGGGGGGAAGGGTTAAAAAAGGTAAAGGACCCCTGGATGGTTAAGTCCAGTCAAAGGTGACTATGGGTGTGGCACTCATCTTGCTTTTCAGGCGAAGGGAGCTGATGTTTGTCCACAGACAGCTTTCTGGGTCATGTGGCCAGCATGACTAAACCACTTCTGGTGTAATGGAACACAGTGATGAGTGGAAGAGTGCACAGAAACACTGTTTACCTTCTCACCACAGTGGTACCTATTTATCTACTTGCACTGGCATGCTTTCGAACAGCTAGGTTGGCCGAAGTTGGGACAGAGCAATGAGAACTCAACACTATCACGTGGATTTGAACCGCCGACCTTCCACTCGGCAAGTCCAAGAGGCTCAGTGGTTTAGACCACAGTGCTACCCGCATCCCTTCTAGGCAAAGGAAGGTTATCCAGTGATGAAAATGACAACTGCTATTTTGGGCACAAGAACTAAAAATCTTATTTCCACTTTTTGTTTGTTTGTTTGTTTACTTGTGTTTACTTACCGGTAACTTTTTTCAAAATCCACAGTTAAACCAATATAATGGTTATAATGACTGCGATAAAGTTGATTCTACAACATACAAAGAAAAATGGGAAGTAAATGCAACAATAAAGTAATCACATATTCTCCAGGGCAAGATAATTCAGCTGTCCCATAGGAAGTGCAGAATCAGGCAAGACAGAAAGAGGTTTGTAATTACGAACATAGCATGTCCATGCTGTTTAAAAATAAAATTAAAGCTTTTCAATTAAAACAAATTAAAACCTGTCAGTTACAACGAGGGTAAGCACAGAAGAAAGTTTTTTTAAAAAAATGTTTCCATTTTAGCTAGTTATTTGAAGATTTCTATTTTCTATATAACTCAGTAACATTGCACCCCACTCCACCAGCTTCCAGGCCATAATATAGCACAGTGTTTACCTGGTCTGTTGTTCATTTAGTGAATTTGTCATTCTTAGTGAAGACAAAGAAGAGGAAAAGTAACAAATGACATAAAAGGAGAAAATAAAGAGGAAAGAACTAATAATAAATAATAATAATAATGATAATAATAATTTTTAAATTTATATTCCGCCCATCTTGCTGGGTTTCCCTAGCCACTCTGGGCGGCTTACAACATATATAAAATCACAAAAAAGCATAAAACATTGGAAAAGAAAATATCCTATATGAGCAACAAACAAACCAATAAATTAATAGAAACCAACAGCAGCAGCAGCAATAATAATAAGCAATTTACAGTTATACCCAAATTAAAATAACCACCAACCAACTAAACATTTAACCAACTAGAAGAGGGGAGGGATAAGAAGGGGCTAGAAAGAAGTTTTCATAATGGGTGAAGAGAAAGGTAGAAAGGGTGGTTGGGCAGGTGAAGACAGAAGGTGAAACTCTGAGTGATAAGCCCACCATACTTTCAAGAGAGGCCCCATAGAATCTATTGAGAAGTTTCTGCTCTTCCCAAACATTTGATGGCATATTACCAGAACCATCAAGTTTCTTAGAAAACGATTTCTGCATGGCATTTTTAACTTTGGTGGAATTAAAATTACATGCTTAGTCACAAAAATAAATACTGAAACAACTATTTTTAGGTTTTGAAAGAACCCGGTGTGCTGGAAAGTAGTTCAATATAGCCACAGAAAATGCCAGCTCCAACAGGAATGGAAAATATAACTTCTTGTGAGACCTAACAAGAGGAGCATAATCAGAAACTGTTTGATGGGCACTGTACCTCACTTCCTGTTAAATTTCTTCCCATGTGGTTGGACGGATTGAGATAATTGCCAGCACAAGCAATGCCTGGAAAGTCTAGTACTAGATTTGGCATTTATCACACAACCTGGTCAGCCCATTCAGGAATCCTATTTCCATACCTGTGCGGACCCCTGATCACATGGAAACTATTATCAGCATATTGCTGTGGCTGTGAATCATGCCTGAATTGTAACAATTATTTGGGGGGTGGGGTGATGGTGAGAGGAATGTATGTAGATTTCTATTTGGCAAGTCTCACTTCCCCATCAGTGCCTTGTTTTACAATGGAAGCATATGACCACAAAGGCTCAAATTAGGTCTTTTAGGCTGCAATCTTCTACAGACTTATTTGAAAGTAAGACCCATTGAAGTCAAGAGACTTACTTCTCCGCAGACATGCATAGGATTGCACTAATTATCTCTGCAAGCTTTGGTGACACCATGCAGAAGAAAATGTTCTTCAGGCAACAAAATGGCTATTATCAAACAATGTATCTGGTTCTTTTTAAAACCCAGCTATATTTGATTAGGAAAGCATATGTTCCATATATTTCTTACGTATTTCCACAAAAACTGTCTTTCAGTTTCACTTTCAATGACCACAAGATCTGCATGTTGCTTCTTGCAGAATTCCCATGCTCTTTCTGCAGATGAAATTGCATTGCTGAAATAGTACTCGCTCTCATTATACAAAATCCAGCCATTTTCAATTCTTTTAAATGCATATTCTGCAAAAGAAAGCATATTTTTATTTATTTGATTTAAAATATTTCTCAGCTACCCTTCATCAAAAGATTTTGAAGAGGTATATAAACATGTGAATAACATTAATTCACAGAACAAGTGGTCCAGCTAAGCAACATCAGTGATCTTAATGAAGACCCCCCTACTTTAGACAGATACATTATTTCAGTTTTGAAACTTATAAGGACCCCACCACCACCACCACACTCCCCTTTTCTATTCCATGCTTTATTCCTGTTCACATTCAACTAAAAACAAAACAGTTTGGTTACCCCGATAAAATATTTTAAAAGTAAAATATAAAAAGAGCACCTAGAACCATGGACATGTATTTCCCAAGGGGGAAAAAGTTGGTTCAGTGGTGATGATAACAGCATTATTTGGGGGGGGGGGGCATGAGCTAAAATGCAAGTATACAAGGCACTGCATTTTTAAAGGTACTGTCCTATGATTTCACATAAGGTAGCTGGTAAGTCACCAGTGGCCCTTTGAGGGGCAAGGTGCATGAGAGGTTTAGTAGTAGTTTAGATGCTCTTGGAGAGAACGGATTTTCTTGGCCTTTTCAGTCTGGGTTTCGGACCAGATATGAAACAGAATCAGCCTTCATCCCCATGATGGGCGATCTTTTTGTGGAGAAGGGCAGTGGGGTTGTGACATCATCACTCTTGAACTTAATTCAGTGGGACTTAATTCTGGGTAGACATACATAGTACAGTCGTACCTTGGCTGCCGAACAGAATGCGTTCCGGGAGTCTATTTGATTCCTGGAACCATTCGAAAACCAAGGCATGGCTTATGATTGGCTGCAGGAGCTTCCTTCAGCCAATTGGAAGCCGGGGAAGCCACACCAGACATTTGACTTCCAAAAATCATTGGAAAACCAGAACACTCACTTCCGTATTGCGATTGTTCGGGAGCCAAAACGTTTGGCGACTAAGCCTTTCAAATTCCAAGGTACTGAGATAACATCTCTCTTGCTCTCACTCACACTCAGTAGTTGCCTAGTACAACTAAACTTCAGGCAGGCAGGTGGTTTTTCTGAAGCTGGAGAACCACATTCTGCCAGTGTTTGTGCTAATTTTTGTGTGTCAAGCTGTTAAATTGTGCACTGGCAGTGCAGCCTGAAAAAAAAGTGGAGGGACAATCCTACATTCCAAAGCAGTACAATCTTCTTAGCCTAGCCTTAGCCAATGAAAATGCAAAAATAATAAAGGGGCGGGGAAGGAGAAGGATAAACTCAAGTTATAAGAATATGATGTACAGCAGCTAAGGAGATCTGACACTCAGGAACATAGGGGGTGCCTAAGCCAAACCACTGGTCCTCCTAACTGAGTACTGTCAACACCGCCAGGCTGTAATCTCCAGGGTTTCAGTCAGGGATGTCTCCCAGTCCTACCTGGAGATATGGAGGACCTGGGACCTCCCTCATGCAAATCAGATGCTCTATCACTAAGATACAGTCCCTCCCCAATTATATGTAATCCAAGCAAGCAAGCCCAGGTTAGGAAGCAGCTGCCACTGGCTCCTGACAGAATTTCCAATGGATGAAAAGAAACTGGTGGAGTGGCTCCTTTCTCACTTTCCCTGGGGCTACTTAAACTTGTGTGACCTGAGGGAAGGCAGAATTGAACAAGCCCAAGCCAGGGAGCACCTGCATCTTTGGCAGAACCATCAATGGCCCAAGAGAGCTGATAAGGCAGCCCCAGCCCCACTTTCCATGGTGCTGCTTAAAAGAGGCATGCGTAAACCAAGGAAAGGTGGAATCACCCAACATACCAAAACCAACGACTGGATCTTTTTTCACTGTTACACCTGAAAAACAAAACACGTTAATTATAATGGACCCTAGTGTAATTTCTATTTTATTACATCATTTCATATTGCAAACAGGAGAACATAAAAATTAAAGTGTCATTTATAGCATATGACATTTCTGTAATTCTGACAGAATAATGCGACAGAACAATCAGTGGCTTCTGTATTCACAAAGAGTTTGATGCACTAGATCCCTCGTTCTCATCAAAATGGAAGACAGGGGAATCCCCACTTACACTGGGGTTTTGTTCCCGGCTACCGTGTGCATCGCTGGGATGAACATGAGTGGGGATTTCCCTGTTCTGCCCACACCTTGTACTGCTCCTGCCCCTTTTGGTGCCGAAAAGGGCACACATGTCAGCGGGAGCATGCCTGCTCATCACGCGCAAGTGGGGAGACACCTGTACTTCATATCTCATAATATGAAAGCCAAGGATCTGAACTCTGCAACATTCTTAATGACAGCTGAATGTATTTCACATTATTATTTCCTCCTCTGAAAAGTTAGGCATGTAATAAACATGTTAAAATGCCAGGTTTCAGCAGAGCAGCAAAAAGCCTGTTCACTTTGCTTAATGAACTAGTGTTAGATTAAAAGGGTACCTTACCTCTCTTTATTTGGCAAACCCAATTCTTAAAATATTCACACCAATCAGAATACTGCCAATCACTATAGACACACATGGCTCTGCATCCTGTACCTTCATTGTAGGGACCTCTAAGATCAAAATCCCTTTCAAAGTCTACCTACAGTGGAAATAAAGATTTCTTACTCTTTCTTAAAAAAAAAAAGCTTTAGCAGTAATATACAGAAAAGGAGACAGACTTATGTTGCAGTCTTTGAAAGATTTGTACAAATGTGTGCATGGGCATATGTAGAGAGAGAGAGATGGGCTGTCATTTGCTTATTAATACTGTGTTGATCCTATAGGTTACTATAAAGAATCAGTTCTGGTCACTGTAAGTTATCTAGATGACTGGCCCTGTGGCCCATGCCTTTGGCTTTCTAACTATGCGTGAGTTGAGGTAGGGGCCCCCACCCATTTTTCCTCTAGTGCCAAACCGCTTCCTTTGTTACTGGGATGGCCAGTTACCTTAACAAGAAGCTAGCCTGGCTGTTCCAGGAATCTGAATCATTGCTTAGATTTTAACACTTGTTGGTTCCAGAAGTGCAGCCTACCTGCCCACATACTCAAAACAACATAAACCAGGCAGTCAGCGTGTGCTCTCCTGCTCCAGTATCCTTGTTTTTGAAATAAAGAATGTTCATTTAAACATATAAAAACAAATCTAATCCAACCGGACAAGCAGCAACTCTTCAGCACTGGTGGAAGATGAGGGGGCGGGGGGGAGCGCATTACCCCCAGCAGCGTGATCCTGGTGGGGTGCCATTGTGGCTGCCCACCTGGCCCGCGCTGGGCGCCGCACCCCGTAGGCGGCGTGCCATGGCCCCAGGATGCATGCCACACCCCTGCGGGAGGCACACCATGCTCCCGGGACACGTGCCATGCCCCCAGGATGTCAGCCAGCCACGCCCCCATCTGCTCTCCACCCCCCATTGCTGGAGCATGAAGCTCCGCCACTGCTTCGTAGTAACTGCCGTAAGTGTTGAATCTAAAAATTAGATTACAAGCAAATCATGTTTATAAAAACTGAAATTTCCAGTGACTTAAAATCGAAAATACTGCTATGGGATCTGTCAAAGTTCAGTTCGAGAGTAAGAGGTCATTTACTTACAGGAGATCCATCACTCCAAGTAAATCCTTTATTGGGTGCCAACTCACTGAAACCAGTCCAATAATGTTCATAATTTTTCCTAGTTCTAAAATATATAACAATAAATATACAGAGATCAGAAAATTGCAAACACAGTATGGATGTAGATACAGTTGGTGTTTTAAACTTCATGGTACAGACCACTCCCCATTTTAACAAGGGATACATTCCAAGGCACCATACCTTTAAGTAAAACCATGTTACTGAACACCATTGAAAAAGCCTGTAAACACCCTCCAAAACCTCTGGGAACCTTTTTTTTAATAAAAACAGCAGACCACAATTGCTCCCTCCAAACCACCGTTCTCAAACTCCAACTCTCCACTGGCCTCAAAGGTCAATGCAAAGGCTGCTGGGATTGCCCTTGGAAAAGCCAATGAGAATGCTGTGTGCTGTTTTTGTGCCATTTTTGCTGTTTTTGCACTCTTTGGGGCTGTTTTTGTGCTTTGTCGTGCCACTTACAGCAACACGTAAGTTTGCAGCAACGCGTGTAAATGGGAAGTTGTCTGTATTGCGACTAGCTTGATATTCTTTAGGAAAATAGCATAAATGAATCTATCACCAGTTCATACATTTAATTTTTGGTACAGTATCAGATTTCTGGAGCGGGTGTGCTGTTTGGAGCAGGAACTGTGTGTGCCTAACTTCTGCTCACATGGTCAATTCTTAAGCACACCTGGATTTCAAACTAAGTTATTGGTTCTGTATAGGTGACCACATTATAATCCAGGTGTCCCCAGTCCTCTGCAGCCCATGAGTTCATTTATACATTTGATAAAACTTTCTCCTTTTGCTTCCCAGAAGCCCCCCTCAGAACAAAGCTAACTATGTGACAATGTAGTGCCTTCTAGGAAAATCGGTAGCTCCCAGCTGCTGGTCACTGGGATGAATGTTCAAGAAGTGGTGGGATAATATACTTTTAGTAAAGCTTGGCAAAGTGGAGACTGAAAGCAGTGGCATAGTGTTAGTTGTTGGCGCCCGGGGCAGGCAAGCCACTGATGATGCCGGAGCGCCCCCACCCCAGCCAAGCAGGGCCATGCTGCTTTTCCACCCACATAACCATCACCCTACAAGTGAGCCTCGCTCTTACTGGACATGCACACAACCCTATGCACATGGTTCATTTATGGAAACAGGAGGTGCTCTTGGAAAGTGTGGGGCAGTAGGAAATGTTACCACCTCAACATATAGCAAGTTGTGTTTCCTTTACAATCGTATCTTGGTTTTTCAAACAGCTTACCATATTTTTCGCCCTATAGGACGCACCTTCCCATAAGGCGCACCTAGTTTTTTGGGGGGGAAATAAAGGGGGAAAAAATTATTTTCCCCCCCAGGCGCGGGGCTGGAGTGGGGGAAGCCCGAGCTTCCCCCGACCCCAGCCCCCAGAACAGGCAACTCTCCGCAAGCCGTGGGAGCCCAGCGCCAGGCTCCCATGCCTTGCAGAGAGGTGTGCGAAGTCTGGGCGCGCTGAGCTCAGCACGCCCAGCCTTTGGCATGCTGGCAACTCTCCACAAGCAGCGGGAGCCCGGCGCGGGCTCCCACGGCTTGCGGAGATCTGCGCGAAGCCTGGAGAGTGAGAGGGGTTGGTGCGCACCGACCCCTCTCGTTCTCCAGGCTTCAGCAAAAGCCTGCATTCGCCCCATAGGACGCACACACATTTTCCCTTCATTTTTGGAGGGGAAAAAGTGCGTCCTATGGGGCAAAAAATACGGTAGTTCTCGAATGTTTTGGCTCCCGAATGCCACAAACCCGGAAGTGACTGTTCCAGTTTGCAAACTATTTTAGGAAGCCAAACTTCCGACGGGGCTTCCGCAGCTTCTGACTGGCTGTAGGAGCTTCCTGCAGCCAATCAGAAGCCGCACTTTGGTTTCTGAACATTGTGGAAGTTGAACGGACTTCCGGAATGGATTCTGTTCGACTTCCAAGGTACAACTGCATTGTAAGATAGTTACACACAAACTGCAGCTACAGAACCTGTGCAAAGAGAGAGGGGTGTGAGGGAAGTGAGTGAGAGGCAGGCCATTTTAGTACATGCATTTCAGAGGAGAGAGGTGTTTTGGGTTCATACCTTGGTTCAGGAAGTGTCAATTGGGAGGTTCACAAGAAAAAATGCAAATGTCTTCCCCAACCCTTTTTGATACTGAGACAAAGTGAAGGAAATACCATTCAATGAAACTCACAATTCCATTATAACATTTCTTTCATTTTCACTGTGAATAGAAGCTAGGTCTCCTCCAATTGCTCTACAAAAATCTTGCGCTTCGAACCAAGATTTCCTGTTCTTTGTTTCTTTGTAATAGGCCTAAATGCATATAAATACAATTGCATATTGGTAATAACAAATCTTGCAAAATTCATTCACAGTGAGATCTTGTGTGGTTTGCATGAACACCTATTTGGCATTTAACAATGGTGGCTAATGACCAAAGTAGACATGGCACAATTGTACATGTTTTTAAAATGTACGGAAATAGCTTTGTGCAGGAGGCTCCCACTGATGCCAGTTTGAACTTTCTTCCCAACATTTTGTCCCTCCCACCAGCTGCCCTTCCTCCTGCCTTTGCACAAGGAACTCCCAGACTGGTGGTTCTTGAGAGAGCAGGTAATACAGGGAAGCACAAATCTCTCTGTGTTTCCATCTGAAAGTCCTGGATAAACTGCACAAGCACAGTCTCTCTTCTACAGAAGGTCAGAAGGTTGATTCTTCTGCTCTAATGCCAGTTCTGTAAGTCCATTTTGATCTACTGCAAACCTACCAGAGATCTACCTTCCACCCTCTCCATCTATAAAACTTGTAATAAGCAATTGAATATTGACAGTTCAAATAAATCATGGAACCAAACCCCACTATAAAAAGAGTAACGATAAAAAACCTGCACTGAGCAGTAACACTGAAATTAAAACAGACATACTGAAATATGTATCCATCCTTGTTTTGAAACAAGCAAGAACTGGCACTGAAATTGACTCAAGAAATGGTATAAAGGTAAAGGTACCCCTGACCATTAGGTCCAGTCGCAGACGACTCTGGGGTTGCGGCGCTCATCTCGCTCTATAGGCCGAGGGAGCCGGCGTTTGTCTGCAGACAGCTTCCGGGTCATGTGGCGAATCAGAGCAGCGCACAGAAACGTCGTTTACCTTCCCGCCAGAGCGGTACCTATTTATCTACTTGCACTTTAGCGTGCTTTCGAACTGCCAGGTGGGCAGAATCTGGGGCTGAACAATGGGAGCTCACCCCATCACGGGAATTCAAACCACCGACCTTCTGATTGGCAAGCCCTAGGCTCTGTGGTTTAGGCCATAGCACCACCTGCATCCTCAAGAAATGGTATACCTACCTTAAAACACACACGTCTAGTACTGCTTGGATGCCATTCATTTGGACATGCAGGCAGAGGAGTTGGTTTGGGAGCAGGAGTTGTTGTCAAACCTTCTGCCCATCGTTTGCAGATGAAGGCTGCCTTCTCCTCACAGTTCACAACATCCCACAATCCAGCTGCAGTCCCAGTTCTCATGGCAACACAGCCGGGTTGTCGCCCTTTTGGAAGTACAAGAAAAGTTCAGCTGAGCCTTGTTCTTCACAGATATTCAAAACAATTGGAGAAAGCCTTTGTGAAATACCATTCCTGATGGACTTCAGGCAATACCTACCAGGCATTCCTGAGTTCCAGTGGGTGAACAGAACACCGTCTCCATTTGTCCAGTTGAATGTCCCTGGTTGCTCTACATCTGAAAGGCCGATCCAGAAATATTTTTCAGAATGAAGTCCAACTAGACTAGTCAGGAAGGCCTGTTCATATCTGTGGAGAAGAATATGTAATCAATTCTTTCGAATTATTTTTAATTTCCTATATATTAAAACTAAATTGATGGCCTACCACAGGACAGTTCTCTTCCTGTTGAAGTACAGAGCCTAGCAGGACAATGGAGAGGTCACAGTGGAGAAAGGGAAGTGTCTAAACCAATAGATCCACTGTCACTAAGCAATATACCTGCATTTTGCATCTATCTTTACAATTCAGTCTACAGCAATTTTACAAGTGAAAAACAAAAAATACAAGTGCATCCAGAGCAAATAACTGAAGCAGAAGAATCTCAGCCCAGGCTGCACATTAGGCGACATGTGTAACATACATACAGGATAGGATTAAGGATTTTATAAGGAATTCTAGAAAACATCCACTCACTTGAGAGAGAAAAACAATGGATTTGAAAGTCTCCCCACCACCCAGGGACAATACAGGCAGCAACCATTATAGGCACAGTCAATATGTGTGTGTCTGTGCATGCATGCATCACGTTGAACCTGGAAGTGACCCAAACCCCATACAAAAATGGGCAGATCAGGGTGGGGGCAGAGGAGAATGAGGTGTTTGCAGGCTTTTTCAGTGGTGTTTCAAATATATGTAATTTCACTTAGACACACAGTGCCCCGTGTAAACTGGGAGTTGCATGTAATGAAATCAGTGACAAGGAGTGCAAGGTCCATGCAGTGCAGAAGTTTCAGGAAAGTGAGGCAAGCCACAGATTGCAAATCAAGTAGGAAATTCACAAGAAACATAGAGCAGCTAATTCAAGAAAGTAGCTTAGTCACAGGCTACAGGTCAAATCTTAATATTCATTATGTGACAAAGAAATATAGCAATTACACATTTCACTCACATAAAACACATATGGTTGTTAGTCCTGTTCACAATAGAGTAGACCCATTGAAATTAATGAGCACAGATAATTTATGTCCATCAGTAAGTTTAATGTGAGCAAACCTTAGCTGGAAACAACCCATAGTCACAAGAAAAGTAATCATTTCTCTTTCATGTCCAGCAAAGGGAAGAAGAAAGGAATACAGTATATGCCCTCCAAACAGCAAGACCATTTAGTTTTGATACCTGTTTTCCACAGAAGTCAAAGATCCGTGATTTGCTGCACATGATGTCTTTGCTTCTGAAAATGTTGCAGATGTTTGTTCAATTAAGTAACAGTAGAAACCATGCCTTCTCCAGCCCTGTTGATATAGAAGAACCAACAACCATATGTTACCACTATATTACCAGGATGGAGACATTGCGTTTTGTTTTTTTTTATAAATAATTTTTATTAACTGGCCAATCACATCAAATTAAATCACATCACATAAATTCCAAATTACAAAGCCAAATTTTTAAATTTTGTTGGGGGAACCCATACTTCAAGATCCAAAGGGGGATTCAAATCATCTTCTTATTACTGCATTAATGTCCAAATCAGTCCCAATCAGTCCAAACAGAGTTCATAGTTCTATCCAATCTTATCTTGGTGTTTCCACATCATATCTTGTTCATATAATTTCTCTTTTTCCTTTACGATCTCTTCTGTTAGTCTCCTTCAGCCGATAAGCAAATATAATAATCCTGTGTGAATTTCCCGTTCTTCCAATCTAAGTCCAGATGGTTTCCATATATCATCTCCTTCGTAGATAACATCACTCTTTCCATCATAAATTAGGCAGTTGTCACTCTTAAGTCCCACTGAGGAGTTAATCCATGATATGTAAACAACTCTGTTTCTCTCTTTCTCCTCCCAGACTCAAGAGCTCCGACAGTGCCTCCCAAAATGGCGACGGCATTTTTAACTGCGTCATTCCAAAACTCTTAACTTTCCAGCTTCGTCTTGGAACATTGCTTTGGTTCGAAAATTTATCTCCACACAGCCTTAAATCCACAACTTAAGTCCTTAAAACGACATTTCTGACTCATTAGGGGAGGGGATTCTTGTTTAATCACATAGAGAAATAAAGGAGGGTTTTTTCCCCCCTCCCCCCTCAGTCATTTGCCGTACCGTATCTTGACGTATCTTCTCATATTTTATTCTTGTCTTGTTTTATCAGAGATCTCTTCTGTCAGCAGTCTTTACTCCCCCTCTTTCCTTGAAGTATGTGCAATTTATCTCGTCCAAATTGTTTCTTTTGAAGATTCTTGCAACTAGTGGCGCAGATCAGAGACGGCATCGAGGAGTGCCGGAATCCCACAGGAGGGCTTTGTGCCTAGTGCCCCCATCCCCACAAATTCGGGGGTGGTATAGGGCACAGCAGGCAGGGGCCGTCCCCCCCACAATCCTGGAGGGGTTAAGGAGGCTAATTACCCCCATCATAGCCTCCAAATTACCTCATGTGGGTCGGAGAGATGTTATTGTCAGCCATCTTCTGATGCGCCCCCTAGTGGCCCCCATTGCGTTTATTTTAATGGTGCTGCTGAACATTTACTGAGATGAGAATCACATCCACCACTAGACATCATGGAACTTACACAGAGTTCTCCTATATGTTGCCAGGGACAATGATGTCATCACCCCACCAGTGCACGAACTCGCAGTGCTTCTTTTTTATTGGATAGATCAATGAATCAGAGACCTTCAGCGCTGTTGCCAGTAAGTTGCTACCCCAGTCAATGTGACAATCTTTATTATTTTTTGCCCTTTTGAAAATTGCAGTAGTGTGAAACCAAAAAGTGAAAACAGAACAATCCTGATATATAACTAAGGGATAAAATAGAAACTTTACATTTAAATACCTTAACAATGAAAGACTGATAAAGGGCCTTTAATGTACACATAGGGGCTCCAAGGCATATGCATAAGCTTCCCTTGTCCAATACTTTTCTCTGACTCAGGAAATGCTCCATGTATTCAATAGAGGATCTTCAAATGCACGCAGGGCGCTATCTGAATCGCAAAATGTTTTGTGTGGAATTCACCAGGCACAAATGTAAGGTTCTGCACTTAGGCAGAAAGAACCAGCTGCACCAATATAAGACAGGGGACACCTGGATTGTCAGTAGTACATGTGAAAAGCATCTACGGGTCTTAGTAGGCTACAAGCTTAACATGAGTCAACAATGTGATACAGCAAAAAGAAAGAAAGAAAGAAAGAAAGAAAGAAAGAAAGAAAGAAAGAAGCTAATGCTATTCTAGGTTGCATCAACAGAAGTATAGTGTCCAGATAAAAGGAAGTTACAGCACTGCTCTATTCTGCCTTGGTCAGACCACACCTGGAATACTGTGTCCAATTCTGCGCACCACAATTTGAGAAGCATATTGGCCAGCTGGAATGTGTGCAGAGGAGGGTGTGCTGGTCCCGGGGGGAAGGTTACCATTGGCGTAGTCAAAGTCCGGTCCTGGGTCACTGGTCTGGAAACAGTTCACAAAGAGCGAGGCGAGGTCCGAAGCAGGAAGCCGGGCGGGGACAGGAACACTGGAAGGGCAGGTCTGGGTCCGGGCAGGAGCAGGTACTCAACGACGTTGCTCCCACAACCTGGGACCAGGCTGACTGGCCTTTATCTTCTCTGAGGCCAGGGGCGGCCCCGGCCCCCAGGAGATCCGCCTCTCCTGGCCTTAAGGTGAGCACTCCTCCTGGGAGAAACCAGTTCCCTCCGCCTCTCTGCCCTAAGCCTCTGCAGTTCAGGAGAGGCTGGGGAGTTACTGGACCCAGGGGGAGACTCACCTTCCTCTGGTAGGGCTGGGAGAGGTGCACCTGTAGGCACTGTGTCCTTAATCACCTCCGGAGCTAGAGTGGAGTCACCTGGTACCTGCTCCTGAGGATCCGGCACAGGTGCAGGCGCTTCAGATCCAAGGCCCCGCCTCAGCTCAGCCGGCCCTGGAGGCGGGGACTCTTGTGCAGGCTGGGGTTCCTCCGGTTCAGCCTCTGAATCGGATTCCCAGGCCATCACAGAGGGTGACCAAGATGATCAGGGGTCTGAAAACCAAGCCTTATGAGGAATGGTTGAGGGAGCAGGGTATTTTTAGCCAGGGAAAGAGGAGATACAATAGCCATCCTCAAATATCTAAAGGGCTGTCACATGGAAGATGGGCAAGCTTGTTTTCTCCTGCTCTGGAGGGCAAGACTTGTATTCTGATTACAAGAATGGAGATCAAGAATAATGTCTGACAGTAAGAGCTGTTAGACAGTGGGCTCCCTTGGGAGATGGTGGACTATCCTTCATTGAAGGTTTTTAAGCAGAGGCTGGATGGCCATCTGTCATGGATACTTTAGTTGAGATTCCTGCATTGCAGGGAGTTGGCTAAATGACCCTTTGGGTCCCTTCCAATTGTACAATTCTATGATTCTGTGACAACCCAAAGAACACACACTTCCATAAGCACATGAGAGCTCAATTTGAAGTGTGGTTACAGGCTATAATCCAGAAGTGAAGTTTCCTTGGTTCCAAGTAAATTTGATTAAGCTTAGCATTTGATACCTTGGAGACCAGCACAGATTTATAAGAATGTCTCTTCCTGTTATGGGCAGTGGGAGGATGGTATAATGCGTATCTGCTGGAACTGCCCTCATGAGGAGCAGGGCCTTTGAAAAAGTTGCCCCAAGGCACTGCAAATTCCTCCCTGAGATCTGCATTTGCTTTTATTTATTTGCCTTCCAGAGGGTGTGCAAAACACATTTATTCTCTTTGGCCTTTTCACCACCTGGCAAGGTTTTATACATTTTTAGCAGTGATGCTGGACTCCCGAGTTTACTTTATTTTGCTTTATTTATCATTGTTTGCTACCTTAATTACTAGCAGTGCAGCTAATAAATTGTTATTCTCAATAAACAAATAAAAGAAAGAGAAATTTAAGTAACAGAAAACCCTCTAGGACAACAGTCTAGATCTTCCCATTGCTAGCAGTAAAAAATAAAAGAAGTGAGGAAAGCTAATGGTGTTGTAGTTGCTGAAGATGAGAGAATGCGATTGAGGAAGGGCAAGCAATTGGTGTGTATATGGGAGAGAGAAATTGTACAGCTTATCTCAAGGCTAGAGGTGCCTCTGCATCAATGGGCAACAAATCCTATAGACTAGACTCTTATAGAATAGAATATTAAGAATAGAAATGGATGGCATATATGCTTATTTCACTTTTTAAACTACTACATGGTTGACTTTATACTTACTTTTTGGCAATTTGGATCAGCAATTTCAGGTTCTTCAGAAAGAATTGCCAAAGGTGCTCTTTTACAGATGTAACCAAGTTCCTCTTCACAAAAATTATCTGCCCAGTATCCATTCTGGAGATGGAAAGGTGAAGAAATGCGTATCTCAATGAAGGAGGATAGACTATCTTTACACTTTCTCATTTTCTTGACGCAAAGTTTTCTATTGTTGCACAAGGGGGACAGCTGCACAAAACACCCATTACATTTGCGCTGCTCTGAATTCTACAGCCTCTACAATAATGAATTTCTATACTGAGAAAAAAGAATAAGTTGTGAGACTGTGAGTGGTGGTGCAGATAACGAGCTAAAATGGCACTCCACCCCCGGCCTAAACCAATAATACCAAGAAACAAGGATTAGAGAGAGATTTACGGTATTTCAAGCCTGTTAATGATAAACAAAGTCAGGTTTCAGCCTGCAAAAAATTGGCAGCATTTGAAAATATACTTCTATCCCAACTGGAGAACTCAAGGTGAGGTGGCCTAATTCCTACCTTTGTAGACGTTCCAAATATAAAATTCAGATTTCTCTTATCTTGTCTTTAAAAATGCATTGTTTACATTTGTTTGCAGATCATGCATATTATTTTACTTTGCAAAATGTATTCTTCAATTTATTTTTACTAATTGTGTAATTTATTTTAATTTTTCTAATTATGGGAAGGTACACTTAGCAATGCCCAGAACTGAAGCATCACCAAAGTGATGGCACAATCATATCTGCTAGAAGCTTCCTCTTTAAAAAAGAAAAAGAAAAAGAAAGATGGCGAGATTCTCAAGAAGATCATTTTTCATGTAGTGGTATGGAAACAGTGCTAATTATGACTAACAAAGGATGGGAGGCAAATCACTGTATCCTTACACCCCTAGTTCTCCTAGAATTGCAATACAGTGGTACTTCGGGTTAAGTACTTAATTCGTTCCAGAGGTCTGTTCTTAACCTGAAACTGTTCTTAACCTGAAGCACCACTTTAGCTAATGGGGCCTCCTGCTGCTGCCGCGCCACCGGAGCACGATTTCTGTTCTCATCCTGAAGCAAAGTTCTTAACCCGAGGTATTATTTCTGGGTTAGTGGAGTCTGTAACCTGAAGTGTATGTAACCTGAAGCGTATGTAACCTGAGGTACCACTGTATACAATTAGCTTTTAACAGGAGCAGCTGGCGTGGTGGGGAGGGTGTTGTGGAGTCACCCTGCTTACACCAATTATGCTGCTTACCTGGACAGTACAAGGACAGTGTAGGAAAGTTTGGTGTGCACTAGCATAGCTGTGGGAGTGTCAGATTGGATGTCAGTATATTTGTTTGGTCTTTCACACAAAGACGAATCCAAGGGAAATACATCTCTATTAGCGTTCCTTATTTTTACCTCCCCATTCATGAATACGCAGTCATTCTGCACATCATTTATGTGTGTGGGTTTTCCTTTCTGCCACTTGGTGAGTCTCACTGTAGATCCATCACTCCATTCAAAATACATCTGAGTCTTCCGGTCATTCAGTCCTATCCATAGACTATCCTCCGGCTCTAAGAACACAAATTCATCATGTTATTTACTCCCTAACTTTAATTGCAATAAACCCAGATGTTTCACAGTGGGTAGAGCAATGCTACATTTCAGTCACACATAACTTATGGGCTTTTGCACACCCATGTGCAGTGAGCCCCCCTGTGGAAGGTAGTGGCAAGGGAAGGCAGGAGGAACAAAGATGCCACAACAACTTTTGGGGATTAAAAATTAGCCAGAACTTTATTGATTACAGATGTAGGTTAAGGGCCACCTCAAGATGTGGGTCAACTAAGGTGGCTTGCCCAGGGCTGCAATTGGAAGCCCAGCTGCTCCCCACTTGGCTTCAGGACAGAACTTTGATTATGAACACTTTTCCAGGACACCCTGATATATCACACCTGCTTGTGGTTGGGGTAGTCCACCATGTCAGCCCACACCCGAAGACAGACTAAAGATTCCACCCAATACCTTATCTGCTGAAAGTTGTGATGATTACTATTAGGAAGACAGAAACCCCAAACAGGCCAAATTTGTTTGCAGGCAAATTCCTTCCCAGCCCCTAATACAGCAACCATTTTGAACCACAGCAAAGTCTTCAAAACGAGGTGCCCAAGGAACAGTATATAGGGTTGGTGGGAAGGCTGTTCTTCTGCCAACTGTGCTGACAGTCCAATGCTCAGCAGGCTTTTAATTTTCCACAGGTGGACCAGAGTGAAGACTAGTACTCGGATCTGCTGCTCAAACCACCCCTCAAGGATCTTGATTGGCCCAGAATATTTAGAATTTTGACAGACAATCCCATCATCCCGCGCAGCTGGCTGAGGAGTATTCCAATGGCCAGCTGTGAGGGCAAAATGATCTTTTCTGCTCCTGGGGAGATGCGCCAGGACTGCAACTGCCACCCACTCTGAATTTTAGGCGAGTGACCCTTGCAGCCATACTGTCTTCTCCATCTAGGCAAGCAAGAGCCACTACCAGCAAAGCAAAAGCTCTTGTGGTGGATGCTGAACACATCCAGTGCGTGTCGCCTACGGAGAGCCCCAAAAGCTAGACTGAGAGCCCAGGCCTGAATTCCCCCACCCCTGGGCAAGCCCAAAAGTTTATTTTGGAGTGTCAGTCACATAATGCAGTATTACAGATGCATTAGCATCTTCACTAACCTGGTACCCTCCAATGTTTTGGAATAAGACTCCCATCATCCCTGCCCATTGGTTATGCTGAAATGTATAGGGTTTGTAGTTCAAAACATCAGGATGGAACCAGGCTGAGGAAGGCTGTAATAGTCTGTGCCATATCTCACATCTGACATTTTTGTGTCCCATATTCATCATCATAACAACAACAACAACAACAACAACAACAACAGACAATCCCTCCAAAATATTTTTAATCAGGGAAGGGGTCCCAATAACATTCCATTCCATCATGTGGCAACAACAACAAAACATAAGAAGAGCCTGCTGCTCCATCTAGTCCAGCATCCTGTTTTCACAGTGGCCAACAAGATGCCTCTGGGAAACCAGCAAGCAGGATTTGAGCACAAGAGCAAACTCTCCCCTCCTGTGGCTTCCAGCAACTGGTATTCAGAAACATTGCTACCTCCAACTGTGGAGGCAGAGAATAGCCATCATGGCTCGTAGCCATCAATAACCCTCCTTCCCACAAATTTGTTTAATCCTCTTTTAAAACCATCCAAGTTGGTGGCCATCACTGCCTCCTTTGGGAGTGAGTTCCATAATTAACTCTGAGCTGCGTGAAGAAGTCCTTTCTTCTATCTGTCCTGAATCTTCAAAAACTCTCTTCCCCTTTATCTCACATATATCTTGGATACCAGGAGAACGGAACTTTCTGGATATACTTACGGTAGCCTAGCTGAGAAATGATGAAGCTGTGTTCTTCAATGTTGTGTATACTTATTAAGTCTCCACCTTCCTTTCGACAGGATGATAGTGCCTGCGGCCACATCTTGAGGTGTCTGTAAAGGCGGTAACAGTGGCCTTCATATGCAGCCCAGCCATCTGAACATTTAATAGGCTTTGACCTACCTAAAAAGAGAAAAATCATATTTAAGATAGCATGACTGAATGGATTTCCTTAAAGAAAACATGCTCAGGTGCACTGAGCTCACTGCCTGGTGCCTTGCATACATGATTTTTTTTTTTTAAGAAACAACAACCAGGACTATGTCCTTGGATCAAAACAGGCCACAACTTTATTGATTACAGATATAAATGAATTTGGCTCAGGCATTGGGTGATTCCCTGTTCAGTCGGCCCGTCTGCTGACTGCTGGTGATGGGGTCGATTCTGAGATAGGAATGCCCTATGACTTACGCCAAATAGGAGCAACCCATCAGAATCGCCACCTACTGCAGTGCTATGGTCCTCAACCCCCATCTGGATTTATGAGCACCTCTCTTAGGATACCTTTAACAGGGCACCCCAATTTCCTGGAAGGCAAACCCAAAGAACAGCACTCCTTTTCATTAATTACTATGGATCCTACCCAATGCCTTAACTGCTACGTCTTCTGACGGCCATTGGGAAGCTCCAAAAGTCTGACATTGGCAGCATTTGAAGGTATCACCTCTCAGACTTCTCTTCTCTGGGCTAAACACACCCAACTTCCTCAACTGTTCCTCATAAAGCGTGGTTTACAGACACTTGATCATATTGATTGCCATCCTCTGCACATGTTTCAGCATATCAGTATGCTTAAATTGTGGCACCCAGAACTGGATACAGTATTCCATTCCAGTTGTGGTCTGACCAAGGCAGAATAGAGTGACCCAATTACTTCCATTGGTCTGGACACCATACATCTGCTGGTACAGCCTAGAATTGCATTAACTTTTTTTTGCTGTTGCCTCATACTGTTGACTCATGTTAAGCTTGTTGTCTATTAAGACCCCTAGATCCTATTCACATGCACTGCTGTCAAGCCAGGTTCTATTTGTGAATCTGGTTATTCTTGGCTAAGTGTCCCTGTTGAAATTCATTTTGTTAGTTTTGGTCCAGTTCTCCAATCTGTTAAGGTCCTTTTGTATTCTGATTTTAACTTTTGCAGTATCATCTACCCCTCACAGTTTGATTTCATCTGCAAATTTGATAAACATCCCCTCAATTCCTTCATCCAAGCCCAAGGCAGAACTCTGTGGCACCACACTTGTTGAAGGCAACCTGCTCTCTCTCACACATATACACACGGTCCTTAGAAATTATGTATTGTCAATCCAATGACAGAATTTGGGACTGAGTCAAACATCATGTATGATGCAGAAGGGGACTTCATACAGCCCCTTTACTGGGGTCTACCAGACCTAACCCTGGCAACTCATGGGGCTCCCTCATCCCAGGAAAGTTGTTGAACAGGTCCTAGGTTTGTACCAGGTCATGAGGAAGCACTATCATTTTCAACACCTGCTCAGTGTTGAAAATAGCAGCACCCGCAGAGGGTGCACCACCACAAGTGGTCAAAGCTTCTGAGGAAGAGGCTTCTGGTAAGAACCCCCCCTTCTGCAACCACTTCAAAACCCAGTTGAGGTAACAAAATGGTGGTGAGCCAAGTCTACAAGATCTGAGGTGGGACTGGGAAGTGGGGTTACTCTCCCCCTGTGAGACATGTTTTATGAATTTGCACAGCTCAGCCGAGTGTAGTGAGTGGAAGTGGCAGGCCAGCTGAGGAGTCCACCCTTTACTGCAGGAAATTGTGAAATTAAATCTGAAGACATCCTTCCACTTGCACAAGATCTTGCGCAAGCAGGAGCACAAGGAAATGTCATAGAACATATAAACTTTTATAGCATGGCATAAACTTGCAATCATATATTCTCAGCAGTCCTAGCTGATAGTTTCCTCAGAGGCAGGCTTTGGGAATATGGCACCCTGAGCAAAGACAAAAAATGGCATTCCCCAATATTTCTTATTTTCACATTCATTCATTCCTTATTTACTTATCTATTTATTTTGTTCCCCCTTGGCTCAGTGCCCTGTGCAGAGAAATTGGCCACACCACCCTAATTCTGGCTTTGCTTTCCTCCTCCTCACTTGCTTTCCTCCTCTTTGCATACAACTCACACCTTTTCAATGACTTGACTGATAATAATTATAAACCACATTCATAAGGATCACAAAGGTTTACACAAAAATGTAATAATCACAAAGTTAGATGTAGGGGGAAGACTGTTTGAGCTTTGTACAGGAGTTCCAATATATTTCTTTCTTTTCTATAATTCCCATCTTTTTTCACGATTGATTTCTAGATTATATCCATCCCATGGAAATCTACTCAGCAACATATGCCTTTTTAGACCACGCCTTACATCTTTACCGATAGATAACTTATTCTTGGCTACTGATAAAATATCCTCCAGCATCTGAGTCCAATAAAATGCTTCACATTGCATACAGATAACAAAACCTCCATTACTAGAGAAAAGTTTTAAGAAATATTGGACACTGACACACTCCATAACTTATGATACAACAATATAAAGGTAAACTTCATTCCCAGTGCAGCATCCTACCTGAAGAAATAACAGAAGTATCTGATGAAGAATTTTCTCTCTTGCAAATGTACCCAATGTTATCTTGACACTTTTTATTCTGCCATTTGCCATTTTCAGACTGCATTGATCCACAGATCTTTTCTGTTTCTGGAGATGGGCTACCTTTAAGAAAGAGTGAGAAAAACTGTAATTATTTTTTGCTTTGTACTAACATAGCAACACTGTAATTATTATTTATTTCAAGATGTTGCTTACAAGATTTTAAATACCAATACACTTTATTGATTTATTAAAGCATGTATATACAGCCCTTTTATGGAATGGGTAAGGCTTGTGTTGTTATTGTTGACATCTGTCTGTCTCAAGAGACAATAAAGTGCGCCTCTGGGGATGAACTCAAACAGCTGCAGTAACAGCACCAAAATGACCTCCCTGTGGTGCAAGCCTGGACAGTGTGTATGGAAGTCCTGGGCTACCCAGATGATAAGACCCCACACTCGGCCTTACTGGTGTGGCTCAAAAGAAATCAGAGAAATACGTGTGACATTAGTTTGGCTGCAGGAGTTGCTGGAAGGAGGTGTATAAGATGCCACCAGCGACACAGCAAGCTGATCAGCTGCCTATGGGAGAGGGCGAGCTGGAGCAGGACGCTCCACGGGGCCTCCGAGAAGTCTGCCTGCCTCCTCCCACTCAGCCGACCTACAGCTGAGGGGGAGGCAGCGGGTGGACCATTTGGGGCAGCGCAGAGCCTGCGGGTGCCCAAGCCACCATATCACTCCCAGGAGAGACACGTGGCTCGGGCGCGCTGCAGGCCCTGCAGTGAGTGCCGCCCAGCATTTTGTCATCCCCCTCAGTGGTGACACCAGGGGCAAACTGCCCCCCCCCTGCCCCCCACTTCCTCCGCCCCTGGGTGCCATCCCACTTTCTTAGGGACTCCAGATTTGTGTCTGGTTTACTCCTTAGCCTTTTCTTCTCCCAGATATGTTGTTTGTTTGACATTGAAATGGAAAAATAACTCTGTATGTGTTTAAATGTGTGTTTCTTCTTCTGCTGGTACCTAAGACACTATTATGTCTTAATTGGATATATAGTACATTGAATGATGCCTATTGGAGTCCTAAAGCAGAAAATGCTGGGATGTGGCACATATTTTGGTTATGTCCTAAAATCAGAAAATTCTGGGAGGATAGAATAACCAAAATTGAAGTAACAATTGGCAAAGTTTTGGAGCCTCTAATATTGTTATTTGGATATGTTAAAGTTATTGTACCAAGAGGGGAGAGGTAATTAATGCAAGATTGCTGACTGCTGCCAGAATGAACATTTGTCAACACTGGGGGCGGGGGGGGGGGGTGGAATGAGAATACCCTCCATGAGACAATGGATAACTAAACTTCAGGGTATTGGTGAGAACCAGAGAATTCCTTTGGGTAGTATCCATTCTGGATCTTATAGGTGCCAGTAAATCCCTTGAAGCATTTACCATATTTATTTTGATTATACTGTGTTTTTATATTGTGATTTTATCCTGTGAGCCACTCTGAGACCTGAAGGTATAGGGCAGAATACAATTTTTTAATAATACCATATGTGACTGAATACTAAATGGAGATGGCTTTCAGTATTTATTTAGTTGTTGGCATGCCAATGTTTACTTACCTGGAGCCCAGTTTAAATATCTGAAAGGACGATCGCCAATCCACTGCCACCCACTCTCAACATCGAAAGAGTTCAATCCAATCCAGTAGTCATTTTTCTTATCATTTATTAATCCTATTCAAGGAAAAGAATATCAGTCATACTGAATCACTGCCACAGGCATATGATGTCTGCAGCTGCTGTAGGGAGGGCTGACAGAATGGACACAGGATACTGGTATTGGGTTGAATTAGGCCACAGAACGGCCGGAGGTGGGGGGGGGGTACCAGGTGGCCATCCCCTCCCCTGGCTGGGCAGGAAGATGGCGGCCTTCTGGGCCCAGCTGCAGTCATACTGTGTGACAAACATCCTCCTCCGGAGCCCCAGGTAAGCAGATATTATGTAGCATGAGGTTTATAGTTAGGAAGCTGGAGGCAGGGGCCAATGAGAAAATGAAAGAAATACAGTGGAACTTTGGAAGCGAAACGCCTTGCAACTCGAATGTTCCTGTCCCAAACGATCGAAAACCAGAAGTGATTGTTCCGGTTTTTGAACGATTTTCGGAAGCTGAACTTCCAGCATGGCTTCAGTGGCTTCTGAGTGGCTGCAGGAGCTTCCTGCAGCCAATTGGAAGCTGTGCCTTGGTTCTCAAACTCAAATAGACTCCTGGAATGCATTCCGTTCAAGAACCAAGGTACGACCATACTCATTTTTTATGTTTCTAGGGTAGAAATTAGATGGAACATTTTGTCTAGTATGCAGGTACAATGCTTCATCATCTTCAACCGACACAACCTTACATTCAATTCCTCATACAGTTGTTAAAGACACAGAAGAAGTACCAGATCCTTTGTTAACCTGAGATGCAACGGATAACCTGTATGGGGATTGTTCGAAACTCCTCTAGGGGTGAGGTTACTTCTTATATAATGTTTATGAAGTTGCTGTCTATAGTTGAGACAGTATTGACTAATTAGCAGAATATCACAGGACACCAATTGCTTCTTCAGGTATGCCTTGTTATGTCCTACCTGTCAGGTATGCTTGTTCTTGTAAATCGGTGATGCTCAATAATTCTGCATTCTGTTGCTGGCAACTTTTGCTTGCTTGGTACCATGTTAGAGCTGAGTAGGAATTGATCTGATACAGATCCCCTGTCCAGTGGTTTTTGGTCCAGAAAAATTCATCATCTGTAAGCATTGTTAACATTAACATCAAATTATAAAATTACAGTCTACCAGGCTTTCAAGTGCCATGATGTCATTTGACTGCTGTACTGTTTCTATCATACCTGACTCCTCTCTCTGTTCAGGACTAGGGCACCTGCTAGCTTGCTCCTGTTCCTCACCCTCCATTATTTCCCAGCTCTTTGTTTCCTCTTCTGGGGTGTGTCCTGTCTCAAACCACCATGACCCTGGGTCCATACTATCTTCATCTGCCTCCTGCCTGGAAGCCTGCTGGGGCGGAGGTCTCCCCCACTCCTCTTCATCTGATTAGTTCCTGACAGCTCCCCACCTCTGGTCTAGACTTTGATTCTGGCCTGAACTGAGCTGCATCCTTATAACCATCGCTTTCAAATGAAAAACGGCAGGCCTGATCCTGTAGGGTAGCCTGACATTACTGACAATTCATTTTGTTCTGACTCACAGGGGAGAGGTCCCCACCCTCCATTTTCTTCTTAAATTGCACAATCTGTACAACAGAGGCAACAGAGACAGCTTCTCTTTTCTCTTTGTAGGTGAACCATTCCTCTAAGCATCAAATATATGATGGCAAAGTAAAGGTTTAAATAAAACTTTTTTAATTGTTTACCTGCTAGATAATTATTACAGTCGGAGACCAGCTTATAAAACATACTTGGGGGTACAATCCCAGAAGGAAAACAAACATTTAAAACAATTTACAACAATAAATTTAAAATTTATAAATGCAATAAGCGTATAGACACTTAAAACTTTAAGATAAGCTACCACAGAGAGATGAAATTGTTTACCTTTTATTGGACAATATCCAGTTAAAGAGTCTCTATCCACATCTTCAGTTGTTCCACACCAAAGTTGTCCATGATTATCATCATCTCTTATGCATTGAGCATACCATTTGTTCCGAAACTTGAATGGAAACCTACATGGGGCTCCCAAGGCATTGCCTTCTATAGTATACAGAGCTAAAGGCAAATTGAACAGACTGTGTTATGCCGGACTGCTTTCAAACAGTTATGAGAATTAGCTAAAGCAGAAGAAATGAATACAAAACTCTCTCTCTCTCTCTCTCTCTCTCTCTCTCTATATATATATACACGCAGATGCACACGTACACTTTTTTTCCAGTGTTCACATCCCTCAAGTTTTGAACATCCATTCTATTGCATCAATGCATACATGAAAACTTCCCTTTAATTGAAGTAAATAATCAGTCCTTGGTGTGTCCAGGGTGGGTTGGAAAAGACTCCTGGTTGAAACCACTGCCAGTCAGTGCTGACAATAAGAGGTAGACGAGCCAACATTCTGTCTTCAGACAAGGCATCTTGCTATCTTTCCAAGTCCTTCTGAAGTAGGCTGCATGGTATGCACACTCAAACACTAGTGCCCATAATGGAATGCCTATTCCAGAGTCGGGTGGCCAAATAAACAGAAAAGTACAGCCCATCCAGTTTGGGTAGACCTGAGCCCTTGTTGCAACACAAAGGAGGTGAAAGCATTGCCTTCTAAGGCAAACAGAGCTAAAGGGAAATGGAGCACGTACTGTTCAGGGATAGTTCTATCCTGGAATGGATTTTCAGTTTCATTTGCAACTGAAAAACTTCACTTGAACATTTTGCTATGGCAGAAGGCACATGTGTGTTTTGTGACAGGAGTGAAGCAGCACCTGGAAGTGGCGAATGTTTCAGTGCAGTGAGAGAAAGGGAAATCACACGTTCCCAGCACCCTTAACAAACCAGTTTGCAGGATTCCTTGCGGAGATGTGCTTTGAATATATGGTTTGCACATAAGCCTTAATGTTTGCTCTGCAGTTTCTCTCAGCTGCTAGAGTTCAACATTTTTAGCTTTTGCCCTGTTCTTGTGATATAGCTGGAGTTTGGACTGATTTGTACCAGGGGGTATATACAAGGAACACATCCACACTTGAATTGAACAATGTAATTGTTTATGTCCTGCTCATTTACTACTGGACTCCACCCCTTGCTAATAAGACTGAACCCTGGAGCATGTTCTCTGCCCCTTTACTGCTGGCTTCTGACAGCAGACTCCACTATTGTCACTCCTGATATTTCCCCTTGATATTTCCCCTAATTAGCTTTTACCCCTTGACTAGGGATGGAAGAATTTGTCAGTTTTGTTTCTCTCAGTTTCTTTTTTTTCTTTTCAAATGTAAATTCAGTTCTCCACATTTCTGCAGGAATTTGCACTTTAAAAAATCCTCGTGATTTATTCAGCATTTTAGTGTGAATATCTCATATGGAGCACATTTTATATGCAGATTTGACTAATGTGTATATTTCTGCAAGCAACTTTCCCCAAAATATTTTTTTGCAAATATGTTTATTTTTTGTGCACACTTTCCCCTAATAGGTACCTTTTTGTAAGCAATGCTTGGTTGCAGAACTACATTGCAAAATTCAGGCAACTGTGAATTTTGAAGGGAAAGTCTGTTTTAGTTGTCCTAACGTTTTCAAAAGTGCAAATGTGATAAATTCAGCTTTAAATGCAAACTGAATAGAATTTAATCCCCACCCCCACCCTTGAACTACCAGGTCTACAGCTGAGACTTGGACTGGTAGCAGCATTTTGTCTTTCAAGTGTTGGAGTCTTCCAGAACAACAACAACAACATCCAGTTCTATTGTGACATGAAAGTAACTGGAGTTTTCATAGTACTTAGATTTGGCTGGAATTACATTAGTCCCTTCCTGGGACTAATGTATGTGTGTGGTGTTGGGGAGATAGAAGACAGACAGTCAGAGAGATGGAGAGGCTGGGTGACATATTAGTCTTTACCATGGCAGAAGCCAGAGGTGGATTTAGGGCTGTGCGAGCAGGGCACAAACACTGGGCGCTGAGCTGAGAGGGCGCTGTCTCAGAGCCCAGTAAGCAAGATACTGGGCTTTGGGAATGAGGCACAAGGCCCTGACAGGGTCCTAGAGTCCTTCCGTCTCCTTACCAAAGCCTAGTTAGCACATTCCCATCTTTGGGGAGGCGATAGGAGGCCTATATGCCCCTGCCCAAGCCCTCATGCCTCCTTCCCAAAGCCAAGAGCCTCCTTACCTGTCTTTGAGAAGACAGAACGAGGGCTGGGCGGGGGTGCCAAATTTTGACCTCACACGAAGTGCCACATTACCCAAGTCTGTCACTGTAGAAGCAGACTGTTTTAAACAGCCTCTGCTGCCCGTTTACTGTGGTCCTGATGACTGTTATCAAGTTTGGTTTTTCTACTGATATATTTTGAAGTGCCTATTTCACCCCCTGATGCAGGAGATTCATCACGCTTGAAGCAAATACACAACCTGGTCATTTAAAAAAAGAGAACAGATTATCTGAACTTTACCTTCATAGTGTTTAGAACACAATTTGTCTTCAGTTCCATAGATCTTCCAGGTATTCTCGCTGGTGGCTTTATTAGACAGCATAAGACGATCTTTTCGACCACCCTCAGGAGTTACAAACAAATCTTGGTGTTCAAGTCCAAGGAACTTTGTATCATTTGTGCATTCCCATTTCTGAAGTTCAGTGGTCTCATTACAGGAGGAGAGTGTGACCCGGGCCTGGTCTGACTTGGAAGGCACTGCCAGGCATAACTTTGTCGCCATGTTCAAAATATGGCCGTTGGAAACCCACCTAAAATTTTGCCGCTCATTACTCTTATCACAGTAGTCCAGGATGATGGAACGAGTGTTCCAAGACTGTATACAAAGCTTGAGGTTTTCATTATATATCAGAAAGCTGTCACTCTCTGTAAAATTAAGAGAGGAAAAATAATAGGAAGGAACTTTGTGAGAAAGTTGCACAGGGCTCTTATAGTGGATCCCACTTCTAGCACCAATTATGTGGTGGATCCTACTGCTGTACACCAATTGTGGTAGCTCCCACCTATGGACACACACTATAATCACAACAACAGGTTAACTTTGGGTTCTTGTGTGAGGGAAAACTTTGATACTTGGAGACCCAGGCAGAAGTTGAACAGATAAGATTTATTTTATAGAACAAAGTTAATAAAACAAAGGATGTGTCAGGAAATAATGTACTTTCAAGAAGCAGTTAACTTATTTAATATTTACATTAAATCTAATGGATTCCATTACAGGCCTCCAATCAAAGTAGTAAACACACAGCTTCTTTTAAGCTTCAGTTGCTTATGTTCAGTTATGTTACTTCAGTTCCTGAAACTTAATTACTTTGGTGTTACATCCACAGCTTCATCCACAGCTTAATTCTTTGGTTCCTAACCAAGGTGGTACTTTTTGTCAGTTACCCTACCTTTTTACAATCACACTCCTGAGGTATTCCAAGTAACAGACCCAAGGGATCACCTCACCCCTCTTAACTGGTTTGGGAGTCTTCTCTTTCTAGAGGAGCTCTCCCCTCCTGACTGGAATGAGACCTAAGTAAACTGTAACCTCACAACTTCTACTTCTCCTGGGTCAAACTCAGCTTCCCATTTAACTCCTGGCTGAATACTCTCCCTAGGCACTGCATACACTCTTTTAATCTAAGCTAAGAGTCTCCTTTCTCTAGCTGTAGATACTTTCCTCAGAGTGGACACAAACAGACCAGAAACAACTCTCCCTTTTGCTTTCTCTTAAACTTCCTCAGAAATGGCTCCTTTTATTCTCCCTCCCAAAATACTGTTCCACCTACCTCTGGCCGGCTGTCTTGACATTTTTATAGCCGTGATACGACCTAGCCAGCCAAGGCTTGCGAGCTTCAACTTTAACAGTTCTTTGTTTATTGTTTTTAACAAAGCTTCATAATTTCCTTGATTTAATTGAGATCAACTGTTAAGATTATCCCGAGGTATTTAAACCTCACATGGGCTATCTTTATCTTTGACATTTCTGTCAGCCGCTTTTGAAGTGTCACCATCAAATTAATTGGTAGTATTTTTTATTTTGCATAATTAATTTGCAATTAAATCTTGATGGAAGATTTCTAAGTGTTCTTTCAAAGACTGAAGCTCAACAATTGAATCTTTCGCCATTATCAATGTATCATCAGCAAACACTGTCATTTAATGAAGATGCTGAGTATTTTTCATGAATAATATTGTTAACGTGTTATTGTTTAAAAATTTCTTATATTTAGCATTTTTTTCTGTATTGTGCAAAAATAAGCAACAGGGATATGACTGACTTCTGTATAGGAAAAAAGCAAAGTATTTCTTGAAGCAATAGAACACAATTTAAAAACATGTTTTCAAAATTGTGTTAGCAGTTAATTTATTGTAACCCACACCTGTTTTCTTTGTTGTGAGCAACTTAAATGTTAAATTAGTTATCATTCAATCTAACATGTCATGGATTTAACTTCCAAACTGTACAACTTTAACTTCCAGAAGATTATTTAAATTTAACCAAATAAAAGTACCTGAAATATGCACCTCAACTTATTGCTGAGGTAACAACGGTGATGGAAGTGAAGAAGAGCTTACCTGATACCTGAAAAGCTGGTTGAATGAGGATCAAGAGATTTAGGAACAAAAGGAAAGACATTGGCCACAACCAAACTTGCCACACCGCTCCCGTGGAAATAAAAGAAATCAGAGTTTGCTGCTTTTTAAGAACTCCTTCATAAATGAGTCAGGCAGAATGATATTTTCACTTCTGTCTTTGGCATTATGAAACACTTGTAGCACACTCACAGATTTTTTGCTAAACTTTTAATCAGCTTCCTTCAGAGAAAGAAAACTATTTCTGCTGAAAATCTTTGGGTTATTTAGATTTATTTCCCATCACATAGGCTGGTTCAACTCACCAAACCAACAAACAGTACACAGTGCTACGGAAGGAAGTAACTAAAAGATTCTCATTGATAACTATGCTACTGCTAAGCCATGACTTGAAGATTAAGTCCCAGATCAAACCGATAAGGAATCTCTGTGGCTAAAGTCAGTGAGATGAGCTGCTCAGAACAAAGAGCTGACTGGAACTGTGTCCTAATAGTGGGACCACAGACAGCATGGAGGCTGAGTGTGTTAAGACTCAAACTGCATCCTTGGCCCACAAAGTTTACTCTGCAAGGTTTGCTGAGGGATTTCAGGAGAGTGAAAACTCTTGTTTGAAACTCCTGCCCTTTTCTTGGCACCCTAAAGATACTTGAAGAGTGTGCAGATACAGTCTGTGACTAAGAGCCATCTATGTACAGTGGTACCTCAGGTTAAGTACTTAATTCGTTCCGGAGGTCCATTCTTAACCTGAAACTGTTCTTAACCTGAAGCACCACTTTAGCTAATGGGGCCTCACGCTGCTGCCGCGCCGCCAGAGCACGATTTCTGTTCTCATCCTGAAGCAAAGTTCTTAACCTGAAGCACTATTTCTGGATTAGCGGAGTCTGTAACCTGAAGCGTATGTAACCTGAGGTACCACTGTAGCTCCTTCTTGTAATAACCTAGGTCCAGTGGTGTAGTGTGGGGAGGGCAGAGAGGCGTTGTGTGTGTGTGTGTTTTTTTAGGGGCACAACCAGGCACCCCCATGATTGGCTCCCTCATTGAGGCCAGAGTTGCTGTGCCCGGGTTGGGCCTTTGGCGCCTGGCTCCAACAAGTGAAGGAACTGCAGAGGCAGCTTCCTTGCATGATGGCCCAACTGCGGCAGCTGGCCACAGCTCCACTCCCAGGCTCCAATGCAAGAGTGCACCCCATGCACCACTTTCCAAGGCTGGGATAGGACAGTCAGAGCCCAGCTGAGATTTGGAAAGAAAAAGTTTGGTTTGGTTTGGAAATGGGGGGCTGGATAGACCCCCCTATGCAGGGATGTTTGGACTTTCCAAGTCTGGCAATGGGCCGTGAGATGTCTGGGATTGTGGGGGCTCTTAATTTTGGAGGGATTCTGAAACACGTTTTTAAATACCACATGGTTTGGACTATGGAAAAGGGGCTGATCTGTTGAAAAGGGTCAAAAACATTGTTAAGCTGGAGTTCCCATGAGTGAAACGAGCAGGAGACAAGGGAAAATACAGTTACAAATATGAAGAAGAGCTGCGGAAGGGACATGGAAGAGACTTAAGGGCCTCGGATATAAGGTTACCAGGTTAATGCGCTAGATCGATGGGAAAATAAGGACTGACAAAACCCGGGACCAGGAGGAAGGGACGCTGGATGAAGATTGGATTGTTTCTATTTCATTTTCTACTACTAGGATTGTTTTATAAAATTGATGAATGTTAGAAAAATGTTGGAATGAAATTACTTGGCTTTAGTAAAAATGTTTAAAGAATTATGTAAGAATATTATGGTTATGAGAAGTTGGTAAAAATAAGATTTAAGTTTCAAGGTTTTTTATAGTAAGATAAGATTAAAATAGTTTAAGGTAATGTAATGACAGAATTTTATGAAATATGGAAAGGATTTGCTGCAACAATTAACAACTAGGATACAAAAAAAGGGAGGAGGAGGAGGTCAAAGAAAGAAGGTAATGACAGTTGAGGATTTGAGAATAATGGATTTGTTTTTAAAAGTTTGTGGTGTATTTTTGTTTTTTTTTTGAATTTGTATTGTTGGATGTGGTTTGTGTTTTTCTTTGTTCTTTCCTTTTCTTTGTTCTTTCTTTGTTTTTTTTCTACTTTGTTTTCTTTTGTAACTCTAAATTCCCCCCCCCAATAAATATCATTTTTTTAAAAAAAAAGTCAGAGCCCAGCTGTACAGGGCTACCAGGGCAGCATGTGTGCGCCCTTGAAGCAATGCACTTGCCCCAGGCAACAGTACCATATGCTCTACCACTGTCTAGTTCTTTAAGAATGCACTGGATGATATTCCAAGTCACCAACCCTTAAGAGAGCTGGAACACACACACACACACACACACACACACACACACACACACACACACACACCATTTATAGTCTCTGCAGGCTTTAGTCTTTTCTGAAATCTTGAAAGTTTCAGAGCTGATTTTCAGAAGGGTGAATTTAGTGGATGAAGTCAGTCCCAGCAATAATCACTGCAGGTTCTGGGGAGCATGAAAGCAAAAGTATATACAACCCACCCGCACCCGACTTACCAGGCAAAGGACAAGAATAATTGGTATGTAACCTACAGCTGCATATCACTTAAACAAGGATATGTGGGAAATCCAGCCTCATATAAACAGCATGCGTAGCATGAAGGAGTTAAAACCATAGAGTAAGCTATTTTTGCTAGACTTGACTGGGTCATACCCCCTCACCTTGGGATGAAGGAGGTGAAGTTTCTTTGTTCGCTCCTCTTCCATTATGTGAATCTGGCCAGGGAGGACACCTGGGCTTGTCACTCCAAGCCCACACCACGTGTTTAGAAACCATGCTATCAGATTTTTCAACTAAGTTTTTCTGCCTGTGTTTTTCTTTCTAGTTTTCTATGGAAAACTACATGAATCTGATCTTTGGAAACTTTGTAAATCTTTTTAAACTTACCAAACTGTGTGGCCTTTTCTATGCTAACAGGAAACAAAGGGAAGCTTTGTAAGTGAGTTAAAGTGGGATATTTTAAAGGTCTAACAGTCTACATTCCCATGCTTTACTTTGCTGCATGTTTCATTATTTTAAATCTCTGCTGGGCTTACTGACTGGAGAGGGCTTGCCCAGTGTCTGGCTCTATGCATCCAGGAAATTATTATTTTATAATAACCAAATACCAATAGGTTACACATGCTCCGAGAGAGAGCTGAAGCAGGGAGTGGGCACCATTATGGGAAACTAGGTTATATTACCTTAGAATAGTTAGGAATGATGTCTGTTGTGTCCTTTCTGTAGGCCTTGAGTCCTTGGAAACGGTTAAGTTTAATGTTGCTCAGATTTATTTATTTTTGTCTAATTATGGTGTTCTTTTTTTAAGCACCTGCAATTATTTTTCTGGCATCTATTTGAAGATCACAGTGAAAGCTGAGATGGAAGGGCAGACACAGACTGAGGCAGCAAAACCCAGCTTAAGAGAGAGAGAATGGTATTTGCGTGCATGTGACTGTGCTCATGTGTTTTCTGGTCTTCTTAAAACTTTGTGGCAGTGATGTTGGTTCATGTTATTTGGCTCTGTCACTGCCGTTGCAGTGAGTTCCGTCAGAAACTGTTAATAAATGCCTTTGCCATGCAAAAGAACACCAAGAATCGATACTAAACTCATTGCACTTTCATTGTGAAAGATGCATTGAGGGCTTCGTCACATATTACGTTCTTTCGACATTTGGATTCATGCTTGCTGATATGCTGACAATATATTTGTTCCAATGTTCAGTTCCTCTTCTGGCGAAATACTGTGGAAGGAGAAGCAGCCCTTGGCTAATTAAGCAATTTATGGCTTTTTAAACTGTGGGGGAAGCGCAGGGCTGCCTTGCCAGGGGTGTATGATGGGGTGGGGGTGGCTCACTCTGGGTGCCACCCTGTGGAGGGGTGACAAGATGGCCCGCTGCCTCCCCCCCAGCTGTAAAGCGGCTGAGGGCGCTTGCGGTGTCTGTACAGGCTGCTGCACATGCGCAGTCCCCACCCCGGACGCCAGAGAGGCTTCCTCCACCACTGTGCCCTGGGCAGGAAGAAAGGGTGTATGGAGTTGGGTGCAAGGGGTCTTCATTTAAAAAAAAAATTAAAAATGCTTTATGCATCTGCATGTAATCTTGCCCCCTTTAAAAAATTTTTTGTTGGGGTATGTGGTTTTCTTTTGGTAAATCTACCAAAGAATAAAATAAAATCAGGACTAAGGAGTTTTCTCAGGAGGGTGGAGGGTGTGTGTGCAGTATCCTGTTGGTGTAATGGTGGTGGAACTCACCCTTCTTATGATCGGAAATGCTCATCAGGGAGCAAAAAAAGGGGAGGTTGTGGAGATAAATGTCCTTATTTTTATCTGGGGGATGTTGGAGGGTATGGAACTTGTATGTGAGCGGTAGTTAGCCCCTTATTTGCTAGTAGGCACATGTAGGACATATATTTCAAGAAATATATGTCATTGTTTTCAAGAATTATATTTCACAACAGGCTGTTAGGAAATCCTTTTCCAAGTAAGTTGTAACTGAAAAACAAAACTATATATCCTGTGCAGCTGAGGCCAAACTTCAGCGAACCCCAAAGTGGAAGTATTTGTCTATAAATCACTTCACTTAAAATGCCAGATTTGTTACAGGTACGTAAGCAAAGAGAATGAAGAGCTGGAAATTTCACTATTAAATTTATGTCAGGCTGCAAGCTTAAGAATTCTTCCATGAATATAAATCCAGTGCCATTTTTCTAGAAAAAGAGGTGCCAGAACTCACCACGAGCGCCTCCCTTGTTCTCTTAGAATGGCAATGCTGCCCACCTGAGAGGTGCCAGAACTGAGTTCCAGCAAGTTCCAGCTGAAAAAGCAGCAGCAGCACTGGATAAATCCTTTTAATTCAATGGGATTTCCTTCTAAACGAATATTGATCTATTAGAACTAAATATATATAGTTTCCCCCTTATAAGTTAAATGGCAAATGAACAATGTAAAAATTCAAGAATTTCAGTCAGCAAGTGTTCAGATTATCTGCCAGCTGTGTGTGAAAGCTGGGCCGCATTCATAGATACTGAAAATCACTTGCTACGTATTTATTTTATTTATCTTTATGTTTACATCCCACCTTTTTTCCATGGACCTCAAGGTGACATACTTGGTTCTTTTCTTTTCCATTTGTCATCATAGCAACATTTTGAGATATCTTAGGCTACAGGGGTGGGAAAGCCTAATGGGGCTGATCATAGGTGTGGGAAGGCCCGGTAAGGCCCGCCACAGTGAAGTCAGGCCCCTGAGGGTGGGTGGGTGGGCTTAGTTCCATCCCAGTTTTGCAGGGGGTAGTCTGAGATCCCCTCAGCCATAGGGAGTTGGTGCCTATGGGTGTTGTGGTCAGATGAGGACTGCCTTCTTAAACCTTCCCTAATCCAGGTAAGTGCTTTACAAAACTGCATGTTTTTAAAAATCCCCAAACCGCAGGAAGTGATGCTGGAGCCCACCAGAAGAGATTTTCCTTTCTGTTCTTCTAAGTCCAACTAGTCCCTTTCAGCCTGAAGGTTCTTCGCTTAGGCAGTGTCAGGGAACTGCCATCGGAAGGAAGGGAGGTGAAAGGACTCAGACAGGTTGGAAGAGACTCAGCAGCTGAAGAGGGAACCAGCAAGGGGAGAGAAGCTGAACTGAGGGAGGTGAAAGGGCTCAGACAGGTTGGAAGAGACTCAGCAGCTGAAGAGGAAACCAGCAGGGGAGAGAAGCTGAACTGAGGGAAAGGGAGCTGGGGGATGGCTCAGAGATACTTCCAGCGAAAACAGTGGTGAGGTTTCCGGACCTCCTGTAGGGACACCCACTCCTCGCCGGAAACTGTCACGCAGAGAGTCCAGAAGACGTGTTTCCGTTAAGGAGCTTTTATGTTGGAAGCGATTACGAAAGCAACCACTGTCGGAATCTTCTAGTGACTAGAGGAGCCATGTCAGAGGGGCTCAGTCACAGACAGAGGTTTGTGGACTTGAACAAACTCTGAGGGAATACGATTTTACGCACAAGCAGCTCATCTTCCCATCACAGCATTCCGACAGTCTTTGAACGCAGCTTGTGCAGGAGAAGGCATAATGAGCAACCCAGCAGGAACCGGAGAAGCAGGGGCTGGAGCGGGTCCAAGCCTGGAAGAAAGGTACCGGGTGTTGGAGGTCCAGCTGGCGCTGCAGACGGCGAGGCTGGAGGAGAGGAGGGCTCAAGATGCAGACAAAGGGAGAAAGCCACCCAGCTCGCCAGAAAGGTACCAGGATTGGTGCAGAAATTTGGGGGGGAGCCCAAAGACTATCATAGCTTTCGGACAGAAATGCAATATGCCCTCAATCTGCAGTTTGATGATTTCCCTGATGAGGAATCACGAGTGGCTTTTGTGATTGGGCATCTTGAAAAGGGCGAGAGACTGGGTTAGACCCCTGATGGCAGCGCATAGTGACGTCCTAAAGGACACGATGAAGTTCTTTCGCGCCATGGATCTGATGTTTTCCAGCGATATTGAAAAGGGAGTGGTGCGCAGACAGTTAATGGCTTGCAAACAGGGGAGCCGATCTGTACGTGAGTACTGGACTGAGTTCACCATGCTGATACACAGATTGGGGTGGGACTTATCGGCGGAACCCATTCAAATGCTCTTTGAAGAAGGGCTTTCTTCGGCTGTGAAAGATGAACTTTCCCGGGCGCCCAGGGCGGAGTCTATGGACCAGCTGACCAAATCAGCGCTGGCCATAGGAGGCGCGCCAGGAGGCGAGAGCATTGGAGAGGCGGGAAGGGAAGGGGAACGTTGGAAGGAGTTCCGCATTCCAGACATTCCAGAGCCAACTTTCCCGCCGGCAGAGCCGATGGAAATCGGAACAGCGCGCGCGCGTGCTGTTTCAAAGCCCAGTGACGGGGTAAAAAAGGAGGGAAAATGCGCCCGGAAATGCTATCTCTGCCAACAGCCAGGGCACTTTGCCAGAGTCTGCCCCCAGAGGAAGGAATGGCAAGTGATGGTGGGAGCTGTGGAGGGAAGAGAGGAAAAATACCGGAGCAACTAAAAGCCAACGCCTGGCTGCCATTGTCGGGGCACAGCAGCCAGGCCAAAGAGCAGTGAAAGTGCCCACGCCAGAACCTCCTAAACCCGCCCTAGTGATAGAAGTGACACTAGAGCTGCCAAACGGACACCCTCTAAAGATAAAGGCGCTGTTGGACTCAGGCAGCTCCTGCAATTTCATGAGCAAAGAGTTTGCAGCTGAACACCAGATACAGACGCTCCCTTTAAGCAACCCCCTGCAGGTAACCACGATCGATGGCAGGGAGCTGTTGGGAGGAGAAGTCAGCTTGCAGACCGTCCCAATGATAATGAAGGTGGCAAGGCACACCGAACTAATAGCGTTTAATGTGGCCACCTTGGGAGGAGCTCCCATTATATTGGGGATGAGCTGGCTAGCGTTACATGATCCGCTGGTGGGCTGGCATCAAAGAGTGGTTTCTTTTGGGTCAGCACATTGCTTAGAACACTGCAAAGAGGGAAAGGTTTTGGCAGGGGCCCAAGCCACCCTAGCAGGGACTGAAGTAACGGAGAACGTGAAGGTACCACGACAATACGCAGATCTCCGCGACGTCTTCAGCGAAAGGGAAGCTGACCAACTACCACCGCATAGAGCCTTTGACTGTCAAATCAATTTGCTCCCTGGGGCACAGCTCCCTGTGGGCAAGCTGTACGCCATGTCAGACAGAGATGCAGGAGCTAAGAGAGTTCATTGACAAGAACCTGAAGAGAGGGTTCATCAGAGAGTCCAGGGCGGTGGGGGCAGCCCAGTGTTTTTGTGGACAAAAAAACACGAACAAGCCGAGACTGGTGTGTGACTTCAGGGCCTTAAATGCAGTGTCAGAACCAGTGGCCTTCCCGATGCCCAGGATTGACGACATTTTGACAAGGGTGCGGAAGGGAAAGATTTTCACCAAGCTGGATCTAAGGGGGGCGTACAACCTGATACGAATAAGGAAGGGGGATGAATGGAAAACCACCATGTTCACCCCTTTAGGGGCATTTGAATACTTAGTTATGCCCTTCGGTCTACAAGCAGGCTCCGCAACATTTCAATCGTTTATGAACCACGTCCTGGGGCCGTTGCTTTACAAGAATTGTGTGGCCTTCTTAGACGACGTGTTGGTGTATTCTGAGAATGAGGAGCAGCATGTGAGAGACGTCAGAGAAGTGTTGAGCAGGCTGCAAGCCAACCAGCTGTGGGTGAAACTGGAGAAGTGTCAGTTTCATACCAAGGAGGTGGAATTCCTGGGGTATCGCCTGTCTGACAAGGGGTTGGCCATGGATCCCGGCAAGGTCCAGGCGGTACTGGAATGGAAAACACCCAAAACAAGGAAGGATGTGCAGAGGTTTTTAGGATTTGGGAACTTCTATCGTAAGTTCATCCCAAACTTTGCCCACCTGACGGCGCCCATTACGGACTGTCTCAGCAGTAAGAAGAAGTTCGTTTGGACGGAGGAGGCGGAGCAAGCATTTGAGGAACTAAAAAGGGCCTTCGCCTCGGAACAACAGCTCCTGCATGTGGATTTACAAAAACCGATGAGAGTGGAAACTGACGCATCAGACAGAGCGGTTGGGGCGGTGCTTCTCCAGCCAGGGAAGGAGGAGTCAGAGTGGAGACCGTGTGCTTTTTTCGCGAAAGCTGAACAAATCCGAGAGGAACTACACGGTGTATGACCGAGAACTACTAGCCATTCATGAGGCGTTCCGGAGATGGAGGCACCTGCTAGTTGGCGCACAACATAAGGTGCAAGTGTGCACTGACCACAAGAACCTAGAGTATTGGAGGACGGCACGAGTGCTCAACCAACGGCAAGTGAGGTGGGCCCAGGAATTCTCCAAATTTAACTTTGAGATTTGTTACGTGCCAGGCCCAGAGAACATTAGGGCGGACGCTCTCTCACGCAAACCTGAATATTTGGAGGGGAGGGAGCACCCGAAGAGAGACATGTCATTCCAGAGGACCGCTGGGTGTGTGGGGCGGCATTGGTGGGACAAAGAGAACTGGTAGAAGAAACAGAGAATGATGAATACGCCCAGAATAAGCTCAGAGGTCTTAGGGATGAGGGAGAGGAATCAAGGGGTTTCGAGGAAAGAAATGGAGCTTTGTATTACAAAGGGGCACTGTATATCCCTGAAGGAGACTAAAGGGGGAGGGTACTCAAGCAGTTGCATGACAGCCCCACGGCGGGGCATTTTGGGCAACACAAAACCATGTGGTTGGTCACCAGGGAATTTTGGTGGCCTAAGGTGAGGGAGGATGTACGTGAGTATGTAAGAGGGTGCGAGCAGTGCCAGCGAGCCAAAGGGAAAGGCGGGCGCCGGCGGGGCTGTTAGAACCCTTACCAACACCAGAACGACCTTGGGAGGCAGTGTCGATAGATTTTATGACTGATCTGCCGAAGTCCAAAGGGAAAACAGCCATCATGGTGGTGGTAGACCTACTAACAAAGATGTGCCACTTTGTAGCTTGCTCGCATGCAGTCACGGCGGAAGAGACAGCGAAGTTATTTGTAGAACACATTTTTAGGTTGCACGGGGTGCCATTGAGGGTGGTCTCAGACCGAGGAAAACAATTTACTTCCAGGTTCTGGAGGAAGCTCATGAGCTTACTGCAGGTGGAGGTCAACTTTTCGACTGCCCGGCACCCTGAAACCAACGGGCAGGCGGAAAGAGCAAACGGTGTCCTCCAGCAATACCTGAGGTGTTATGTCAATGACAGAGAGAATGACTGGGTAGAAAAGTTGGCGCTGGCGGAATTTGCCTACAACAATGCCGAGAATGTGTCCACAGGGATGAGCCCCTTCTTGGCTAATTATGGGTGTCATCCCAGGGCTTTCCCAGGGGGAGAAGGGGAGAGATGGAGCGTACCGGCAGCCGAGCATTTTGTAGAAGAAATGGAAGCAATCCACCGTCAGCTCCAACTCAACTTAGAAAGGGCGAAGGAAGAATACAAGAGGCAGGCAGACAAGAACCGAAGGGAAGGTGAAACCATAAGGGTTGGAGATAGGGTGTGGCTGTCAACCCGAGGGTTGCCGTTCAAAGGAGGTTGTAAGAAATTAAGACCCAGGAGGTTGGGTCCCTTTGAGGTCATTCAACAGGTCAACCCAGTGGCTTTCAGGCTCCGGTTACCCAACCACATGAAACTGCACCCAGTATTTCACAGGTCGTTACTGTCACCGTACGAGGGGACGAGAAGGGATGGCCACTCGGGGACCGGTCATAGAAGAAAGAGAATGCAGCAGTCATGTGGCAGAAATCCTTGATGCCAGGTGGAAGGGGAATCAGGTGGAGTATTTGGTAGCGTGGGAAGGAGAACCGGAGTCAGAAAACACGTGGGTAATGGCCGAAGATATCAATGACGAGGTATTGATAGAAACGTTCCATCAAAGGTTCCCGAGGAAACCTCAGCCTGTGGAGAGGTTCCGGAGGGAATACTTTGGGACCACTGAGGAGGAGGAGGAGTTGGAAGGATTCCCAGAATCGGAAGGGGAAGGGGATGGACTCGGAGGAGGAGGAGTGCTTGAGACCAGGAACCGCAACTGGTGGAGATATGTGTTCGAGACATCGGAAGATGAAGGACTTTCTTTCCGGGGTTTTGCCTCCTCACCGCCCGTAGAGGAGGGGGGGGAGGGGGTGAAGGGGGCCCTGGAGGGGAGGTGGATGTCAGGGAACTGCCATCGGAAGGAAGGGAGGTGAAAGGACTCAGACAGGTTGGAAGAGACTCAGCAGCTGAAGAGGGAACCAGCAAGGGGAGAAGCTGAACTGAGGGAGGTGAAAGGGCTCAGACAGGTTGGAAGAGACTCAGCAGCTGAAGAGGAAACCAGCAGGGGAGAGAAGCTGAACTGAGGGAAAGGGAGCTGGGGGATGGCTCAGAGATACTTCCAGCGAAAACAGTGGTGAGGTTTCCGGACCTCCTGTAGGGACACCCACTCCTCGCCGGAAACTGTCACGCAGAGAGTCCAGAAGACGTGTTTCCGTTAAGGAGCTTTTATGTTGGAAGCGATTACGAAAGCAACCACTGTCGGAATCTTCTAGTGACTAGAGGAGCCCTGTCAGAGGG